CCCTTTTCTGACTGGTGGACTTCATCTCCCAGAATTCCTCAGCCAGGTCCTCAAGTCATCATTTGCTCCTCCCTCCCTCCCCTTTTCTCCTGGGACAACTCAAGAACTGATTTTCCATTGTTGGTTTTTTTTAGTCTGTGGAGATCCATCAAGGACATGTCAACCCCAAGCCATAAAGTCCACAAGTCATGAAGCCATGAATTCCACAAGTCATCAAAGGGCCAAGTTTGAAGACTCCTGATTTGTAGTCTCTCTAGATCAGGGGTGAGGAACCATGGCCCTTTTATGACTTGTGGACTTCAACTCCCAGAATTCCCAGCATGGTTGGCTCAGGAATTCTGGGAGTTGAAGTCCGCAAGTCATAAAAGGGCCAAGGTTCCCCATCCGTGCTCTAGACGTCCGCTGACTACGGTTGCTATTATCCATGGACATGTTGTGAGGGATTCACAATTTAGAGAGCTTCACGCTGGAGCAGTGGTTCTCAACCTGTGGGTCGGGACCCCATTTGGGGTCGAATGACCATTTCACGGGGGTCACCAAACAAGGCTGACCGCCATTTTTCCCCCTTTTCTTTGGCCACGCCCCTGGCACCCGGTGATGTATAAGTGGTTGGGGGTCACCACAACATGGGGAACTGTATTATGGGGTCGTGGCATTAGAAAGGTTGAGAACCACTGCGCTGGAGGTATTTATAAACTCTGCCTAAAGATGTTTGCTGTATCTAGCAAGCATCCCAAAAGCAGCAGCTGTTGTTACGCAAAAGCGACACACCATTTCTGGAAACAAATCGGATCAGGGGATTTGAAAGGCTACCGTGAGAATGACGCCTTGTTGCTATGAAAGAGAACATTGGTAGCTCAGGGTTGAAATGAGAGGTCCCTGGTGCTCTCTGAGTTTGGTTGTTTCCGAGCCTAAGTAAGTAACATCATCAGTGCTAGGAGGGCGTGGTCTTTGCTCTCTCTTCATAATACAAGTGACTTTCCCTGTCGGAGCAAGGAACCACCGAGACCATCCTCCACCAACACTGACAGGGCAAGTCACCAAAATATGAATCAAGAGGAAACCCCGTTCTTTACCAGCCCTGCTGATGTTATCTAGTTGGGTCATGAAACGTCTGCAAGAAGACAACCACATCCAGAGAGCACCAAGGACCCCACGGTGGTCGTCGTCCTCCTCCTTTTCCCTTCTTCCTCCTTCCTCCTCCTCCACACATTCCCCACCCCCTTCTACCACTGATCATGCTACCTAGTTAGGTCATGAAACGTCTGCAAGAAGACAACCACATTCAGAGAGCACCAAGGACCCCACACTCATCTCCTCCTCCTCCTCCTCCTCCTCCTCCCCCCCTCCACTTTTCCCTTCTTCCTCCTTCGTCCTCCTCCTCCTCCACACATACCCCACCCCCTTCTACCACTGATTATACTACCTAGTTAGGTCATGAAACGTCTGCAAGAAGACAACCACATTCAGAGAGCACCAAGGACCCCACACTCATCTCCTCCTCCTCCTCCTCCTCCTCCTCCCCCTCCACTTTTCCCTTCTTCCTCCTTCGTCCTCCTCCTCCTCCACACATACCCCACCCCCTTCTACCACTGATGACAATACCTAGTTAGGTCATGAAATGTCTGCAAGAAAACAACCAAGCTCAGAGAGCACCAAGGACCCCACGATTCCATCTTGAGCTAGATATTCTATTACCCTGGAAATCTATTAAGCTTATCTTACATATATGCAGCTAACCTGGATGCTTTCCTTCACAGACCACCGAGGCAAGAATCTCCATACGAAAACTTCAGTCGGAGAATCAACTCCATAAGTCAAAGTCTGTCTCCAGAACCTAGAGTCACGCACACCTATTAAAGATCCAGTCTTTGGCTCACTCTTTCTCTTTTTCATCCAAAGAAGATCCCATTCCGTCTGTCAATGTCATGTCTGTTTGAGACAAGATCTCTGTGGTTAAAACCCACAGTGGCTGAACGTTGAGTGGAAATAATAGAATTACTGGTAATTTCTATGGTGGAGAACTTACAGGAGAAATAATGATAATAATAATAACAATAACAACAACAACAACAAAGACCTACAAATAGAAATAGAAAGACTGTGGCAAAAGCAAGCAAGGGTAGTACCAATAGTCATAGGCTCCTTGGGTGCAATCCCAAAACAACTGGAGCACCACTTGAACACCATTGGCATTGACAAATTTGCTATTAGTCAATTGCAAAAGGCGGCCTTATTAGGAACTGCTTCCATCCTGCGACGATACCTGTAATGCCATCAAACATCCACATCTGCCTATCCCAGGTCATTGGGAAGGACTCAATAGGTAGACAAAATGCCAAATCCAGTCTGAACATCTGGCTGACTGTGCGATGATCAATAATAATAATAATAACAACAACCTTGGAGGTCATCTAGTCCAACCCCCTGCTCATGCAGGAAACCCTATACCGAGGAGGAGGAGGAGGAGGAGGAGGAGGAGGAGGAGGAGGAGGAGAAGAAGAAGAAGAAGAAGAAGAAGAAGAAGAAGAAGAAGAAGAAGAAGAAGAAGAAGAAGAAGAAGAAGAAGAAGAAGAAGTAGTAGTAGAAGTAGTAGAAGTAGTAGTAGTAGTTGGAAGGGACCTTGGAGGTCTTCCAGTCCAACCCCTTGCCCAGGCAGGAAACCCTATACCATTTCAGACAAATGGCTGCCCAGTCTCTTCTTGAAAACTTCCAGTGTTGGAGCATTCACAACTCCTGGATGTACAGTATCTGGAGATGCTGTACATTCAATTATGGATTTGACATCATTTCTGAATCCGTTCTGGATGGGGATGACAAAACATGCAAGCCAGCATAACCGTAACTCACCAGCCTGACTTTTCCTGGGTTTCTATGCAAGGTATTTGAATGTTGTAAAGTTCCCAGTTACAGGCAGTCCTCAACTTGTAACGGTTCATTTAGTGACCGTTCCAAGTTACCACGGCACTGAAAAAAGTTGACTTATGACCGTTTTTCACATTTACAGCGAGTTGGCTGCGACAAGTTGGCCGTCAGTAAGTTGTCCCATTCCAACACCAAGCAAGTTATCTGCATTTCCTCCACTCGCTCTTGACGGTATTGCAAATTACTCTGGTATCATGGTTAACGAGGTTGACCTTTGGCCAGGGTGAAACTGGGTGACTTTGGGCCTACTCCTTCTCACTCAGTTTGCAGGGTTAGGGGTTGTTATCACAGGGAAAATCACACACTCCCACCTTGCTGTGTACATCACTCTGACCTCTCAGTGGAAAACAGGGAGACCAATGCAGAAAATAGTTAAGTACCTGGGTGTGTGTATATGCAGATAACTGACTTCGTCTCTTCATACATCATCTTTAAGGAAGTGTGCAAACCAGCGTTTGTATTTCTTACGTCGGATGAGAGCACCTTTCTTCTCCTGTCCTGGCCACTTTTTACAGCGTTTTAACAAACTGCATCGCTGTCTGGTTTGGTAGCAGCAGAGCCTCAGATAGAAGGTCCACCCAGAGAGTGGTGAGGACAGCCGGGAAGATCGTAGGAAGCTCGCTTCCCGTGATTCAGGATACTGCTTACAAGCGCTTATATGTGCTTACAGCTCAATGCATTGTTAGAGACCCTGCACACCCATTGCACGATCTGTTCCTGTTGCTCCCCTCTGGGAGGAGGTTTTATTTATAGCAGGACTACCCGATTCTGTAACAGCTTTGTTCCCTTATGCCGTCTGTGTGGAAAATTCGCAGGATTCGTTTTTCTCGCCATGTATATGTATACATCCAAACTAGACTGTGCTGTTTCTCTGGGCCATATATGTGTATGTATGTGGGTATATGCATACTTTTTCTGCAGTTTCCGTAGTGTATATTGGAGGTGGTTACCCTTTGAAAACTAAATGCAATGAAATTTCATTTTAATATATGCTGATGAGCGTACATTTAAAATGACAAGTTATTCCATTCCATATTCTATTCTACCCTATGTTCTACTATTCTATTCTACTCTAGTTTTTACTATTCTATTCTATTCTACTCTATTCTAATGTTCTATTCCTATTCTATTCTGTTCTGCTCTATTCTTCTATTCTATTCAGTTCTGCTCTGCTCTATGTTTTATTCCTATTCTATTCTACTCTGTTCTACTCTATTCTATTCCATTCAATGTTCTATTCCTATTCTATTCTATTCTAGTCTATTCTGTATTCCAGTGACAGCAAACCTTTTAGACACCGAGTGCCCAAACTGCAACCCAAAACCCACTTATGCATCGTCGGGTGCTGGGTGGGTGTGGCCCATTGGATGGGTGTGGCCCATTGGGTGGGCGTGGCTGTGGTGGTAACAGCAGACTGGGTGGGACTAAAAAGTTCAATCAATCAATTCCAACTTTGCAAGATCTTTTTTTTTTCCCGCGAGAAGTTGAAATTGACTGATTGATTGAACCCTTTTTTTTTTGTACACAGCAGCGGAGCCCTAAAGTGAAAAAGTTTTATAAAACCCAGCTGAAGGCCTAGGACTGGGGCAACGGCGCACGTGCCCACAGAGAGGGCTCTGAACGCCGCCTCTAGCATCTGCGCCATAGGTTTGCCACCACTGCTATATTCTGTTCTATCTTATATTCTATTTTATATTCTATTCTAGTCTATATTCTATTCTGTTCTACTTTTTTCTATGTTCTATTCCTATTCTATTCTATTCTATTCTATTCTGTAATTCTATTCTATTCTATATTCTACATTTATTCTATTCTATATTCCATTCTATTCCATTCTATTCTCCATGCCATTCCATATTCTATTCTATTCTATTCTATTCTATTCCATTTCATTCCATTCTACATTCTATTCTAAATTCTACATTCCATTCCATTCTATTCTAATCCATATTTTCTATTCTATTCTCCATGCCATTCTATATTCTATTCTATTCTCCATTCCATTTTTAGTAAGTACACATATGTTTACAAACACTGGTTTGTAAGTCACAAGTGGCAAACCACTGACAAAGCAGTTCAAGTTGGCGTTTCTCTGTTTATTTCACCTGATCCAGACAAGCAGTGGCCATTTTAAAACACGCTCTCTGTACAAACCCCAACCCCCAAATTATCATGCACACAGACACACGCGCAGTCTGGACCCCCACCGATTTGTTCTTTTAAATCATTTGCACCTTGCCAAAATAAAGGAAACATTAGAAAAAGATTGGGATGTGCGTGTGTGTTGTGTTTTGTGCCTCTCAAAAAAGAAAACCAGCAATTTCCACTCAGGCTCGTGAGATCTGTACAAAAGATCCTTTGAAAACATGAAATGTTTTTTTTCCCCTCTATCCGCATTACTGTTTTTTGATCAACGTACCAGAGGGACGGCATAACGTATCCATCTTGAATCGATCTTCTTCTTCTAAAGGTAACTACGGCAAAGAGCCGTTCAGCATAATTTGGCAAGGCAAGGAAGAGAAATGCAACTAATTTTGCAGTAATTAGCTGAAGGCAATCACTAACACCGCCACGTAAGCTGCAGATGAATGCTCCTTTGCGAAGTGGAAACTAAAGGTGCAAAAAAACGCAATTACCTTTTCAAAAGAAACCGTACTCTCCATTTTACTTGATGAGCTCCGACAGAAAAGCGTTTTAAATCAAAAAAGGGGGGGGGAGGCAAAGAGACTCCCTCAGCCAGCAACGTGCACAGCCCTTGACACAAGAGGGACGAAATGTCGGCACGTAACAATCCCCAAGGCGAAGCAAAGCAGCAGTTCACTTTTGATGCTCTCTTAATGGTTGAAGGGCCCAGCGACAAAAGGAGTGCTGTTAAATGGAAAATCACTTGTAAGAGCATGTGGAGGATCACTTCTAAGGGAGTGTGTTAAGTGTGGCTGGTGGTATCAAAATAAACAGGGTGGATGTAGATGTGTGCAGAGAAGAGAAAAATGTATTTGAGTGTTAAGGTTTAAACACGTTCGGGAGCAAAACAAACAAGTGTGTTTTATCCCATGTTGTATCAAAATAAACGGGGGGATCCAGATGTGCGTAGAGAAGAGAAAAATGTATTTGAGTGTTAAGATTTAAACGTGTTCTGGAGCAAAAAAGAAACAAGTGTGTTTTGTCCCATGTGGTATCAAAATAAACAGGGGATCCAGATGTGCACAGAGAAGAGAAAAATGTATTTGAGTGTTAAGATTTAAACGTGTTCTGGAGCAAAACAAACAAGTGTGTTTTGTCCCATGTAGTGTCAAAATAAATGGGGGTATCCAGATGTGCTCAGAGCGGAAAAAATGTATTTGAGTGTTAAGATTTAAACATGTTCTGGAGCAAAACAAACAAGTGTCTTTTGTCCCATGTAGTATCAAAATAAATGGGGGGATCCAGATGTGTGCAGAGAAGAGAAAAATGTATTTGAGTGTTAAGATTTAAACGTGTTCTGGAGCAAAACAGAAACAAATGTGTTTTGTCCCATGTAGTATCAAAATAAACAGGGGATCCAGATGTGCGCAGAGAAGAGAAAAATTGTATTTGAGTGTTAAGGTTTAAACGTGTTCTGGAGCAAAACAAACAAGTGTCTTTTGTCCCATGTAGTATCAAAATAAATGGGGGGATCCAGATGTGTGCAGAGAAGAGAAAAATGTATTTGAGTGTTAAGATTTAAACGTGTTCTGAAGCAAAACAAACAAGTGTGTTTTGTCCCATGTAGTGTCAAAATAAACGGGGATCCAGATGTGTGCAGAGCGGAGAAAAATGTATTTGAATGTTAAGATTTAAATGTGTTCTAGAGCAAAAGAGAAACAAGTGTGTTTTGTCCCATATAGCATCAAAATAAATGGGGGGGGGGTTCCAGATGTGTGCAGAGAAGAGAAAAATGTATTTGAGTGTTAACATTTAAACATGTTCTGGAGCAAAACAAACAAGTGTGTTTTGTCCCATGTAGTATCAAAATAAACAGAGGATCCAGACGTGCGCAGAGAAGAGAACAATGTATTTGAGTGTTAAGGTTTAAACGTGTTCTGGAGCAAAAGAGAAAGAAGTGTGTTTTGTCCCATGTAGTATCAAAATAAACGGGGGGATCCAAATGTGCTCAGAGCGGAGAAAAATGTATTTGAGTGTTAAGGTTTAAACGTGTTCTGGAGCAAAACAAACAAGTGTATTTTGTCCCATAGAACCCCTATTCCCATGACCCACAACAAACACCCAACTGTTTTCTTTTAAGAACCTGCTTACAAAATAGACCAAAAACGGTGTCTTTTAGTCTGTATCTCTAGCTTCAGTCGCCCTAGCTTACTGGAAGTGAGAATAATGATGGGTTTAATGCAAATTAATTTTGTCAGGTTGCTGGAAGAAACAAAAACGATTCAACGTGATGAAATGTTTTCAGAACCCAGCACCGAGAATCCTGTGAAAACTGGTTACTTTTCCCCAAAAGGTATCGTTGCGAGAAATCTATATTGTTCCAAATTAAATTATCTTAAGGGCACTCCCTACAATTAATCCAATTATTACATTCTCCACGCTCTTGCGAGTATTGTGGCTCGCCGTATTTCACGGCGAGCGAGTCGACAGGAAAACGAGCGATTTATTCCAAGCAAGAGGATAACAAAAAAAAAATCAATTGTGCAGAGTGTCTCTCTTCTTAATATCCTTCCACAGAGATAAATCCAGCGTTGTAGACAGGGCAAAAAAACCCAACAATCTCGGATTTCATTCGCAGACGGGATCTATTCTGAACATCCCGAAACGAGGGACGAAGCATTTGCTTCAGGGAGAGAGGTAAAACGAACAAAAGAGAGCAGGAAGTCAAGGATGTGAATTTTGACAGTTTTGAGACGGGAAGAGGTCCGCAAATTCCACATTCGGGGGAAAAACAAAAGATAATGACGAAAAAGGGTGAACAAAAATGCAGTCCAATAAAAAACGGTCAGAAATGGGCACCGCTAAACAGAGCCGATTCCGGACTTTGCCTTGACACCATGCAAGTGACTCTCTCCACCAAACCCAGATGAATCGATCTGGGTTTGGCCTCTTGGCAGGAAGCCAAATGCTTCCCCACCGCTTTCCGAGTACGGCAACAGAAACTCAAAACTTTCCCTTCCATCCTTCCTTTCTCCACCCTTCCGTTCGCCTCGGAGGAGCAGCAAAAACCCCGAGAATCACTTATGCAACATTATCGCCGACTGTAAACTGAACATGATCCATGATTAGTGCAAGAGGCAGAGGGGACACCACCACCGCTCCCCCGGCGCGCTTCTCCTGTTATCGTATCGCGTCCAGGTAACGCACTTCCGCGTACAAAGTGTTGAGGAGGATAGCCAGCAGGTGAGTCCCGTCGTGAAGGCAATGTTGAGAGTCCTTGATGAACTGGGAGGCCTGGAGGATCTGACCTTGGTATTCCGCGTATGGCTTGTTGGACGCCAGCGAATCCAAAGCGTTGAGAGCCTACAAGGACCGACGTGAATCATGTCAGGTGGATGGAATAATAATAGTAATAATAACAACAACCACAATTACATAATACATAATAATTACATCCAGAAACTGCAGCTTCCTGCAATGACTCCAGCAATGCTGCAAAAAACTGCGCTACTCAGAACATCTTATATTTTAAGGAGGTGCCTGGTTGACATCTAGGATGCTGGGAGCAACCCGTGTCAACCATCAGCGCCAGCCGACTTGAATGTTCATGTTTAATGAATAAAAATAATAGTAATAGTAATAGTAGTAATAGTAATAATATCATCATCATCATCATCATTTGCCTGTAAGCAAAAACTGGTGGGATCATAAAATAGAGAAAGTCATAGAAAATGATAAAATTAAACTGCTCTGGGACTTCAGAATTCAGACAGACAAGCACCTGCAACATAACACCCGAGACTTAACAATTGTCGATAAGAAAGACAAAAAAGTCTGGATAGTGGACGTGGCAGTGCCTGGAGACAGCAGAATAGACGAGAAAGAACTGGAGAAGATCACAAAATACAAACACCTACAAATAGAAATAGAAAGACTGTGGCAAAAGCAAGCAAGGGTAGTACCAATAGTCATAGGCTCCTTGGGTGCAATCCCAAAACAACTGGAGCACCACTTGAACACCAATCGGCATTGACAAATTCGCTATTAGTCAATTGCAAAAGGCGGCCTTACTTAGGAACTGCTTCCATCCTGCGACGATATTGTAATACCATCAAACATCCACATCTGCCTATCCCAGGTCCTGGGTAAGGACTCGATAGGTAGACAAAATGCCAAATCCAGTCTGAACATCTGGCTGACTGTGCGATGATCAATAATAATAATAATAATAATAATAATAATAATAATAATAATAATAATAATAATAATAATAATAGACTCAATAGGTAGATAAAAATGCCAAATCCAGTCTGAACATCTGGCTGTGCGATGAGCAATATTAATATTAATGATGATGATATGTTGGAAGGGACCTTGGAGGTCTTCTAGTCCAGCCCCCTGCTCAAGCAGGAAACCCGATACTATTTCAATCAATCAACCAATCACAAGAGAGCTGGAAGGGACCTTGGAGGTCTTCTAGTCCAACCCCACCGCTCATTAAGAACTTCACGAACTTAACATTAAGAACTTAATGAAGCATGTCTTACAGCTATGCGTTCTCTTGCAACCCATCATTTCCAACTGACAAGCTATTGTTTGCTAACCAGAAAAGCAAAAGGCTGTATCGCAGGCTAACTCAACTGCTTAGGGCCAGGAGTTTGATTCTGACCCGTTTCAAGGTTGACTCGGTCTTCCATCCTTCCGAAGTCAGTAAAATGAGGACCCAGTTTGTTTGTGTGTGTGTGGGGGGGGGGCAATAGAGGTAGTCCTCTACTTCTTGATGATGTCTAGTATCCCCCTCTCTCTGTTGAGAGAGGGACGTTCAACATCATTTATCTCCAGTGTTACAATATCGTCCTTTCAGCAGTCCCAAGAAGGTTCCACATCCATTTGCACCACTTAGCTGACCCTGAGGACACAGATAAACCTCCAAGTGGCCTCAAGGGCTCTCTAAAACAGTGGTTCTCAACCTTTTTAATGCCGCGATCCCCAACCGGTCGTAAGTCGAGGACTACTCAACCGGTCCTAAGTCGAGGATTACTCAACTGGTGCAGCACCGTTTGCAGAATGGGACTTTTGGCGGGCTCAGCAGGGCAGAGACAGCCTGGACAATTCCTATTGGCTTTTGAAAGCCAATAGAATTAGACTCTATTCAAGAGAGTCTATTCTATTGGCTTTCAAAAGCCAATAGAATAAAAGGGAGTAGCACAGCTAAGGAAAAGGGGGAAAAAATGGCGGACTGCGTTGTTTGGCGACCCCTGTGAAATGGTCGTTCGACCCCAAAGGGGATCCCGACCCACAGGTTGAGAACCACTGCTCTAAAAGAAGGCAAATGACCAGCTGTCTGCAAGGAGTGTAAATTCTCCCATTCCCCACCATTCAGTCAGAGCTGAAGAAGCTTCTGGGATGAGAAGCGAAACGTCTTCAAAGAAAAAGTCCAGTTGTCTCCTGAAAAAAGCACTTTTGGGACAACTGAGGACCCAGACAAATCTCCAGATGGCCTCAAGGACTCTCTAAAAGGAGGCAAATGACCAGCTGTCTGCAAGGAGAATAAATCCTTCCGTTCCCCACCGTCCAGTCAGAACTGAAGAAGCCTCTTGGACGAGAGGCGAAAGTCCAGTTGCTTGTTTTGAAAAAGCAACTTTCGTCCACCCATCACCTGGAGAACGGGGAAATCTCCAAATAGACCAGCGGTTCTCAACCTGTGGGTTGGGACCCCATTTGGGGTTGAACGACCATTTCACGGGGGTCGCCAAACAACGCAGTCCGCCATTTTTCCCCCCCTTTTCCTTAGCTGTGCTACTCCCTTTTATTCTGTTGGCTTTTGAAAGCCAATAGAATAGACTCTCTTGAATAGAGTCTAATTCTATTGGCTTTCCAAAGCCAATAGGAATAGTCCAGGCTGTCTCTGCCCTGCTGAGCCCGCCAAAAGCTCCGTTCTGCAAACGGGGCTGCAAGTTGTCTGCAGTGAAGGCGAGCTGTCTGGAAGCTTCCACCCCTCCCTGCTGAGCAACTACTAAAAATGTAAGTAAAAGAGGGCCAGGGGTGGGAGGTGGGAGGCCGGTGGGCACAGGGAAGGTTGCTGGCGCGCGTGGGGCCTGACGGGTGCCTTACGGCCGGCGCAGGGGCAGCACCACGCATGCGTGGCGCTCCCAGGCAGGAAAAGTCCTCAACTTATGACCTGTTGGCTAGTCCTCGACTTACGACCAGTTGGGTGTCGCGGCATTAAAAAGGTTGAGAACCACTGGACTAGACGACCTCCAAGGTCTCTTCCAACTGTAGGGGCCTGGCGGGTGCCTTACCTCCCTTGGGCTGGGCCAGCTGGTGGCCCAGCCGGTGGTCGCCCTGCGCCGTCTCTGCCGCTTGCCAGCTACGCCTCGGCCGGCGCAGGGGGCGGCACCGCGCATGCACGGCGCTCCCGGGCACACCTACGACCGGTTGGGTAGTCCTCGACTTACGACCGGTTGGGGGGTCACGGCATTAAAAAGGTTGAGAACCGCTGCCACAGACACTCAGCCTCACCACTTCCTTACATAGAGTTTGCTACAAGTGTGGAGGCCGCTTGTCAGAGCAATTGCTTAGAAGCCACCAAGACTCCCACGGACCTGTTGAGCTTTGGAAGAGGGTTGCAGTTCCAGCCCCGACCGCAGGCGAATTTGATTCTCCAGAGGAAGCTGCACCAGGAGGAAGGCGGACATGCTCCGGGCGAGGACACGGAATCTGCCAGGAGAGAAAAAAACCAGAGAGGAGAGTTGAGTCAAGTCCCTGGGGGCAGGCCCTACACCTCCTCCGTTCTCACGCCCACGCAAACACCACGTCTTCCTGGCAATGTCCCCCCAAACACCGCTGTGTAATTAAACTCAACTTGGGGGCCGCGTGACGTGACCTCAACAACAATCTGACTCAGCTAGGAAAGCGTTAGTCCCCAACGGTGCCTTTTTTTTCAGGAGGCAACGAGACTTTCTTGTTTTTCTTTGAAGACGTTTCGCTTCTCCTCCAAGTGGCTTCTTCAGCTCTGATTGAATGGTGGGGAGTGGAAGGATTTACACTCCTTGCAGACCGCTGGTCATTTGCCTTCTTTTCGAGCAGTGTTTCTCAACCTTGACCATTTTAAGGCATGTGGACTTCAACTCCCAGAATTCCACAGCCAGCAATGCTGGCTGTGGAATTCTGGGAGCTGAAGTCCACATGCCTTAAAATGGTCAAGGTTGAGAAACACTGTTTTAGAGGGTTGTTGAGGCCACCTGGAGGTTGACCTGTGTCCTGAGGGTCCACATCCATTTACACCGCTAAGGTGACTTTGAGGATACAATTTAAACCTGGATGACTAAGAACCTCCACAGACAAACTGAAGAGCAGGAGTCTTCAAACTTGGTCCTTTGATGACTGGTGGACTTCAACTCCCAGAATTCCTCAGCCACGCAATGCTGGCTGAGGAATTCTGGGAGTTGAAGTCCACCAGTCAGAAAAGGGTCAGGTTTGAAGACCCCTGACATAATCTGAGGGGGAAATAATGCTAACTCAGAAAGAGCTAAAGCGGTGTTTCTCAACCTCAGCCATTTTAAGAGGTGTGGAATTCAACTCCCAGAATTCCCCAGCTAGCTGTGCTTTGTCCCCAACCTGCTCTTCTACCTTGTGGCATCACATAATGGAGGGGTCCTCAAACTTGGCCCTTTTATGACTGGTGGACTTCAACTCCCAGGATTCCTCAGTCGGCTATTTTGATGAAAGTGCGGGATTGGATCCAGACCCGGGGTCTTTCAACTTGGCCCTTTTATGACTGGTGGACTTCAGCTCCCAGAATTCCTCAGCCAGGCACATTTCAAAAGGTTGAAATGATCCAGGTATCTTGATAAATTAGATCAGGAGTGTAACCATGGCAACTTTAAGACATGTAGACTTCAACTCCCAGAATTCCTCAGCCATTATGGTCGGCTGGGGAATTCTGGGAGTTTATTTATTTATTTATTTATTTATGAGACTTATATACCGCTTTAAGTGCAAGCACTCTCTAAGCGGTGTACACCAGTAAGCAATGTATGTATGTGTATATATATATATATATATATATATTTACATTGCCCCCAACAATCTGGGTCCTCATTTTACCTACCCCGGAAGGATGGAAGGCTGAGTCCACCTTGAGCCGTTGGGATTTGAACCGCTGACCTGCTGAACACAGTCAGCTAAAGTGGCCTGCAGTACTGCACTCTAACTTGAGGAATTCTGGGAGTTGAAGTCCACCAGTCATCAAAGGGCCAAGTTTGAAGACCCCTGGTCTGGATCCAAGCCCGCAGTGTCATTAAAATGGCCGACTGAGGAATTCTGGGAGTTGAAGTCCACCAATCATCAAAGGGCCGAGTTTGAAGGCCCCTGAGTTAGACGCTCAGGTGAACAGGAAACCTCAGGCGCACTTTCAACCCCACCCGGGAGGTCCACCTTCCCTCCTTCTCCCATGGCCTCATACCTGTTTGACAAAGGAGATCTCCTGCCCAGCCCAAGAGCACCGAGGAGTCCAGAGGTGAGTCTCTCTTCAGCCAGCAGGCTCTGCCGGCCTTGCAGAGAGGTCAAGACCCGGATGACCGATTCCATCAAGATGGGATCTTCCTGTTCGGCTTGAAGCAGGCAGAGCTGCAGGATTTTGTGCCACCAGAGGAAGAGTTTAGCTTCGTCCTGGGCAGAGCTAGGCAGAGAAGCAACCCAGAAAGACACGGTGGAGTTAGAAAGCCCACCCGTCTAGCCGGTGTCAGCTCTATGGCTGGGAGGACTTGGCTCGCGAGACGCCGAGGGCAAAATCCAGGGAAGGAGTGGGCTAGAAACTTGAATTATTTGGCCCCCTTCCTTTTGGAAGTTGGAAGGGACAGGTCTGGCAGTTAGAAGGCATCGGTCTGTGGACCCGTTGTAGTCCTGCCTTAGGCATGAAAGCCATGACTTTGGGCCAATCACCAGGAGAGGGTGAGTTCTAGTCCCGCCTTAGGCATGAAAGCCATGACTCTGGGCCAATCACAAGGAGAGGATGAGTTCTAGTCCCGCCTTAGGCAGAAAGCCATGACTTTGGGCCAATCACCAGGAGAGGGTGAGTTCTAGTCCCGCGTTAGGCACGAAAGCCGGCTGGGTGACTTTAGGCCAATCACCAGTAAACAGAGAGTTCTAGTCCCGCCTTAGGCATGAAAGCCATGACTTTGGGCCAATCACCAGGAGACCGTAAATTCTAGTCCCGCCTTAGGCATGAAAGCCAGCTGGGTGACTTTGGGCCAATCACCAGGAGACGGAGAGTTCTAGTCCCGCCTTAGGCATGAAAGCCAGCTGGGTGACTTTGGGCCAATCACCAGGAGACGGAGAGTTCTAGTCCCGCCTTAGGCATGAAAGCCATGACTTTGGGCCAATCACCAGGAGACCGTAAATTCTAGTCCCGCCTTAGGCATGAAAGCCAGCTGGGTGACTTTGGGCCAATCACCAGGAGACCGTAAATTCTAGTCCCGCCTTAGGCATGAAAGCCAGCTGGGTGACTTTGGGCCAATCACCAGGAGACAGAGAGTTCTAGTCCCGCCTTAGGCATGAAAGCCATGACTTTGAGCCAATCACCAGGAGACCATGAGTTCTAGTCCCGCCTTACGCACGAAAGCCATGACTTTGGGCCAATCACCAGGAGAGGGTGAGTGCTAGTCCCGCCTTAGGCATGAAAGCCATCCGGGTGAGTTTGGGCCAGTCCCGGTCTCTCAGCCCAACCAGCCTCACAGGGAGGGATGTTGTTATAGGGAAAACAGGAGGAGGAAGGAATATTCAACACAGGTAAGTCCTCGTCTTACGACCACAACTGAGCACAAAATTAATCTTGCCAAGCGAAACATTCGCCAAGTGAATTTTGCCCCATTTTACGACCTTCCCTGCCACAGTTGTTAACTGAATCACTGCGGTTGTGAAGTGACTAACACGGTCATTCAGTGAATCCGGCTTCCCCCATGGACTCTGCTTGTCGGAAGGGGATCCCACGATCCCGGGGACACCGCAAACGTCATGCCGAGTCAAGAGTTCGAATTCCGCCAAGCGTCCGAATTTTTGACCGCCTGACCGTGGGGGAAGCTGCAACCGTTGCAAGTATGGAAAAAAAACCAACGGTCCCTTTGCTCAAGCGCCGTTGCGAACTTTGAACGGTCGCGAAACGAAGGGTTGTAAGACGAGGACTGCCCGCTGGTTTGCCCCCCCTGGGATTTTTTTGGAAAAATAAAAACGATAGCGGCCAGATATTAAATAAACAAATCGTTCCACCTTTGCCTGTAGGTCAGTGGTTCTCAACCTGTTTAATGCCGTGACCCCCAACCGGTCGTAAGTCGAGGACTACTCAACTGGTCGTAAGTCGAGGACTACTCAACTGATGCAGCACCGTTTGCAGACTGGGACTTTTGGCGGGCTCAGCAGGGCAGAGACAGCCTGGACAATTCCTATTGGCTTTTGAAAGCCAATAGAATTAGACTCTATTCAAGAGAGTCTATTCTATTGGCTTTCAAAAGCCAATAGAATAAAAGGGAGTAGCACAGCTAAGAAAAAGGGGGGAAAAATGGCGGACTGCGTTGTTTGGCGACCCCCGTGAAATGGTCGTTCAACCCCAAATGGGGTCCCAACCCACAGGTGGAGAACCACTGCTGTAGGTAAATTCAAAGGGAAGCGACGGAAGGGCAGATGGAAAAAAAAAAAAAGGAAAAAAAAGAGGACATTTTGTCAGCCATTGAGAAGGTCGGCGGACAAGAACCCTGCCGATTCGCGGAGCTGCACGCCCTCCCTGGGCCTACCTGGGAAACACCTGTTCCGACCACTTGCTCAACGTTAAGAGCGCCCTCATCTCGTTGCCCGGCGTCCGCTCGGCCTTCAGCTGCTGCAGTGTGTACACGTAGAGGGTGAGGTAGCCTCCCGACGACAGGGACACTTGCAGGAAGTCTTCGGCTGCCAGTTCTGGAACCTGCAGGGAGGCCACAATGGGCCCCCAGCCCAAGTCTTGGTTGAGAGGAGGGTCTTTGTCCCACAAAAGGGGGGGAGGACGGTGAGGAGGAGGAGAAAAAGAAAAGAGAAGCTGTTAGACTTAACTTCACGCCAGGTTGCCCTGGATGTTTTTAAGGAGAGACGGGACAGACATTTATCTGAAATGGTATAAGTTCTCCTACTTGAACAGGGGGCTGGACTAGAAGATCTCCAAGGCCCCTTCCAGCTTTATTCTATTCTATTCTATTCTATTCTATTCTATTCTATTCTATTCTATTCTATTCTATTCCATTCTATTCCATTCCATTCCATCCCATTCATAGCAGTGTTCCAGTATCTCAGGGGCTGCCCCAAAGAAGAGGGAGTCAAGCTCTTCTCCAAAGCGCCTGAAGGCAGGACAAGAAGCAACGGATGGAAACTCATCAAGGAGAAAAGCAACCTGGAATTAAGGAGAAACTTCCTGACAGTCAGAACAATTAATCAGTGGAACAGCCTGCCACCAGAAGCAGTAAATGCTCCAACACTGGAAGTTTTTAAGAAGAGACTGGGCAGCCATTTGTCCAAAATGGTATAGGGTTTCCTGCCTGAGTAGGGGTTGGACTAGATGACCTCCAAAGTCCCTTCCAGCTCTATTCTGATTGATTGATTGGTTGGTTGATTGAAATAGTATATGATTTTCTGCCTGAGCAGGGGGTTGGACTAGAAGACCTCCAAGGTGCCTTACAGCTCTATTCTGGTTGATTGATTGATTGATTGATTGATTGATTGATTGATTGATTCAAACAGTATAAGGTTTCCTGCCTGAGCAGGGGTTGGACTAGAAGACCACCAAGGTCCCTTCCAACATTATATTATTATTGTTGTTGTTGTTGTTATATCATCTACGCAATGATAAAAATCATAGCAATCAACTGTGCAACAGCATTTAACAACAGCAATGGCATTTAGACTTATATACCCGCCCCATAGAATTTCCCTCCCCCTGGTTACAAAGTTGCAAAAGTTGTGATTCCCACGCCAATCAGATGTCATAGATCACATTCCCCAATTGTTACTAAAGGCAGGCGCTCCTCCTAAGACTCCAGCCGGCCAAAATGTAATCAGTAATGACCTTGGTTCCCATAGCTAAGAATTGTTACGGCTAACTTAAACCTACACTTCCCTCCGCCCCCTCTCCTAAATATGGGGCAATCGAAAACAAAGTCAAAATGGCTTTAGTTCAATTCGTTGCAGCGTTGACACAAAGCCCCAGCGTTGACACAAAGCAGGCAGCAGACAAAATCAAGCACCCTCCAGTCCATGGAAAAAACCTCTCTCCATGGAACTGTTCCCTGGTGCCCAAAAGGTTGGGGACCTCTGGTTTAGGGTCTCCTGCTTGAGCAGGGGGTTGGATTAGAAAAAGGGTCCCCAGTACCGGGCTACGGCATGTCAGCAACCGGTCCGCACAAACAAGCAAGGTCCCATCCACGGGATGCAGGCAGCACACAAAACCACGCATCCTCTGGTCTGCGGAAAAAGCTCTCTCCACGGATCCGGTCCCTGGTCCCCCAAAGGTTAGGGACCTCTGTACTACAGTTTTACTAGCTTCTCAGAACTGATTGCGATCTTAAGGATAATAATACGGGGAAAATAAGACCGGTCCCATAGGGAAAAAAGAAACAACAGAGAACCAGTTCGGAAGTCCTGGCATGCAATCTGCCGGGAATGAAAGAACTTCTCACCTTCGTTAAAGTAGGCGGTGACACAAGCCTCCATCGTCATGGCCATGTGTTGGACAGATGCCAAACTTTGACAAGAGGCTCTTAAGAGCGGCATCACCCCTAAGCCGCGCAGTGTGCTGCCAATCCAGCGGCAGAGACAAGCCAGGAGGGATTCTGCCGAGGCAGCACTGGCATTGTTGATCACCATCAGGGCTTCGGCAAAGAGGCTGGTTAAGGATAGACTGCGAAGCTGGACATCGGCGCCTGCAAAGCAAACATAAAAGTTACTGTGAAACTCTTGAGCCAGGGGTCTTCAGACTTGGCCCTTTGATGACTGGTGGACTTCAACTCTCAGAATTCCTCAGCCAGCATGCCTGGCTGAGGAATTCTGAGAGTTGAACTCCACCAGTCATCAAAGGGCCAAGTTTGAAGACCTCTCGTCTGGATCCAAGCCTGCAGTTTCATCAAAATGGCCGACTGAGGAATTCTGGGAGTTGAAGTCCACGAGTTATAAAAGAGCCAAGGTTGCCTACCCCTGGTCTGGATCCAAGCCCGCAGTTTCACCAAAATGGCCGACTGAGGAATTCTGGGAGTTGAAGTCCACCAGTCATAAAAGGGCCAAGTTTGAAGACCCCTGGTCTGGATCCAAGCCCGCAGTTTCATCAAAATGGCCGACTGAGGAATTCTGGGAGTTGAAGTCCACCAGTCATAAAAGGGCCAAGTTTGAAGACCCCTGGTCTGGATCCAAGCCCGCAGTTTCATCAAAATGGCCGACTGAGGAATTCTGGGAGTTGAAGTCCACCAGTCATAAAAGGGCCAAGTTTGAAGACCCCTGGTCTGCATCCAAGCCCGCAGTTTCATCAAAATGGCCGACTGAGGAATTCTGGGAGTTGAAGTCCACCAGTCATAAAAGGGCCAAGTTTGAAGACCCCTGGTCTGGATCCAAGCCCGCAGTTTCCTCAAAATGGCCGACTGAGGAATTCTGGAAGTTGAAGTCCACCAGTCATAAAAGGGCCAAGTTTGAAGACCCCTGGTTTGGAGTCACAGGCTAAAGACCTGCATGAAGCAGAGGCTGTCTTTTGAATGGTTGGGAGATAAAGCTTCACTGCTCCGCAGGTGTTGGGCATGAAAAACAGGTGAACTGTGGAAGAAACTACTCAACTAGTGGTTAGCGCTATCTTGGTATGAGATGAGGGTCAACGGAATTCAACAGGGGTTGGACGTATGACCATTGGTGGCTACGCAGAGATTCTAGGCCTATTCCTCTTTTGACTCCACCCCCAGGTTCTGCCACTGCTTCCCCTATACGAAGGCCACAAGGTAGCCTTGGTGGACTTCCAAATTATGTCAAAAGTTGTCAAGTTGTTGGTCTTCCAAATTACGTCGAAAGTTGTTGTAATAATTTAACAGCTATCCAGGTAATGTAATGTAAGATGTATGGTGTAATGATGGGAACGACTCAGCAGGGTCTGTGTCCCTTTAAGAGCCTGAGTATAAAAGGGAAGGCTCCCCTGATGTGCGCTCTCTCTCTCTTTCGTTTCCTGCTGCAACTGTGATGTGTTGAACCTTGCTGTATTAGCACATGTAGGTATATTGTTCCTGGTGTATGATATTGTAGATAGTGTAAGATAAACCACCTGTCAAGGTTCTGACTAACTGAAACACTTCAAAAAACTTTCAGGCATTGTTTATCCTAAAAAAATCTTTAACCCTGAAACAAAGTGTCGGCACAGCATGGTGGATGCCAAGTTCTGAATTCCCCTCCCCTGAGCACATAATATTCAAGCATAATTCCCTCCTCTAATTAGCAGTCATAAATCACGTTCTCCAATCAGTTTGAAGGGCAAAGTTTCCCTTCTGTAGCCCAGCTGTTTCTTAACTAATCCCCCCACACACATTCTTTCTCCTCCCCTCCCAGCATCATCTAATTCAGTGGTTCTCAACCTTTTTAATGCCGCGACCCCCAACCGGTCGTAAGTCGAGGACTACTCAACTGGTGCAGCACCGTTTGCAGAATGGGACTTTTGGCGGGCTCAGTAGGGCAGAGACAGCCTGGACAATTCCTATTGGCTTTTGAAAGCCAATAGAATTAGACTCTATTCAAGAGAGTCTAGTCTGTTGGCTTTCAAAAGCCAATAGAATAAAAGGGAGTAGCACAGCTAAGGAAAAGGGGGGAAAATGGCGGACTGCGTTGTTTGGCGACCCCCGTGAAATGGTCGTTCGACCCCAAATGGGATCCCGACCCACAGGTTGAGAATTAAACTCTAAAAGTACCACACAGATTATACAGAGAGTGGCTGCCTCTTCATATTTTGTCAAAGCAAGAACATCCAATGTTAGCAGCGTTGACGCCACCATTTAATATAGACCACTGTTAACTGTGTTTTGTCCTGGGTTATCTCGTGCAATAAGACTGTGCGCGCTCTGACAAAAGTTGATCCACGTGACTACTGCCTTCCAGATGTTAACTACAAGAGGAGAAGCAGAGAGCCCACCAGGGATGGGGCAACTCAGCTGGTGCTCCACCACTTGATACAAGACCAGTGGTCCATTCCTGGGCTTTCTAAGCGACAAGGAGAACCCTGGTCAAGCAACAGATCGGAATTTCCAGACAGGAAGATCAAACCACGGACTCGGTGCCGTCCCTCTGCCCAACTCTCACCCCCACTCAAGCGGAGTTTTCTTGGCGCTCACCTGGGGGACTAAAGAGGGCGATATCCTCCAGCAGTTTTGAGAACTCCTGCTCCAGGACTGCTGGAGCAATTGTCCCATTTTGTTCCAGAAGACCAAGGAAGCGGACAATCTGGCGGATGAAGGCTTGGCACTTCAGGCTGGCATCCTAGAGAGAGAAGACAGGCAAGGAATGGCACTCCCTCCCTCCAACAGAATCGGTGGGTGGAGGAAAGAAGGGAGGGAGGGAGAGAGGGAGGAAGGAAGGGAGAGATAAGGCATGAAAGAATGAAGGAGGGAGGAAGGAAGGGAGGGAGGGAAAGAAGGAAGGAAGGGAGGGAAAGAAGGAAGGAAGGAAGGAAGGAAGGAAGGGAGAGGTAAGAATGAAGGAGGGAGGAAAGGAGATGGTAGAAGAGAGAAGGAAGGGAGGGAGGGAGGGAAGGAAGGAAGGAAGGAAGGGAGAGGTAAGAATGAAGGAGGGAGGAAAGAAGGAGATGGTAGGAGAGGAAGGGAGGGAGGGAGGGAAGGAAGGAAGGGAGAGGTAAGAATGAAGGAGGGAGGAAAGAAGGAGATGGTAGAAGAGACAAGAAGGAAGGAAGGAAGGAAGGAAGGAAGGAAGGAAGGAAGGAAGGAAGGAAGGAAGGAAGGGAGGGAGGGAGGGAGGGAGGGAGGGAGGGAGGGAGGGAAGGAAGGAGAGGTAAGAATGAAGCAGGGAGGAAAGAAGGAGATGGTAGAAGACAGGAAGGGAAGAGAGGGAGGAAGGAAAGAAGGAAGGAAAGGAGGAAGGAAGGAAGGAAAGAAGGGAGGGAGGAAGGAAGGAAGGAAGGGGTAAGGCATGAAAGAATGAAGGAAGGAAGGAAGGAAGGAAGGAAGGAAAGAAAGGAGGGAGGGAGGGAGGGAGGGAGGGAGGAAGGAAGGAAGAAGAGGTAAAGCATGAAAGAAGGAAGGAGGGAGAAAGGAGGCAGTGGAAGAGGAAGGAAGGGAGGGAGGGAGGGCTTACAGGGTGCCGGCTGCTGTCGAAAGAGGGGCTGAGGCCGGCCGACACTTTCAAGAGCTTCACCACCAGTTCAGCCGCCGGTTCCGTGGCCAGAAGGATGGAGGGGGAATAGTGGCTGTTGAAGTAACTGAGGATGCTCTGATAGGAGGCCATGTTGACATGCTGCCAGGGAAGGGAGCTGGCCTGGCCCAGGAGGTTGAGCAGCGGAGATTGCTGGAGAAGAGAGAAGACAAAGGGGCACTTCACCCACGGCCCTTTCGGCCGTCCATTTGCAACCGCAACCGTCCCCAGAAGTTCAGTCAGAAGTTTCAGCCAGAGCCCTGGTGGCGCAGGGGTTAGAAGGCAGCACTGCAGACAAACTCTGCCCACAATCTGGAGTTCGATCCTGACAGGGCTCAAGGCTGACTCAACCTTCCGTCCTTCCGAGGTCGGTAAAATGAGGACCCAGATTGTTGGGGGGGGGGCAAGATGCTGAGTTTCTAAACCACTTAAGAGAGGGCTGTAAAGCACTACGAAGCGGTGATCACTTTTTCAGCTCACGACGTCTTCACACCAGCGGTGGACTGGGGGGGGCATTGGGGTGGAGCCAAAGAGATCAAGAACTAGAATAGAATAGAGCTGGTCTAGAAGACCTCCAAGGTCCATTCCAGCTCTATTCTGTTCTGTTCCATCCCATAATTCTATTCTATTCTATTCTATTCTATTCTATTCTACTCTATTCTATTCTATTCAATTCTACTATTATATATTCTATTCTATTCTATTCTATTCTATTCTATTCTATTCTATTCTATTCTATTCTATTCTATTCTATTCTATTCTATTCTATTTCTATTTCTATTTCTATTTCTATTTCTATTCTACTATTATATATTCTATTCCAGTGATGGCAAACCTTTTAGAGACCGAGTGCCCAAACTGCAACCCAAAACCCACTTATGCATCGTCGGGTGCCGGGTGGGTGTGGCCCATTGGCTGGGTGTGGCCAAATGGGGTGGGTGTGGCCTATTGGGTGGGACTAAAAAGTTCAATCAATCAATTCCAACTTTGCAAGATCTTTTTTTTCCCTGCGAGAAGTTGAAATTGACTGATTGATTGAACTTTTTTTTTTTTTTTTGTACATGGCGGCGGAGGCCTAAAGCAAAAAGGTTTTATAAAACCCAGCTGAAGGCCGTGGACTGGGGCGACGGCGCACGTGCCCACAGAGAGGGTTCTGAGTGCTACCTCTGTCAACCGTGCCATAGGTTCTCCACCACTGGTATATTCTATCCTATCCTATCCTATATTCCATTCCATATTTTCTATTCTATTCTATTCTATTCTATTCTATTCCATTCCATTCCATTCCATTCCATTTTATTCTATATTCTATTCTATTCTATTCTATTCTATTATTCTATTCCTATTCTATTCTATTCTATTCTATTCTATTCTATTCCATTCCATTCCATTCCATTTTATTCTATATTCTATTCTATTCTATTCTATTCTATTCTATTCTATTCTATTCTATTCTATTCTATTCTATTCTATTCTAGTCTAGTCTAGTCTATTCTATTCTACTCTACTTTATTCTATTCTATTCCATTCCATTTTATTCTATATTCTATTCTATTCTATTCTATTCTATTCTATTCTATTCTATTCTATTCTACTCTACTCTACTCTATTCTATTCTATTCTATTCCATTCCATTTTAATCTATATTCTATTCTATTCTATTCTATTCTATTCTACTCTACTCTACTCTATTCCATTCCATTCCATTTTATTCTATATTCTATTCTATTCTATTCTACTCTACTCTACTCTACTCTACTCTACTCTACTCTACTCCTATTCTATTCTATTCTATTCTATTCTATTCTATTCTATTCTATTCTATTCTACTCTATTCTATTCTATTCCCATTCCATCCTATCCTAATTAACTGAAAGATACACACAACCAGGCATCCTATAAATACAATAGGTCAAACAGCCCAGCGCACACACGCTGGAGAGAGAGAATATCCCTGCAGGACGAGCCCAAAAGCTCAGAAGAATACACTTTTGGTCCTGCTAACCGACTCAGATTGGATCCTGCAACCTCATCCTGGGACAGGTGTTATTTCACCTCGTTCGAGAAGAAGATCTTTGCCCCCATGGAGACTCCATCGATTGCGTCTCGGAAGCCAGCAGGAGTCAAGCCTTCCCCTCACCTCTTTGGTGACAAGCTCTTCCTCTTTGGCCAGCAGGACCACCATGTAGAGCAGGCAGACGATCAGGCTGTGGGTGTCCGGGGGCGGGGTGGGATCCCAGGCGTCAGCGAGGGCACTGACCCAGTTGACCTCACACAGCACCGAGCCCAAGAAGAGGAAGCAACTCTTGGGGCTGCCTCTTTCTACCTGGGACAACAAAACAGGAAAAAGGGAAGGAGGGAGGGAGGACGGACGGACGAAAAGGGGAAGGAAGGAAGGAAGGAAGGAAGGGAGGGAGGGAGGAAGGAAAGAAGGAAGGAAGGAAGGAAGGACAGGAGGGAGGAAAGGAAGGAAAAGAGGGAGGGAATGGAAGAAGGAAGGAAGGAAGGAGTGAAAGAAGGGGAAGGGGTGAAAGGAGGAAGGAAGGAAGGAGAGAAAGACAAAGGGAGGGAGGGAGGAAAGACAAGAGAGAGGGAGGGAGGAACAGAAGAAGAAAGGAGTGAAAGGGGAATGAAGTGGTGAAAGGGGAAGGAAAGAAGAAAGGGAGGGAGGAATGAAAGAGAGACAAGAGGGAGGGAGGGATGGGAGAGGGATGGAAGGAGTGAAAGAAGGGGAAGGAGGGAAGGACAGGAGGGAGGGAAGGAGGCAGGAAAGAAGGAAGGAAGGAAGGAAAGAATGAATGAAAGAGGGACAAGAGGGAGGGAGAGAAGGAAGAACGGAAGAAGGAAAGAAGGAGTGAAAGAAGGGGAAAGAGGGGTGAAAGGGGTAAGGAAGGAAGGAAGGAAGGAAGGAAGGACGGACGGAAGGAAGGACGGAAGGAAGGAAGGAAGGAAGGAAGGAAGGAAGGAAGGAAGGAAGGACGGAAGGAAGGAAGGAAGGAAGGAAGGAAGGAAGGAAGGAAGGAAGGAAGGACGGAAGGAAGGAAGGAAGGAAGGAGGGACGGAAGGAAGGAAAGGACGGAAGGAAGGAAGGAAGGAAGGAAGGAAGGACGGAAGGAGGAAGGAAGGAAGGAAGGACGGAAGGAAGGAAGGGAAGGAAGGAAGGACGGAAGGAAGGAAGAAGGACGGAAGGAAGGAAGGAAGGAAGGAAGGAGGACGGACGGAAGGAAGGAAGGACGGAAGGAAGGAAGGAAGGAAGGAAGGAAGGAAGGAAGGACGGAAGGAAGGAAGGAAGGAAGGAAGGACGGAAGGAAGGAAGGAAGGAAGGACGGAAGGACGGAAGGAAGGAAGGAAGGACGGAAGGAAGGAAGGAAGGAAGGACGGAAGGAAGGAAGGAAGGAAGGAAGGAAGGAAGGAAGGAAGGAATGAATGAATGAAAGAAGGACAAGAGCGAGGGAGGGGTGAGAGAAGGAGGAAGGAGGGAGGAAGACCTTCAGAGTAAAATCATGCATCCTCCCATCCCTCCGATTTTCTACTCAGCTCTTCTTTCCAAGCACCCTTTTCCACCCCCCGCAAGCCTTGCTGGACTGGTTTTTCCCCCCTATATTCCACGCACCCCTTCCCTCCGCCTTCTGCCAGGGACGGGTCCCCAAACAAAAGAGATTTCAAAAGGGCCTGGGAGGATGGGCCGAAGCGAGAACGAAGAAGCCGGGATCTTAAGAGAACCCCCCCCCTTTCCTTCCTCCCCACCTCCCCCCCCCTCTCCTGGCCAGCCGGGAGGAGCAGCTACCTTAAAGAACTTCTCCATCAGGTGCTGATCCGGGTGAACCTCCTTCCAAGGCAGGCGGCCCAACTCCGTGTGGAAGAGGTGCAGGATGTGCTCCGGCATTTTGGGCGCCGTGTACGACTCGCTGTAGTGCATGACGAGGAGCCAGAGCACTCCCGGGTCACTGGGAAGCACCTTGTCTAATAAAAAGAGACATTTTGTTTAAAAAAGAGAGAGAGAGAATGAACAGGAAGAAGCCAAACCAGCCTTGGAGGAATCTAAAGGCACACAGGAAAAAAAGAAAAAAATCACAAGGAGGGCCCTCCAAATACAAGGAAAGGAGACTTAAGAGATGATGGGGATGGTGGGACCTTAATGATAATAATAATAATAATAATAATAATAATAATAATAATAATAATAATAACAACAACAACGACGACGACGACGACGACGATGATGATAATGATAATAAAAAATAAATAAATAAAAGTTGGAAAGGACCTTGGAGGTCATCTAGTCCAACCCCCTGCTCAGGCAAGAGACCTTATACCATTTCGGACAAATGGCTGTCCAGTCTCTTTTTAAAAACTTCCAGTGTTGGAGAAGGGAGGGAGGGAGGGAGGGAGGGAGGGAGGGAGGGAGGGAGGAAGGAAGGAAGGAAGGAAGGAAGGAAGGAAGGAAGGAAGGAAGGAAGGAAGGAAGGGAAGGGAAAAAAAGAATAACAGAATAACAGACATGGAAGGGAATTTGGAGGTCATCTAGTCCAACCCCCTGCTCAGGGAAGAAACCCTATACAACTTAAGACCAATGGCTGTCCAGTCTCTTCTTAAAACTCTCCAGTGTTGGAGCATTCACCGCTTCTGGAGGCAGGTTGTTCCACAGGTTAATTTGTTCTCACTGTCAGGAAGTTTCTCCTTAGTTTTAGGTTGCTTCTCTCCTTGGTTAGTTTCCATCCGTTGCTTCTTGTCCTGCCTTCAGGCGCTTTGGAGAATAGCTTGACTCCCTCTTCTTTGGGGCAGCCCACTGAGATACTGGAAGGCTGCTATCATGTCCCGCCTGGTCCTTCTCTTCATTAAACTGGACATACCCAATTCCAGCAACCGTTCCTTGTATGCTTTAACCTCCAGTCCCCTAATCATCTTTGTTGCTCTTCTCTGGACTCTTTCTAGAGTCTCAACATCTTGTTTACATCGTGGTGACCAAAACTGGGTACAGTATTCCAAGTGTGGCCTTACCAAGGCCTTGTAAAGTGATATTAACCCTTCATGTGATCTTGATTCTATCCCTCTGTTAATGCAGCCTAGCACTGTGTTGGCCTTTTTGGCAGCTGCAGCACACGGCTGGCTCCTATTTAAGGGATCGTCCACTAGGACTCCGAGATCCCTCCCACAGTTACTACTATTGAGCCACCTACACTATACTTCACCCAGAACCTCCCTGAAAGACCTCAGCAACTAGGAATTTGGGGAGGTGTCGTCCTGCTACTTCCAGGTTGGGAAGGCTAAATTAGAGGGGATAATCCATAAGAGGAGAATATTTCTGGTTTAGGTTCGAACCGTGGGGGTCCTTGATGCCCTCTGAGTTCAGTGGGCTTTTTTTTTTTGCAGACGTTTCATGACCAAGCTAGGTAACATCATCAGAGCTAAGACATCATCGCTAGCACTGATGTTGTTACCTAGTTTGGCAATGAAACGTCTGCAAGAAAGCAATCCAGTTCCGAGAGCGCCGAGGAACCCCCAGTCCTCTTTCTCCCCTCCTCCTCTCCCCCCCTTCCTCCTTTTCTCCCCTCCCTCCTTCTCTCCCTTCTAGCACTGATGTTGTTACCTAGTTTGGTAATGAAACGTCTGCATGAAAGCAATAAGGTTCAGAGAGCGCCAAGGACCCCCCCAGTCCTCTTTCTCCCCTCCTCCTCTCCTCTTCTCCCCCCCTTCCTCCTTTTCTCCCCTCCCTCCTTCTCTCCCTTCTAGCACTGATGTTGTTACCTAGTTTGGTAATGAAACGTCTGCACGAAAGCAATCAGGTTCAGAGAGCGCCGAGGATCCCACAATCCTCTTTCTCTCCTCCTCCTCCTCCTCTCCCCCCTCTTCCTCCTCCTCCTCCTCCCTCCCTCCCCCTTCTAGCACTGATGATGTTACCTAGTTTGGTAATGAGACGTCTGCAAGAAAGCAATCAGGTTCCGAGAGCACCAAAGACCTCACAATCCTCCTCTTCCTCCTCCCTCCCTCCCTCCCCAATGTCAACGCTGCTAATATTGAATCTTCTCGCTTTGACAAAATATGCAGAACTGTCTGGTAGTTTTAGAGTTAATTCAGATGACAGAGAAAAGGGAGGGGAAAATAACAAAAGCTCGGGAAAAGGAACAGGAAGGGAATCTCTGCCCTCTGGGCTAATTGGAAGATGTGACTTGTGACAGCAAGATAAGGGAGGGGTTTAGCAAGAAAAGCACTGGTGATGTTACCTAGTATGGCAAGGAAACACAGGCAAAAAAAGCAATCAAGTTCAGAGAGCGCCAAGGACCCCACAGTCCTCCCCCCTCCTCCTCTTCACAAACGCCCCTCCCTTCTAATACGGATGACGTTGCCTATCTTGGTAACGAAACGTCTGCAAAAAAAAAAAAAAGCAAGCCGTCGAGTTCAGAGAGCGCCAAGGACCCCTGACAAGGGGATAAAGTTTCCAATCTTCTTACCTTTAAAACTGTTGTGTAGGATGTCTACGCTGGATGCAAACAACTCCACCATTGTGGACGAAAGGGAGGCGTCACTTTCCAGCCAGGGATAGCAGCGCTGTTTGCTTTCCAGACAGACAGAGAAAGAGAGAGAGAGAGAGACAGATCAGCACCAACTTTAGCTAAATGGCTGCTTTCTCCAATTCCAGCATTAACTGAAGTCTGCTTTAGCATCTTGTAATGTTTTCATCTTAATTCTAGCTTTCTTCCCCTGCCAAATAAAGTTCAAAATTAATGAATTTAAATCTTGGGAAAAAATTTCTCCCAAGTTTTATCGGAATCGTTTGAAGTAGAAATAAAATCTTCGGCAACACATTCATTTTTATTGTAGCAGTTCTTCCTAATATTGACAGCTGCAGGTTTTTTCCATCTTTCCAAGATCGAACTTGAAACGGTGGGCAGAGTTAGCCTGCAATATTGCATTCTAACCACTCCGCCACCATGACTCTTACCTAGTGACTTATAACTAGGTGACAATAGTACGTAGACTTATATGCTGCCCTAAACTTTACAGCCCTAAGTGGAATAATAATAATAATAATAATAATAATAATAATAATAATAATAATAATAATAATAATAATAATAATCCACATCTGCCTATCCCAGGTCCTGGGTAAGGACTCGATAGGTAGACAAAATGCCAAATCCAGTCTGAACATCTGGCTGACTGTGCGATGATCCATAATAATGATGATGATGATGATGATAATGGACTCGATAGGTAAACAAAATGCCAAATCCAGTCTGAACATCTGGCTGACTGTGTGATGATCCATAATAATAATAATAATAATTAGTTGGAAGGGACCTTGGAGGTCTTCTAGTCCAACCCCCTGCTCAAGCAGGAAACTCTATACTATTTCAATCAATCAATCAATCAATCAATCAATCAGAACAGAGCTGGAAGGGACTGTGGAGGTCTTCTAGTCCAACCCCCTGCTCAAGCAGGAGAGCCTCTACCATTTCAATCAACCAATCAATCAGAATAGAGCTGGAAGGGACCTTGGAGGTCTTCTAGTCCATCCCCCCCCAGGTCAAGCAGGAGACCCTGTACCATTTCAATCAATCAATCAATCAATCAATCAATCAGAACAGAACTGGAAGGGACCTTGGAGGTCATCTAGTCCGACGCCCTGCTCAGGCAGGAGACCCTATATCATTTCAGACAAATGGTTGTCCAGTCTCTTCTTAAAAACCTCCCGTGTTGGAGCACCCATAACTTCTGGAGGCAAGTGGTCCCACTAATATTTTGTGACTATTCCAGCCCGCCATGACGGCCCCTTTCTGAGGGCACCACGAACACGTGCTTAAAATTTCCAGTGTGTCCCCCATCCGGCCAAACAGGTGGAGATCCCGGGTTCAGTTCTATTTCCTTTAACATCCTAAACAGCTTCCCGCTTACCTCGTTTCTTCTCCCTCTAAAACCTCAAGCCACGGCTTGAAGAGTTGAATGGTAACTAGAAATAGAGAATGCAAAGCTGAAAAGGAGAAAGAGAAAGAGAAAGAGAAAGAGAGAGAGAGAGAGAGAGAGAGAGACTTCTAGTGAAATGCTTCCAACTGCACATGTTCAACTTTTTTTTAATGGAATTCAAAAAGGTCAGGACAGGAGCAGACAAAACCTTCTCCTACCTTTCTTTTCTCCGTTTCCAAACAAGCACGTCTTACTTTCATGAGAATAAACCTTGAGTTGACACAAGGCTTACTCTTACCATTAGGCAGAATGCACGATCTGCCTGGTTTTTATATTCATAATTGTTTTGATATCTCTCTTTCTTTTTTTTTTTAACTACATCGTAAGCCACCCGGCATCTCTTCGAACAGCGAAGATGGGCGGTGTGTCAATTTAATAAACAAACAACCGAACAAATAAAGCAGCGGTTCTCAACCTGTGGGTGGGGACCCCATTTTGGGTCGAACGACCATTTCACGGGGGTCGCCAAACGCAGTCCGCCATTTCCCCCCCCCCCTTTTCCTTAGCTGTGCTACTCCCTTTTATTCTCTTGGCTTTTGAAAGCCAATAGAATAGACTCTCTTGAATAGAGTCTAATTCTATTGGCTTTCAAAAGCCAATAGGGATGGTCCAGGCTGTCTCTGCCCTGCTGAGCCCGCCAAAAGTCCCATTCTGCAAACGGTGCTGCACCAGTTGAGTAGTCCTCGACTTACAACCGGTTGAGTAGTCCTCGACTTATGACCAGTTGGGGGTCGCGGCATTAAAAAGGTTGAGAACCACTGAAATAAAGGAAACAGACGTGCAATAAATCTGGAACCCAAATTTGGGCAGATTCTTGAACTCCTGGCCAGGATCAGTTTAGGAGATTCCATAAATGTTTGTGGAGATTCTTGTCCCAAAAAGGTGCTTTTTTTCACGAGGAAACGGGACTTTCTTGTTTTTCTTTGAAGACGTTTCGCTTCTCATCCAAAAGAAGCTTCTTCCGCTCTGACTGGATGGTGGGGGAATGGAAAAATTTATACTCCTTGCAGACCGCTGGTCATTTGCCTTCTTTTAGGAAGGTCGTTGAGGCCACTTGGAGGTTTGTCTGTGCCCTCAGGGTCACCTGAGTGGTGCAAATGGCTGCGGAGCCTTCTTCGGCTGCAAGGAGTATAAATCCTCCCATTCCCCACCATCCTTTTTCTTGAGCACAGGTTCCCCTCAGGGCTGCGTCCTACGTCCGCTGCGTTCACCTTGTTGACCCGTGACTGTTGTGCTAGGTTTGCCACCAACCATTTTGTGAAGTTTATGGATGATACAACACTACTGGGCCTTATTCATGACGACAATGAGGGTGCTTAATGCATGGAAGTTGAGGGTTTGGTGAACTGGTGTAAGGAGAACAGCCTAGCTTTAAATACTGGAAAAACCCAACACTGTCAATTTCAGAAAAGGCAGGCCCAGCCACTCTCCTCTGTGCATTAATGATTCACCTGTGGAGATGGTTACTAACATCAAATTCCTGGGTGTGCAGCTAATGAGTACGCTGGCTTGGTCGCTCAACTGCGAGACGCTGCTGAAGCGGGCACAGCTGCGCCTGCATTTTCTGTGTCGCATGAGAAAAGCACATCTTCCTTCCCCTGTCCTGACCACTTTCTATAGGGAGACGATAGAGAGCATCCTGTCATATGGCATCACAGTCTGGTTTGGAAGCATCCCTGCTTCAGACAGGAAGGCAGTGCAGAGAGTGGTGAGGACAGCAGAAAAGATCATCAGCAGTTTTCTCCCTCCCATCCAGGACGCAGCACAGAAGCGCTGCTTGAGCAGGGTCCGCAGGACTGTCTGGGATACTACACTCTCTCTCCACGACCTGTTTTCCTTTGTTACCTTCTGGGGGGAGGACGGGGCTCTGGGGTATCCTAAGCAGAACATCCAGATTCAGTCACAGTTTTGTCCCTTACAGTTATCAGCCTTGTGAACTCTCAAGCTTCCTCCTTCCATTATATATTCAAGATGGACAGTGATTAATATTTATATATCACTTATATGTAAGGGTGTAGGTATATACGTATGTTTTATATAGGATGTTTTAAATGTGCGTTATGTATGTGTACACTTGAGAGGAAACAACTAAATTTCATTTTTAATGTGTGCCGTTTGCCCACAGTAAAAATGACAATTAAGGTTTATCTATCTATCTATCTATCTATCTATCTATCTATCTATCTATCTATCTATCTATCTACCTATCTATCTCTATATCTATCTATCTATCTATCTATCTATCTATCTATCTATCTATCTATCTATCTATCTTATCTATCTACCTATCTATCTCTATCTATCTATTTCTATTATTTCTATCTATATTTCTATTATTTCTATCAAATCTATTTCTATCTATTTCTATTATTTCTATCATATCTATCTAATCTATCTATCTATTTCTATTATTTCTATCTATCTAATCTATCTATTTCTATCTATTATTTCTATCTATCTAATCTTTCTATATCTATTTATTTCTATCTATTATTTCTATTATATCTATCTCTATGTATTTCTATTATTTCTATCTATCATATCTATCTATCTACCTACCTACCCACCTATCATCTATCTGCCTGCCTGTCTGTCTATCTGTCTCTATCTCTGTTTCTATCAACCATTTGCTATCATTCTTTTCTTTCTATGTGTATCTATCTATCTATCTATCTATCTATCTATCTATCTAATATCTATATCTATCTTTCTATATCTAGTCAGAGCTGAAGAAGCTTCTTGGATGAGAAGTGAAACGTCTTCAAAGAAAAAGAAGGAACGCCAGTTGCCTCGTGAAAAAAGCACCACTGGGAGATTCAACAAAGCGTGACAACGATCAGCACACCAAACTACTTCCGCTGCATGATTACCTTCAAACACCCTGTTGCTGCCTATGGGCTCCCGTGACAAGCTGTCCATTTTGGAGTCAATTAGACGGTGGAGCAGATATTGCATCAGACGTTTGACATGAGCCACGTAAGGTGCCCACTTGGAAAATAGTCCAAAACTTCGATAGTCTTGAGAAGACAACCGCAGTTTGAGGAAGTAGTCGGACAACCACTCTATGGTCTCCATGACCTGGGAAGAAAAGAAGCAAACTTCAGATAGAATATTAGCTGTGGGGTGACAGCTACTCACCTGGTCCCAACTCATTAGCGACGGACTTACATGGCTAATCCAGCCAGGATGGGTAATGCTTTTGCAGTATGTGCCCAAAATGCTGCAATACTGGAAGTTTTTTTTTTATATTGAAAAGTTTTATACAAATTTTCCATTTTATTACAATACAATATCCCTCCCTCCCTCTCCCCCCACCCTAAGTCTAACCCCCCCCCTCACTTCCCAGAGCTGATTACAGGGTTACAAATAAGCAAACAAATTCTAATTAAGCTTATCCAACTATACCAATAACCAAATCCATAAAATACTTTAACTCAAATACAAGAAAATTTCAAAAAAAAAAAAAATTAAAAACGAAAATAACAATATAAACAATTTCCACTTTAAACTATAAGCTATTCAAAAACTAAATGATACTTTCTAATCCCATATTTATTCTGTACATAATTTATCCATCTTCTCCACACCGAGATGTATCTTTCTTGTGAATGATCCTTCAAATAAGCAGAAATGTTGGCCATTTCTGCTAAATTAGAAGCTTTAAGCGACCATTCTCCCATAGCGGGCAAAGAAGCTATCCTCCAATATTGCCCAACCAGTAACCTTGCAGCCGTAATAAGATTCAACATTAAAATAGTTTCTTTAGCATCACAATCTACAATAATACCTAACAAAAATAATTGTGGTGAAAACTTTATCTTTCTATTAAAAATCTTCTGAATGTTCCACCAAATCTTAATCCAAAAAGCTTTTTCTACACGTCCACCAAATATGATAATAGGTTGCATCCAAGCAACCACATCTCTGGAAGTTTTTAAGAAGAGATTGGACACCCATTTGTTGCAACGGTCGCAAGCGTGAAAAACAGTCATCAGTCACTTTGGTCAGTGCCATTGTAACTTCGAACGGTCACTAAACAAACTCTTGTAAGTCAAGGACTCCCTGTAGTTGACTTAGGATGACATGACCTATTTCGTAACCCCTGGCTGGAATTTTACAATTTTTTTTTGCCTACTCTTTCCCTATTTACTATTAAATTCTGGACAGTCTAAGATGGTATTGTAAGTGAACCTGTTCACACAGGTTGCTTATCTGTTCATCTGTTTATCAGGTGATAAAACGGGCTCTGTTCTTTTTCCAAATCTACAGGAGTGGCCCAAATTGTGGAAACCTTTTGGGAAAAGTGTACAGTAGAAAGGCCACCTTTGGTTATGTTTCCACCCATTTTTCTTCTAATTTCTTTAGAACTGTAGCCTTGTTCACTTAATAATACTATTTTGCATCGCTTTCTGGGTGACCAGTCAACTCTTTGCACCATGGCTTTAATTTTATTACGTTTTGCAAGCTCACTAAGTGAAAGAACACAAAAAAAACCCAACCAACTTGACAGCCATCTCATAACACACTGACAAATGTCCTCCTCTCAGCTTCAATACATGACATCAATAACTGGATCCTACTGTGATCTGATTGGCTCATTGCCAAAATAAGATGACACCCAATTGACTCTCGAAACACTCACACTCATTGGCTACAATCAAGTGAAGGAAAGCTACCTGAGATCAACCTAAGCAAGGCGTGCTTCTTTTTTCTGGTTATTTGGCTATAACCTTTCATAGAATACAGTACAGATAATTGAACAAACTTTATTGCATTACGTTCTTGATTAAATTATCTTTCCATTGATATATAATTTTATGGTACTGCTCCAAAAAAAAAAAAAGTGGCGTTATTAGCCATCAAACCTCAACAATACACTTTCCCCAAAAGATTTCCACAATTTGGGCCACTACTGTAATTTTGTTTCATTTAGTAATTTTATGTAATTATCTTTTTATCATTGCATATCTTGCTGTTAAGTATATTCCTAAATATTTAACTTTCTTAACTATTTGTAAGTCTATTGTTTCTGTCGGGTTTTTTTTTTTTTTGTTTTGTTTTGTTTTGTTTTGTTTCTTTTGCTTATCTGTAAGGTTTTTTAACTACAACTTTGGTTTTTTTTTTCTCTGTTTATTTTCAATCCTGCTATTTCTCCAAATTCTTCTCTCCTTTTCAATAGTTTAAGGGTTGTCTCCAGCGGTTCTTTTAAACTGAATACTATTAAATCCCAGACAGTCTAAGATGGTATTTGTAACCGAACCTGCGTACATGGGTTGCTCACCTGTTCAGGTGATAAAATTGGCTCCGTGGAAGGCTGTAGGGGGAGGCTTGGGTTCGCCATTTCTTTCCTTCCGTTTTCCTTTGCTGGGATGGAGCTGGGGCAGCCCAAACCTTTAAGGGATGCTTTCCAACAGTCCGGGCTGAGGAGCTGATCTGAAGAACCTGAGCAGAAAATTCAAACCAAAATTAAAGTTTCACTCTTAGCTTTGCATCCCATTCATTATATAGCTGTGTTCCAATATCTCAGGGGCTGCCCCAAAGAAGAGGGAGTCAAGCTATTCTCCAAAGCGCCTGAAGGCAGGACAAGAAGCAATGGATGGAAACTCATCAAGGAGAGAAGCAACCTAGAACTAAGGGGAAACTTCCTGACAGTGAGAACAATTAATCAGTGGAACTACCTGCCCCCAGAAGTGGTGAATGATCCAACACATGTGAAAGGCGTGGTTTAAATTTTCTTCCTGGTAGATGATTAAGCTAAGGGGGGTGTGTGTGTGTGTGTGTGTGTGTATGAGAGAGAGAGAGAGAGAGAGAGAGAGAGAGAGAGAGAGAGAGAGAGAGAGAGATAAAGGTTGAGAAAGGGAACAAGAAAGGAAGGAAGGGAGGGAGGGAAAGAAATAGAATAGAATAGAATAGAATAGAATAGAATAGAATAGAATAGAATAGAATAATAGAATAGAATAGAATAGAACAGAACAGAACAGAAGCTGGAAGGGACCTTGGAGGTCTTCTAGTCCAGCACAGTTTCCCTCAACCTGGGCAATGTGTGGACTGCAATTCCCAGAGTTCCCGGGTCAAAATTCTGAGAGCTGAAGTCCGCATGTCTTAAAGTTGCCCAGGTTGAGAAACACACCGGAGTCATCCATCATCAAGACTCTCTTCCCGTTCTTACTCGCTGAAGACTAGCCGTAAAAGTTGAGATGCTACTTACTTTGAAGAAGGAGCCTCAGAAAACTGCTGTAGTGGTCAGGAAACTGGTACTGGAGGAGGCAAACCCAGTGCTTGCAGAAGATGGAGAAAGGCATTAAGACGTCCTTCTCAGGCTCAAAGCCACAGGTCTTGAGGCCCACGTGGATGGACTCCAAAAGCTGGCCACGCTCTGACAGGGCAGGTTTTGAACTCTGCAGCCATTCCAGGAGGTCAAACTGTTGTTGTTGTTTTTTTAAAAGGGGGGGGGGGAAGGTTGAGGTTGGGGAGAGGATGGAGAGAAATGGGAGGGGTGAAGGAGAGAGCAGTGAGGCTGATTAATTCCAAAAGAAAGAGGGCAAGTTAGAAATGTTCTATTTTGGGTCATAGAAGTAATTATGCTCACAATATTCTATGCTATTCTGTTCCATTCCATTCCATTCCATTCCATTCTATTTCTATTTCTATTCTATTCCATTCCATTCCATTCCATTCCATATTATCTATTCTATTCTATTCTATTCTATTCTATTCTATTCTATTCTATTCTATTGTTCTATTCCACAGGTCGGCAACCTGCGGCTCCGGAGCCGCATGCGGCTCTTTGAGCCTTCCCCTGTGGCTCCCAGCCTCCTCTGCCTTTGCAGAGAGAGACAGAGACAGAGAGAGGCAATTGCACTTCCCTGCTTCTCTCTCTCTCTCTCTCTCTCTCTCTCTCTCTCTCTCTCTCTCTCTCTGTGTGTGTGTGTGTGTGTGTTTTTGTGTGTGTGTGTGTGTGTGTGTGTGTGTATAAAAAAAGAGAGTGCACTCACAGTGTTCTCCGAGGAGCTGAAAAGCTTTCTGGGCGGAGCTCTTTCCTTCCTTCCAGGAAGCAGGAAGGGCAGGAGAGAGCTAGCTAGCCCAGCTAGGCTGACTCAGGAATTCTGGGAGTTGAAGTCCATGAGTCATAAAAGAGACGAGGTTGCCTACCCGGAGGTTGTTGGACAACAGCTTGAAGCTTGCCAGGTGAGCAGCAGATAGGAGGGGGGGAGAAAGAGAGAGAGAGAAAGAGAGAGAGAGGGAGAGAGAGAGAGTGGGGGAAGAGGAGTGGCAGACCAAGGGCAGATAGAGAGGGAGGGAGAGAGAGACCCTTTTGACATCTAAAATGAAGATAACACTGCATATATCCTTTTTTTACCTGTGTGTGTATGTAATTTTATTCTCTTAAAGCATTCTCTTGGTGATCATTGTTTTAATAGTATGGATATTCCCAAGAGTCATATTTTTACTTTTATTTTTAATGTGTATGTGTGTGTGTGTGTGTGTATACATATACACATACACACACACACACACACATACACACACCTATAATAAAGGTTAGAAAGGATATATGCAGTGTTATCTTCATTTTAGATATCAAAAGGGTTTTGCGGCTCCCAGTGTTTTGTTTTTGGTGGGAAACGGGTCCAAGTGGCTCTTTGAGTGTTTTGGGTTGCCTACCCCTGTTCTATTCTATTCCATTCCATATTATCTATTCTTATTCTATTCTATTCTATTTTCCATTCCATATTTTCTTTATTCTATTCTATTCTATTCTATTCTATTCTATTCTATTCTATTCCATATTCTATTCCATTCCATTCTATTCTACATTCTATTCTATTCTATTCTATTCTATTCTATTCTATTCTATTCTATTCTATTCTATTCCATTCCATTCTATTCTACATTCTATTCTATTCTATTCTATTCCATATTCTATTCTATTCCATATTCTATTCTATTCTATTCTATTCCATTCTATTTTACATTCTATTCTATTCTATTCTATTCTATTCTATTCTATTCTATTCTATTCTATTCTATTCTTCCACTCCACTCCATATATTCTCTTCTCTTCTCTTCTCTTTTCTATTCTCTTTTCTATTCTATTCTATTCTATTCTATTCTATTCTATTCTATTCTATTCTATTCTATTCTATTCTATTCTATTCTATTCTATTCTATTCACAGTCATGGGATGCCCAAAACCCTTCAAATCCAGGCATTGCTTTCAAGAAGAAGGAGGGGAGAAAAAAAGCCCTCCAGATCAATTGCCCAGGCATCAAAGGCGCATGGCAACCCTTCCGTCTCTCACACCTTTGTCAGGAGCATGAAAATGACATCGCTGTTGTCGTCGCCCAGGAAAGCCACCACTTTCTCGTACAAGTTGACAAACTCCTCCGGGGAGGCAACCGGGGTGAAGTAGGGGGAGAGCAGTGTGCAAAGCCTTCGGTTCTTCAGGATGGTTTGTAGAACCCGCTGGCATTCGGACTTGGTCCCCATGATGAACACCTGGAACGAGAGGCGGGGCTTCCGTTCAGCCAACAGCCAGTCCTGCGGGGTCTCTTCAGGAGGCCGAGACCCTTCAAAGGAGGAGTCCCGCCCCCGACCTATGGTCCACTTCCCCCACTCGTGTCAGAGCCCACAGAACCGTTTGGGTGTGCGCGCGGGGCTAGCAGTGGCGGTGGCGAGCACCTGCGCACCTGCGCAAATGGGGCCACTAGCATCTGGGGGCTGCACTTCCCGTTTGTGCAGGCGTACAAGCGTTAGCAGAGGCCAATCTTTGCCCAAGTATGCCACTTGCTGACAATCCATCTGATTTTTGTCTTTTCCCGCATCAAGGGCAATGGAGAGCTTTCCTTAAAAAAGGAAGCTGACCCTTCACACCGAATAGCAATCGTAAATTTTCTTCAGTGGTCAGAACATACCGCAGCTCTGCTGTTGTCAACTGCCAGATTTCAGTTTAAATTGTTCTTTATGTATTAAAGTTTACATGCAGCCCATTTCACCAATCAAGAGTTTTAAAATTAGCTTTAGTTTATTTACCGTCACACATATTCATAGTTTATTTATTAAATTTTACATGCTGCCCATTTCACCCATAAGGAGTTTTAAAATTAGCTTTAGTTTATTTACCATCACGATATCTCTAGTTTATTTACCATCACACGTATTTATAGCTTGTTTATTTATTTATTAATTTTTATACGCTGCCCATTTCACCAATAAGGAGTTTAAAAATTAGCTTTAGTTTATTTATGATCACACATATCTATAGTTTATTTACTCTCACATGTATTTAGTTTGTTTATTTATTTATTAAATTTTATATGCTGCCCATGTCACCAATAAGCTTTAAAATTAGCTATAGTTTATTTACTACCACGCATAACTATAGTTTATTTACTATCACACGTAATTATAGTTTATTAAATTTTATATGTTGCCCATTTCACCAATAAGGAGTTTTAAAATTAGCTATACTTTATTTACTATCATGCATATTTATAATTTATCTATTAAATTTTATATGCTGCCCGTGTCACCAATAAGCTTTAAAATTAGCTATAGTTTATTTGCCATCATGCATATCTCTAGTTTATTTACTATCACGTGTATTTATAGTTTGTTTATTTATTTATTAAATTTTATATGCTGCCCATTTCACTAATAAGTAGTTTTAAAATTAGCTTTAGTTTATTTATGATCACACATATCTACAGTTTATTTACTCTCACACGCATTTAGTCTGTTTATTTATTTATTAAATTTTATATGCTGCCCATGTCACCAATAAGCTTTAAAATTAGCTATAGTTTATTTACTATCACACATAATTATAGTTTATTAAATTTTATATGCTGCCCATTTCACCAATAAGGAGTTTTAAAATTAGCTATAGTTTATTTACTATCACACATATTTATAGTTTATTTATCTATTAAATTTTATATGCTGCCCATGTCACCAATAAGCTTTAAAATTAGCTATAATTTATTTACCATTACGCATATCTATGATTTACCATCACACGTATTTATAGTTTGCTTATTTATTTATTAAATTTTATATGCTGCCCACTTCACTAAGGAGTTTTAAAATTAGCTTTAGTTTATTTACTCTCACACGCATTTAGTTTATTTATTTATTAAATTTTATATGCTGCCCATGTTACCAATAAGCTTTAAAATTAGCTATAGTTTATTTACTATCACACATAATTATAGTTTATTAAATTTTATATGCTGCCCATTTCACCAATAAGGAGTTTTAAAATTAGCTATAGTTTATTTACTATCACACGTATTTATAGTTTATTTATTTATTAAATTTTATATGCTGCCCATTTCACCAATAAGGAATTTTAAAATTAGCTACAGTTTATTTACTATCACACATATCTATAGTTTATTTACCGTCACACATATTTATAGTTTGCTTATTTATTTATTAAATTTTATATGCTGCCCATGTCACCCATAAGGAGTTTTAAAATTAGCTGTAGTGTATTTACCATTACGCATATCTATGGTTTATTTACCGTCGCACGTATTCATAGTTTGCTTATTTATTTATTAAATTTTATATGCTGCCCCTTTTACCAATAAGGCGGCTTTTAAAGTTATCTACAGCTTATTTATTTGCTAGCATGCATCCTTAATTTCCCATCCACTTTAACAAGCGCTCAGTGGCCTATTAAAATAATTCATCGCGGAATGGCTAAATCGGCATGAACGGATAACTCAATTTCACCCGTGACAGAATCCTATCCCCAAACAGCTCACCTGGCCTAGGATCTCGATACAAGAAGTGAAGAACTGCCTGGATGGTGGGTGACGCTGCGTTTCATCAGACACATATTCCACGATGGCAAAAAACAGGCTGATCCCAATTCGCTGAATCCTCGGGCTAGGCTGAAGCTTATAGATATTTATTAAGCCTCTGTGGCACGGATAAAAATCGAGATTTAAAAACACGGTCAGCAAAGGACGGAAGGCATTAATGTTATTCGTTCTTGGATTAGCGCCATAAATAAAGTTAGGCAGCCAAAGGGGTAAGATTTAGAGCAGGAAGGAGGCCCCTGTGGGAACAATCTCTCTATTTGGGTGTAAATCCTGCAGGAGAAGGCTTCCCTTCTGATCATGGATACAGGGATATGGACCTGTCCTTAGGATCAATACTTTTTAAAAATGCAGTTATGAGCAAGTCATGAAGATAGATTTAAAAGGCCAATTTGGGGCTGCTTCAGGATGATTGGCCACAGGTTTTGATTCAATGACCGTTCGAAGCTACAGACCAAGGGTCTTCAAACTTGGCCCTTTCATGACTGGTGGACTTCAACTCCCAGAATTCCTCAGCCAGCATGCCTGGCTGAGGAATTCTGGGAGTTAAAGTCCACCAGTCATAAAAGGGCCAGGTTTGAAGACCCCTGACATAACGTGAGGGGGAAATAATGCTAACTCAGAAAGAGCTAAACTGTGTTTAGCACAACTGTGTTGTGTTGATAATTGTCTGTGTTAATTTTACAATTTAATAGCCTCACATTGTCTCCCTTAGCAAGCACTAGATAATGGATGATGGATTTATAGCAGGGATCTTCCAACTTGGCCCTTTGATGACTTGTGGACTTCGACTCCCAGAATTCCTCAGCCAGGCACCTGAGGAATTCTGGGAGTTGAAGTCCACCAGCCAGAAAAGAGCCAAGTTTGAAGACCCCTGACAAAATGTGAGGGGGAAATAATGCTAACTCAGAAAGAGCTAAACTGGTGTTTCTCAACCTCGGCCATTTTAAGAGGTGTGGACTTCAATTCCCAGAATTCCCCAGCCAGCTGTGCTTTGTCCCCAACCTGCTCTTCTACTTTGTGGCATCACATAATGCAGGGGTCTTCAAACTTGGCCCTTTTATGACTGGTGGACTTCAACTCCCAGGATTCCTCAGTCGGCCATTCTGATGAAACTGCGGGCTTGGATCCAGACCAAGGGTCTTCAGACCTGGCCCTTTTATGACTGGTGGACTTCAACTCCCAGGATTCCTCAGTCGGCCATTTTGATGAAACTGTGGGCTTGGATCCAGACCAGGAGTCTTCAGACTTGGCCCTTTGATGACTGGTGGACTTCAACTCCCAGAATTCCTCAGTCGGCCATTTTAATGAAAGTGCAGAATTGGATCCAGAGCAGGGGTCTTCAAACTTGGCCCTTTGATGACTGGTGGACTTGAAGTCCACCAGTCGTAGAAGGGCCAAGTTTGAAGACCCCTGCAACAGAGACCCTGAAAAGAGAGACTTGTGACCACTTCTTACACTTACAACCATTGCAGGACCTCCAAATTCGGACACTTTATGATGGCTGCAGTGTCCCAGGATCACATGAATCACAATTTATAACCTTCCCAGCTGGGGATGGTCGATGTGGGGAAACCGGATTTTCTTCAGGACCAAAATGATTCATTTAACAACCGGGGCGATTCATTTAACAACTGTGGCAAGAAAGGGGGCAAAAAACTCGCTTAAAGACATAAAGTCTGGCGTCAGTTGTGGTTGTAAGTCAAGGACTACCTGTGAACTCAAGTTGAGGATGTGGCTGACCCATTGATGTCCTTCACGACTTACGACCGCGATGGAAAGGTCGTAAAAGGAGGGCCTTTGCACAACTGTGGGTGGTGCGCCAGTGACGCCCTTTCCTGGACCAACAATCCCTGCTCAGGGTCACTCACACCTTAGTCACCTCCCGTCTTGGCTACTGCAACGGGCTCTACAGCTGCCCTTGAAGAGCATCCCGGAAGCTCCAACTGGTGCACAACGCAGTGGCCCGCATGGTTTTGTGCAGACCTGGGTGTGCGCATGTGTCACCTCTCCTACAGGAGCTGCAATGGTTGCCAATTTGTTTCCGGGGGCAATTCAAGGTGCTGCTTGTCACCTTTAAAGCACTTCTTGGCTTGGGACCAGGTTGTCTCGAAGGGACCATCCCTTGCTGGTCACATCCAGACGGGGAGGCAAGGAATGTTGCAGGTCCCATCCCATAATGCAGGGGTCCCCAACCCCCGGGACCAGTGGACCAGTACGGGGCCACGGCATGTCTGAGATGGTATAGGTTCTCCTGGACTAGAAGACCTCCAAGGTCCCTTCCAGTTCTATTCTATTCCATTCCATATTTTCTACTCTACTCTACTCTACTCTACTCTACTCCACTCCATTCCACTCCATTCCATATTTTCTATTCTATTCTATTCTATTCCATTCCATTTCATTCCATTCCATATTTTCTATTCTATTCCATTTCATTCCTTTTTCTATTCTACTCTACTCTACTCTACTCCACTCCATATTTTCTATTCTATTCTATTCTATTCCATTCCATTCCATATTTTCTATTCTATTCCATTCCATTCCTTTTTCTATTCTACTCTACTCTACTCTACTCTACTCCACTCCACTCCACATTTTCTATTCTATTCTATTCTATTCTATTCTATTCTATTCTATTCTATTCCATTCCATTCCATATTTTCTATTCTATTCCATTCTATTCCTTTTTCTATTCTACTCTACTCTACTCTACTCCACTCCTCTCCATTCCATATTTTCTATTCTATTCTATTCTATTCTATTCCATTCCATATTTTCTATTCTATTCCATTCCATTCCTTTTTCTATTCTACTCTACTCTACTCTACTCCACTCCACTCCATTCCATATTTTCTATTCTATTCTATTCTATTCTAATTCTATTCTATTCCATTTCATTCCATATTTTCTATTCTTCTAATTCCATTCCATATTCTATTCTATTCCATTCCATATTTTCTATTCTATTCTATTCTATTCTATTCTATTCTATTCTATTCTATTCTATTCTATTCTATTCTATTCTATTCTATTCCATTCCATTCCATTCTCAGCATTCCAGTATTTGAGGTGCTGCACAAAGAAGAGGAGGTCAAACTATTCTCCAAAGCACCAGAGAGAAGGACGAGAAACAATCGTTGGAAAATTCGAACTGCCTGGATTTCCTGATTTCTCACACTGGATGTGAACCTTTTGCAAGCCCCAGTTTTGCCTTGTTCAACCGCCAGAGGTGGTTTCGCGGCAGAGAGGAAAGCAAAACCGCACCACTCACGTTATGAAGTTCTCCACATAGACCGCAGCTCCGACCACACTTAGAGGAGGCATCTGAGCCGCTTCCGCCTGCAGGTGCTTCATTTCTTTCTCCAAAACGTCCAACTGCTGGCGGATGGCTTCGTTTTTGTGCTTGCCCTCAAACTGAGATGGAGAGAAGGCGTTATGGCGTTCGAGCAATAGATTAATTGAATTATTGGAATAACCCAACAGACGGCTTATTGTGTTAGATCAGGGGTTCTCAACCTTGGCAACTTTAAGACGCGTGGACTTCAACTCCCAGAATCCCTCAGCCAGCTTTGCTGGCTGAGGAATTCTGGGAGTTGAAGTCCACGCGTCTTAAAGTTGCCAAGGTTGAGAACGCCTGTGTTAGATTGTCAACCGCTGCCCTGCCACATTCATTTCTCGTCCCAAGGGCAAAAATGGGGGTGGAACAGATCCTCCCTTGGGATTTTCTATTGAAGGGAAAACAAAAACAAAAACCTTTGTCTGAAATGGTATTAAGGTTTCCTGCCTGAGCAGGGGGTTGGACTAGATGACCTCCAAGTTCCCTTCCAACTCTGTTATTCTGTTGTCCTTTCTTCCTTCCTTCTTTCCTTCCTCCCTCCCTCTCTGCCTCCCTTCCTTCCTTTCCTCCCTCCCTTCTCCAACACTGGAAGTTTTTAAGGAGACTGGATAACCATTTGTCTGAAATGTTATAGGGTCTCCTGCCTGAGCAGGGGGTTGGACTAGATGACCTCCAAGGTCCCTTCCAACTGTGTTATTCTGTTGTCCTTCCTTCCTCCCTCCCTCCCTGCCTCCCTCCCTCCCTCCCTCCCTCCCTTCCTTCCTTTCCTCCCTCCCTTCTCCAACACTGGAAGTTTTTAAGGAGACTGGATAACCATTTGTCTGAAATGGTATAGGGTTTCCTGCCTGAGCAGGGGGTTAGACTAGATGACCTCCAAGGTCCCTTCCAACTCTTCTATTATTATTGTTGTTGTTGTTGTCGTCATCATTATCATTATCATCAATCAGGAAGCTGATTATTGGCCCTCTAGCCCAATAGCTGCAGAGACTGCAACACACACACACACACACACGCAAAAAAAAACCCCTTCTCTGCCCCCGAACTCCTGACATTAGAGGGGGGGCAGGTTCAAGAAGAGGAAGGGGCTTCTGTTCTAACCTGGATTGTTACATGAGCTGCTCCGTGGCAACGTTTCCCAGATCCAGCCCGACATTCCAGGTGAAGAGTAACTTGCTCTTCTCGGTTGATGTAAAGCTTTGGCAACGTGTCCAGCATCTCGCTACTGAAAGCCACTTGCTGGGATTCCCGAAGCGCTGCCCGTCTAAAATTTAACAACAACCAGCTGTGTGCTTGTGAATCGAGGACGTCCCGTACACCAAGGGAAATTAATTAGAGCAAGCAAATGAAGGAGACTGAAGTAAGGGGGGGGGTCTCTCTTTGAGAAATCCGGGGTGGGCAATCTTTGGAACCGCTGTGCTCATTTGGAATTGGAAACCTGGGGGAAGGTTTCCATTCAGATGGGGGTTCTGCTTCTGGTCTGATTCAAGAGCGGTGCTTCGGAGTTTGCAGGAGTGTTGAATGCAGCTCCGGTCTCATTAAAGCAGCCCCGTTTTTCTCTACGACAGAGATCCCCAACCTATGGGCCGCAGCCCACTACCTCTAGGTCGCGGGCGTAGCTGGGCAGTGCACACGAGTGTGTGAGTGCTCACCCCCCCTCGTGCCACTGTTGCCGCGAGTGTTGTGCGCGTGGTGGCAGTGCCGCTAGTATCGTGCGGGCGGCTGTGTTGCCACAAACTTTGCGTGGGAGGCAGCAGTGCCGTGAGCAGCAGGTGGGCGGCGGCACGCCACACGCATGTGGTGGCATTGCCACGAACCTTGTGTGGGCGGTGGCAGCACCGCAAGCGGCAGGTGGGCCACAGATCCTTGCGCGGGGGCGGCAGCACAAACCTCGCACCGGGATGGCATCGTTGCGGCCCACGGCACAAGCCTCGCGATGGTGGTAGCACTGCCGCCAGTCTGGCAACAGCGGCGCCACAAGCCTCATACAGGTGCCGCCGTCATGGAGAGCCTCACGCACGTGCTCGCAGCCCCGTTTGCGTGGCGCGCATGCTCGCAGCCTGTTTGTACACACGCATGCAGGTGTGGCCACATTCACTTGCGCATGCGCGCATAAGGTGCCTGCCTCTCCCTCTCCCAGTGGGCCGTCAATGCCACCGGTGAAACCTCCTCTAGAACAGTGGTTCTCAACCTTTTTAATGTCGCGACCCCCAACCGGTCGTAAGTCGAGGACTACTCAACCGGTCGTAAGTCGAGGACTACTCAACTGGTGCAGCACCGTTTGCAGAATGGGACTTTTGGCGGGCTCAGCAGGGCAGAGACAGCCTGGACAATTCCTATTGGCTTTTGAAAGCCAATAGAATTAGACTCTATTCAAGAGAGTCTATTCTATTGGCTTTCAAAAGCCAATAGAATAAAAGGGAGTAGCACAGCTAAGGAAAAGGGGGAAAAAATGGCGGACTGCGTTGTTTGGTGACCCCCGTGAAATGGTCATTCGACCCCAAATGGGGTCCCGACCCACAGGTTGAGAACCACTGCTCTAGAACAACATGGCTGCCGTCAAAAGCTTCTCACTGCAACATGGCTGCTGCGATAGGCCTGTCTAATCATAAACCACTCATTGTCCAATTCCTAATGAGAAGGAAGGACTCACTGGAGAAGGGCCTAATGCTGGGAAAGATGGAGGTCAAGAGAAGAAGGGGACGACAGAGAATGAGATGGCTGGATTGAGTCCCTGAAGCAGGAGGCGTGAGCTTCAATGGACTCCAGAAGATGGCAGAGGACAGGAAGGCCTGGAGGAACGCTGTCCATGGGGTCGCAATGGGTCAGACACAACTTCACAATTACTGGTTACAACAACAAGCCAGCCCTGGTGGCAGTTCTAAAACTAAATCATTGCAGTGAGCCAGCCTCCATTTTTTTAATAAATATGATACTTGCCAAGGATGTTTTTTTGTTTGTTTCTTTACAAGATATGCATCTCCTTTTTTTAAAAAAAAAGAAACATTTTTTTTAAAAAGTGAGATAGGGGAGGGAATTCCTGATAGATAGGCAGAGTTCCAATTTATCTAAAAAAGGAAGAAAGTGAAGACAACTTCACACAGTAACAGTAGTAGTGTAACAAAGTTGGAAGGGACCTTGGAGGTCTTCTAGTCCAACCCCCTGCTCAAGCAGGAGACCTTATACCATTCCAGAAAAAAAGGTGGTCCAATCTCGTCTTAAAAGCCTCCAGGGATGGAGCACCCACCGCTTCTGAAAGCAACGGTTAGAACAATTTATCAATGGAATGTCTTGTCTCCAAAAGTGGTGGGTGCTTCATCACTGGAGGTTTTTTTTTTTTTTAAAAGAGATTGGACAACCATTTTGTCTGGAATGGTGTAAGATCTCCTGCTTGAGCAGGGGGTTGAACTAGAAGACCTTTAAGGTCCCTTCCAACTCTGTCTTAATGTTATTCTGTTGATCGGGTGTACTGATTAATAGTTCTCCCTGTCAGGAAATTTCTCCTTACTTCTAGGTTGTATCTCTTTTTAATTCTATCCACTACTACTTCTCCTGCCCTCTGGTGTTTTGATAAGATAAGGGTAAGGGTAAGGATAGGATAGGATAGGATGAGAAATAACGGAACGGAACAGAAGAATAGGATAGGATAGGATAGGATAGGATAGAATATAATAGAATAGAATAGAATAGAATAGAATAGAATAGAATAGAATAGAAAATATGGACTGGACTGGACTGGACTGGACTGGACTGGACTGGACTGGAGTAGGGTAGGGTAGGGTAGGATAGGGTAAGGTAAGGTAAGGTAAGGAGAGGTAAGGTGAGGTAAGAGAAGGAAAGGGAAGGGAAGGGAAGGGAAGGGAAGAGAAGAGAAGAGAAGAGAAGAGAACCTTTATTGTCATTTTAAATTTCAAAAATGAAATTTAGTTGCCTGCTCTCAAACACATACATGACACACATCTAAATATACAACTTATGTATGGACCTACACCTCTACACATACATAACAAATAAACATTAAACATTGTCCATCTTGAATACATAACAGAAGGAGGAAGCTCACAAGGTTAATACTGTAAATCTTTCGAGAATAGGTCGACCCCCCCCCCTTCTCTTCTGTGAGAGCCCCTCAAATATTGGAAGACTGCTATCATGTCACCCCTAGTCCGATTGTCTGTACATAAGTACAATAATAGTACATAAGTACAATAGTAGTAACTGTGAGAGGGATCTCGGAGTCCTAGTGGACAATCAATTAAATATGAGCCATCCGTGTGCTGCAGCTGCAAAAAGGCCAACACAGTGCTGGGCTGCATGAACAGAGGGATAGAATCAAGATCACGTGAAGTATTAATACCACTTTAAAATGTCTTGGTAAGGCCACACTTGGAATCCTGCATCCAGTTTTGGTCACCACAATGTAAAAAAGATGTTGAGACTCTAGAAAGAGTGCAGAGAAGAGCAACAAAGATGATTAGGGGACTGGACGCTAAAGCATATAAGGAAAGGCTGCTGGAATTGGTTATGTCTAGTTTAATGAAGAGAAGGACAAGGGGGGACAGGATAGCAGCCTTCCAGTATCTCAGGGGCTGCTCCAAAGAAGAGGGAGTCAAGCTATTTTCCAAGGCGCCTGAAGGCAGGACAAGAAGCAACGGATGGAAACTAGTCAAGGAGAGAAGCAACCTAGAACTAAGGAGAAACTTCCTGACAGTGAGAACAATTAACAAGTGGAACCACCTGCCTCCAGAAGTGGTGAACGTTCCAACACTGGAGGTTTTTAAGAAGAGACTGGACAGCCATTTGTCCGAAATGGTATAGGGTCTCCTGCCTGAGCAGGGGGTTGGACTAGATGACCTCCAAGGTCCCTTCCAACTTTATCATCATCATCATCATTGTTATTATTATTACACCACAACTACACACAATTAAAAAGAGGGGGGGGAATCCAAACACAGTAAAAGAAAAAAAAAAGAAATTCTTACTTCGCATGCTGTTGAAAGACCCTGAGGTTAGTGCAAGTCAATTCTTTGGCTTCATGTTGGTTTACCAAGCTAGCCGGGGAAATGACAGGCACCGGAGCTTTCATTGGTTGGAGAGGGAGAAGGGGCTGGGGCTCATCGTATTTCTTCAAGCTGCTGATGATCCTTTCCTTGGCTGGGAGGAAAAAAAAAAGGAAGAGATGCAAAGCGTTCGCCACCAATTCTTGCTTTCCAGATGCTGAATCTATTTGGGAGAGGGCTGTTTTTCGGCTGACCCAGCACCTTAATAACCTGCAATCCATAAATAGTCTGGAATATCTGTGGAGATTCTCAATCATCCAGGTCACAGACAAACAACATCCACACTAATTTACATCAGACAAAAAGGTATTTAAAGGCCAGTGCTCTGACAGACGAGCTCAGTTCAAAGCGCACTGACGATGTCCCCTTCCGTTCAGGAAAGACCATGACTCAGCAACATCCAGACAAACAACATCCACACTAATTTACATCACACAAAAAGGTATTTAAAGGCCACTGCTCTGACAGACGAACTCAATTCAAAGAACACTGACGTTGTCCCCTTCCATTTAGGAAAGACCATGACTCAGCAACAACCAGACAAACAACATCCACACTAATTTACATCAGACAAAAAGGTATTTAAAGGCCAGCGCCCTGGCAGACGAGCACAATTCAAAGCGCACTTATGTTGTCCCCCTCCATTTAGGAAAGACCATGACTCAGCAACATCCGGACGAACAACATCCACACTAATTTACATCAGACAAAAAGGTATTTAAAGGCCAGCGCCCTGCCAGACGAGCACAATTCAAAGCGCACTGATGTTGTCCCCCTCCATTCAGGAAAGACCATGACTCAGCAACAAAGGGACGAACAACACCCACACCAATTTACATCAGACAAAAAGGTATTTAAAGGCCAGCGCCCTGCCAGACGAGCACAATTCAAAGCGCACTGATGTTGTCCCCCTCCATTCAGGAAAGACCATGACTCAGCAACAAAGGGACGAACAACACCCACACCAATTTACATCAGACAAAAAGGTATTTAAAGGCCAGCGCCCTGCCAGACGAGCACAATTCAAAGCGCACTGATGTTGTCCCCCTCCATTCAGGAAAGACCATGACTCAGCAACATCCGGACGAACAACATCCACACTAATTTACATCAGACAAAAAGGTATTTAAAGGCCAGCGCCCTGCCAGACGAGCACAATTCAAAGCGCACTGATGTTGTCCCCCTCCATTCAGGAAAGACCATGACTCAGCAACAAAGGGACGAACAACACCCACACCAATTTACATCAGACAAAAAGGTATTTAAAGGCCAGCGCCCTGCCAGACGAGCACAATTCAAAGCGCACTGATGTTGTCCCCCTCCATTCAGGAAAGACCATGACTCAGCAACAAAGGGACGAACAACACCCACACCAATTTACATCAGACAAAAAGGTATTTAAAGGCCAGCGCCCTGCCAGACGAGCACAATTCAAAGCGCACTGATGTTGTCCCCCTCCATTCAGGAAAGACCATGACTCAGCAACAAAGGGACGAACAACACCCACACCAATTTACATCAGACAAAAAGGTATTTAAAGGCCAGTGCTCTGACAGACGAGCTCAATTCAAAGCACACTGACAATGTCCCCCTCCCGAATGGAGACGAAAAGTTTGCAACCAAATCGCCAAGCTCGGAGATCAAACAAACAGCCCAATTATCAATCCAAGCTACTAATATTCAAACACATTTCAATAAATAAAATACCTAACAAAGGGTCGGTGAAGTCAGTCTGCGCCGGCGAAGCACTTGAGGCAGGAAGGGGTCCCACTCTGACTTGAAACCAGAGGTCTAAGGTTTCCTGGAACTCGTGCTGAATCTGCTGAACGTTGACAAATTCCATCCAGAGATCCTTCAAGCGAGCAGCAGGTGGACAGTAAAAAGCAGCAACGGGGAGAAAGACATTTTTAGTTGCCAGTAAGATCAATTAAAGCACTCAACTTTAATTTAAACCACCCACCCCGCTTGGGGTGGCTGCCAATTAGCATGGATGCTAAATGGAATGGAAGCTTTGAGGTCCCCGTTGCACAAGTGCAATCACACTTCTGCGTAATGCAAAATGATTTGTCAAATCCACAGTGAATCAGAACGGAGGAGCCACTGAGACCTGTGTCATGCCTCCATCGGAGCCTGAATCTGATGAAGACAATGAGCTGGAACAGGACCCTATGGAGACAGAGGGAGAGGTGTCTGTGGCTTCAGAGGGATGTGGGGCCGAGGCAGGCCAGGGCCCTTCAGGATTGGGACAGGAGGAACAGGAGAGACAGAGTTCAGGCGATGAGCAGGGGCCACCCTCTCCTGAGCAGGGGGTTGGACTAGATGACCTCCAAGGTCCCTTGTAGTTCAGTTCTATTCTATTCTATTCTATTCTATTCTATTCTATTCTATTCTATTCTATTCTATTCTATTCTAATAATGATGATGATGATGATGATGATGATGATGATGATGATGATGATGTTGGAAGGAACTTTGGAGGGCATCTATTCTATTCTATTCTATTCTTAGTTCTATTCTATTCTATTCTATTCTATTCTTAGTTCTATTCTATTCTATTCTATTCTATTCTATTATTATTCTATTCTACTCTATTCTATTCTGCTCTATTCCTATTCTTAGTTCTATTCTATTCTATTCTATTCTATTCTTAGTTCTATTCTATTCTATTCTATTCTATTATTATTCTATTCTACTCTATTCTATTCTGCTCTATTCCTATTCTTAGTTCTATTCTATTCTATTCTATTCTATTCTATTCTTAGTTCTATTCTATTCTATTCTATTCTATTATTATTCTATTCTACTCTATTCTATTCTGCTCTATTCCTATTCTTAGTTCTATTCTATTCTATTCTATTCTATTCTATTCTATTCTATTATTATTCTATTCTACTCTATTCTATTCTGCTCTATTCCTATTCTTAGTTCTATTCTATTCTATTCTATTCTATTCTATTCTATTCTATTCTATTCTATTCTATTCTATTCTATTCTATTCTATTATTATTCTATTCTACTCTATTCTATTCTGCTCTATTCCTATTCTTAGTTCTATTCTATCCTATCCTATCCTATCCTATCCTATCCTATTCTAAATTAACCAGTGGAACAACCTGCCTCCAGAAGCGGTGAACGCTCCAACACTGGAAGTTTTTAAGAAGAGACTGGACAGCCGATTTTGTCCGAAATGGTATAGGGCAGGGGTTCTCAACCTTGGCAACTTTAAGACTTGTGGACTTCAACAAGGGCACTGGCTGAGGACTTCTGGGAGTTGAAGTCCACAAGTCTTAAAGTTGCCAAAGTTGAGAACCCTTGGTATAGGGTTTCCTGCCTGAGCAGAGGGTTGGACTAGATGACCTCCAAGGTCCCTTCTAGTTCAGTTCTGTTCTATTCTAATAATAATAATAATAATAATAATAATAATAATAATAATAATAATAATAATAATAATAATGTTGGAAGGGACTTTGGAGGGCATCTATTCTATTCTATTCTATTCTATTCTGTTCTATTATTAATTAACCAGTGGAACAACCTGCCTCCAGAAGCTGTGAATGCTCCAACACTGGAAATTTTAAAGAAGAGATTGGACAGCCATTTGTCTGAAATAATATAGGGTTTCCTGCCTGAGCAGGGGGTTGGACTAGATGACTTCCAAGGTCCTTTCCAACTTTATCATCATCATTATCATCATTATAATAATAATTCTGGGAGTTGAAGTCCACAAGTTATAAAAGGGCCAAGTTTGAAGACCCCTGATCTACACCCTTACATATAAGTAACATATATAACTATCCATTCCTTTTTTACCTGCTGGTTCTGCATGATCTTGGCAAGCCGATGTCCATCGTATTGCTTGGGCAAAGAGGGAATGTAGATGTCTCCTTTCTGGAACCTTTCTTCTTCCAGCCACAGAACAAATGTGGAAAAAAGCCTGAAAACATATCCAAAATAGAAGGTTTGAAGGAGGAGGACCTCACTTTTTTGGTTGTTACGTAACACACACACAAGTTTCTTCAAACTGTATATACGCCATAGAATAAACAAAAAGGACCAAGCTACATGCCCATTGCTTTCAAAGTACGACATCACCAGTTTCATCAATTATTTGAGCATCAATCATGAAGCCAAGAAGGTCCTCAGAAGACTGATAGGGGTTCCTCAAGCAAACCTGTTGCCTTGTTCACAATGGAATCATGTGACATCCCCAAGGCCAGGGCTCTTCCAACTTGGCCACTTTAAGCCTTGTGGACTTCAACTCCCAGAATTCCTCAGCCAGTGGGAGTTGAAGTCCACAAGTCTTAAAGTGGCCAAGTTGGAAGAGCCCTGCTCAAGGCTGTTGGCTTGAGACAATTCAGGGCACATCATGGTGGATTCCCCATCCAACCTCCATAAATCCATGGATCTTGGACTCCCGTATTAGCCGAGATCCTCGGAGAAACCACCATCTAAAAGACCACCCAAGGTTACCTGACAAGGTCCTTGTGAAGCTCTAAGAAAGTCACATAATTGGCCTTGCTGAAGCCTTTGGCGGTCGGATGTTCGCTTCCGCCTGCTGGGCTGTCCAACTGGAGCATTTTGCTAGCGGAATGGTGGAAGTCGGTGGCCTCAATCAGATGCTGCTTCAGGTCGTTCAGCAGGCTAAGATGAGTAGGAGCCTGGAAGAATCGCCTCCCGACGCAGCCATCGTTGGGTAGCCTTAAAAGCAGAAATCCGGTCGTTTAGAACACAGCTCCCCAACCTTTCCGGTTTATGGGTTCAGTGAGGGGAAGGGGGAAAGAGGGGATGGTTTGGGGGGGGACAGGGTGTGCACATGAATGAGCACCCGTTATTCGAATGGGGTGCTCACGCCCACAACCCTCACACGAGTGGGGACCTGAGCACCCGTGACCCTCACACAAATGAGACCTTTAGTGCCCGACCCTCACACAAATAGGGCCCTGAGCACCAATGACTCTCACAAAATGGAGCCCTGAGCACCTATGACCCTCACAAAATGGGACCCTGAGCACCCATGACCCTCACACAAATGGGGCCCTGAGCACCCATGACCCTCACATAAATGGGGCCCTGAGCACCCATGACCCTCACACAAATGGGGCCGAGTGCCTGCAACCCTCACACAAATGGGGCCCTGAGCACCAATGACTCTCACAAAATGGGGCCCTGAGCACCTATGACCCTCACAAAATGGGACCCTGAGCACCCATGACCCTCACATAAATGGGGCCCTGAGCACCCATGACCCTCACATAAATGAGGCCCTGAGCACCCATGACCCTCACACAAATCGGGCCCTGAGCACCCATGACCCTCACAAAATGGGGCCCTGAGCACCCATGACCCTCACACAAATGGGGCCCTGAGCACCCATGACCCTCACATAAATGGGGCCCTGAGCACCCATGACCCTCACACAAATGGGGCCGAGTGCCTGCAACCCTCACACAAATGGGGCCCTGAGCACCTGACCCTCACATAAATGGGGCCCTGAGCACCCATGACCCTCACCCCTGAGCACCCATGACCCTCACACAAATAGGGCCCTGAGCACCCATGACCCTCACAAAATGGGGCCCTGAGCACCCATGACCCTCACAAAATGGGACCTTGAGCACCCATGACCCTCACAAAATGGGGCCCTGAGCACCCATGACCCTCACATAAATGGGGCCCTGAGCACCCATGACCCTCACACAAATGGGGCCCTGAGTGCCTGCAACCCTCACACAAATGGGGCCCTGAGCACCCATGACCCTCACATAAATGGGGCCCTGAGCACCCATGACCCTCACATAAATGAGGCCCTGAGCACCCATGACCCTCACACAAATAGGGCCCTGAGCACCCATGACCCTCACAAAATGGGGCCCTGAGCACCCATGACCCTCACACAAATTGGGCCTGAGCACCTGCAACCCTCACACAAATGGGGCCCGGAGCACACACTACCCTCACACAAATGGGGCCGAGCACACATGACCCTCACACAAATGGGGCCCTGAGCACCCGTGACCCTCATACAAATGGGGCCCCCAGCGTCCACGACCCTCACACAAGTGGGGCTCCAAGCACCCAAGATGCTCATGCGCGCACCAGCCAGTCACTCGTGCGGCCCGGTTGCAAATAGGCCATGGATCACTAGTGAGCCACAACCCACAGTTTGGGGATCCCTGATTTATAACCAACACAAATCAACTTATGTTAGTATTCCTGGTGTGTAATTCACCATCTGCTTCTATGCCATTTCTTCCCCATTCTTATGCACATTTTTTTTTAAAAAAAAAAATATCTATGTATATTTTGAAATCATTCTTTGAAATATATAGACTTTTATGACAGTTGGGTAGGGCACTCTAGGGCATATGGAGAGCTTTTCTACGTATTATTTTATTTAGATTCATTTAGATTTTGGTATCCCGCCTTTATTGTTTTGATAAATAACTCAAGGCAGCAAACATATCTAATGCACCTTCCTCTTATTTTCCCCAGTTGGGCTGAGAGGGACTAGACCAGGGGTAGGCAACCTTGGCTCTTTTGTGACTCGTGGACTTCAACAGCCAGCCATGCTGAGGGGAAAGGGAGAGATTTCCAAGCTGAGCCAGGCTGGCTCAGGAATTCTGGGAGTTGAAGTCCACGAATCATAAAAGAGCCAAGGTTGCCTACCCCCGGTTTAGGCCTAGGCCGCTTCATGACTTGTGGACTTCAACTCCCAGAATTCCTGAGCCAACATGGGGGAACTATGGCCCCTTCATGACTCGCGGATTTCAACTCCCAGAATTCCTCAGCCAGCATGGCTCAGCTTGGAAACCTCTCCCTTTCCCCTCAGCATGGCTGGCTCAGGAATTCTGGGAGTTGAAGTCCACGAGTCATAAAAGAGCCAAGGTTGCCTACCCCTGGACTAGAACACAGTCACCCAGCTGGCAATCATGTCTAAGGCGGGACTAGAACTCAGTCTCCTGGTGATTGGCCCAAAGTCAATAAGCTGGCTTTGATGTCTAAGGCAGGACTAGAATTCACAGTCTCCTAGTAACTGGCCCAAAGTCACCTAGCTGCATTTTCTGCCGAAGGCAGGACTAGAACTCACAGTCTCCTGGTGACTGGCCCAAAGTCAATAAGCTGGCTTTGATGTCTAAGGCAGGACTAGAATTCACAGTCTCCTAGTGACTGGCCCAAAGTCACCTAGCTGCATTTTGTGCTGAAGGCAGGACTAGAACTCACAGTCTCCTGGTGATTGGCCCAAAGTCAACAAGCTGGCTTTGATGCCTAAGGCGGGACTAGAACTCACTGTCTCCTGGTGCCTTAACTGACTAGACCAAACTGGCTCGTAGAGTCTGTACTCTCTTGAAACTAGAATAGACCATTTGATCGTGGGGCTGTCGGCATTTAAAACAACTCACGCCGTTCCGCAAAGTCCCCCATCGTTGACTAACGATAACTCACCCATCCTGTAATCCCGGGCGCTGTAAATAGAGAAGGAAGAATTTTTGGCAAATAAGCGGTAGGAGAGGGTGATCCACCGGCGTGCTCAGGGCTTGGTGAGCCCATCGGTAAATCAGCAGGCGCTGAAGAGAAGGCACCATGGGTAGCTTGAGCTGGCTCTGAGCTTTCTGTGGGAGGGAGGGAGGGAGGGGGGGAAGGGATGAGAGGGAGGAAAGCAAGGATGGAAAGAAGGGAAAGAGGGAGGAAGAAAAGAAAAAAGGGTGGAAGGGAGAGAGGAAGGATAGGATGGAGGGGGAGGAAGGCAGGGAGGAAAGAAAGGATGGATGGATGGATGGATGGATGGATGGATGGATGGATGGATGGATGGATGGATGGGTGGGTGGATAGATGGATGGATGGAAGGAAGGAAGGATGGCAGGGAGGGAGGAAGGAAGGAAAAAAGAAGGGTGGCAGGAAAGGAGGGAAGGAAAGGAAGGAAGGGGAAGGAAGGAAAGGGAAGGAAGGGAGGAAGGGAAGGGAAGGGAAGGAAGGAGGGAAGGGAAGGAAGGGAGGGAGGAAGGAAGGAAAAAGTGAAGGGAATGAAAGAATATAGGAAGGAAGGGAAGGGAAGGGAAGGGAAGGGAAGGGAAGGGAGGAAGGAAGGGAGGAAGGAAGGAAGGAAGGAAGGAAGGAAGGAAGGAAGGAAGGAAGGAAGGAAGGAAGGAAGGAAGGAAGGAAGGAAGGAGAGGGTTAGATGGTCTCCAGTAATTGATTCATTCATTTTTATATAACATTTAATTCCCAGAGCTTCATTGTTCTGAAGCATTGCCAAAACAGAGAGAGAGTACAATTATTTAAAAACGTTTGCCTCTCTTTTATCAACATCTCCCACTCATCAGGCAGAGCCTCTATTCCAAGAGAGATTATATATATGAAGAATAATTTTCTGATGTACCTTCAGAGCCTGGTCAGGCGAAACGGAACTGGTAACCAGCTCCCTCACCACGACTCTACGGAGCTGGGAATCCTCTTCAAATATGGACTCCATATTCAGGACACTCCAGGCAAACCAAACCTGTTAAGTCAGAAAGCAACCCTGGCCTGTTGATTAATTTATGAAAAGGTATAGGGCCACCCAAGCTACTTCCGGGCAGCTCACAAGGACAACGACAACAACAACAACAACAAAAAAAGCAGTAACTCCTGTCCCACCCACCCCCAACTCCCCGATGACAGCAAGCAAATGAGCCATTTGATGGGTTCCATCACACTCTGGGGTCCCCCAGGCCGGTTGGGAAAAGAGTGTCAAAGTGGGAGGGGTTGATCTTAGCTCCCCAGAGATGATGTTCCAGAGCAGTGGTTCTCAACCTTTTTAATGCCGCAACCCCCCAACCGGTCGTAAGTCGAGGACTACTCAACTGGTGCAGCATCGTTTGCAGACTGGGACTTTTGGTGGGCTCAGCAGGGCAGAGACAGCCTGGACAATTCCTATTGGCTTTTGAAAGCCAATAGAATTAGACTCTATTCAAGAGAGTCTATTCTATTGTCTTTCAAAAGCCAATAGAATAAAAGGGAGGAGCACAGCTAAGGAAAAGGGGGAAAAAATGGCGGACTGCATTGTTTGGTGACCCCCATGAAATGGTCGTTTGACCCCAAATGGGGTCCCGACCCACAGGTTGAAAACCACTGTTCCAGAGGGAAGCAGCCACCAGGATGAAGGTCCTTCTTCTTGGACCCATTAGATCAGGGATCCCCAACCTTTGGGGCACCAGGGACCAATTCTGTGGAGAGAGATTTACCCACAGTCCGGAGGATGCGTGGTTTTGTGTGTTGCCTGCATCCCACGGATGAAGCTTTGCTTCTTTGTGCGGACCGGTTGCTGGCATGGTGAGGGCCGGTACTGGTCCAGACCGGGGTTTGGGGACCCCTGGTTTACACAACGCACTGAGTCATAAACTAGCCAAGTGTGATCTAATTCATGTTCTACGGAAGCCTGCAACCTCTATACAGCCCTGGTTAACAAGCACATTCCTGCACATGGATACATGATAGCAGTCTTCTAGTATCTCAGGGGCTGCCCCAAAGAAGAGGGAGTCAAGCTATTCTCCAAAGTGCCTGAAGGCAGGACAAGAAGCAACGGGTAGAAACTCATCAAGGAGAGAAGCAACCTAGAACTAAGGAGAAACTTCCTGACAGTGAGAACAATTAACCCGTGGAACAACCTGCCTCCAGAAGCGGTGAATGCTCCAACATTGGAAGTTTTTAAGAAGAGACTGGACGGCCATTTGTCCGAAATGGTAGAGGGTTTCCTGCCTGAGCAGGGGGTTGGACTAGATGACCTTCAAGGTCCCTTCCAGCTGAAGGATTCTATGATTCTAGAAAGAAGGAAGGAAGGAAGGAAGGAAGGAAGGAAGGAAGGAAGGAAGGAAGGAAGGAAGGAAGGAAGGAAGGAAGGAAGGACAATGGATGGAAACTAACCAAGGAGAGAAGCAACCTAGAACTAAGGAGAAACTTCCTGACAGTGAGAACAGTTAACCAGGGGAACTACCTGCCTCTAGAAGCTGTGAATGCTCCAACACTGGAAGTTTTTAAGAAGAGACTGGACAGCCATTTGTCCGAAATGGTATAGGGTTTCCTGCCTGAGCAGGGGGTTGGACTAGATGACCTCCAAGGTCCCTTCCAACTTTATTATTATTATTATTATTAGTATGGATCATCGCACAGTCAGCCAGATGTTCAGACTGGATTTGGCATTTTGTCTACCTATCGAGTCCTTACCCAGGATGATGATGATGATGACGATGATGATTATTACAGCTGCTGTGAGTGGCTTCTAAGTCAGTGTTTCCCAAACTTGACAATTTTAAGGCATGAGGACTTCAACTCCCAGAATTCCACAGCCAGCAACGCTGGCTGTGGAATTCTGGGAGTTGAAGTCCACATGCCTTAAAATTGTCAAGTTTGGGAAACACTGTTCTAAGTAAACATACTCATAAGTGTCACCAAGCTAGATGCAAAATGTGGGTTGCAGGGGTTAGTGAAACTACTGGAACCAAACTGATTGATTCCCTTAAATTACTACACTGATGTTCAGATAGGCCCTAGAGCAGAGGTCCCCAACCTTTTGGGCACCAGGCACCGGTTCCGTGGAGAGAGGTTATTCCGCGGACCGGAGAGTGCGTGGTTTTGTGTGCTGCCTGCATCTCACAGATGGGGCTTTGCTTGTTTGTGTGGACCAGGATTTGGCATGCTGCAGCCCAGTACCAGCCCACAGACCGGGGGTTGGGGACCCCCGTCCCACAAGAACGGGCCGTAAGCTCCAAGCTAATTTTAGCATTTCAAGTCTTACCTGTGTGGGGTTAGCATTTCCCTCGATGAAGGAAGGTGTGATGTTGCCTGCCACAATCCAGCTGACCAAGGAAGACAGCAGCCCTTTGTCACTGTGATAGCCCAGAGCATTCTGGGATATTTGAGCAAAAGAGAGGACACGTGGGTGAGATAAAGCCGTCTTCCTATAAGGTTCTTCCATGACAAGGGAACTGAAGCAACTTTATTTATCTATCGTATTTAGAAACCATCCATCTCCTTTGTGGAGGGACCCCCGGACGGGGTGCAAATAAAATGTTAGCAGCACCAAAATGGAATATAAACGTTTAAAATAGGGCAAGAATAGTTAAAAATGGGACATTAAAAGTTAACTAAAAGGCAGGGGGAGGGTCTTCAGAATGCTAATTGTGCTCCTCTTTGAGCTTCAAGCGAGATGCCAGACCCAGACTTTAGGGATTTTCAAAACGCCAAGGACTGGGGGCCCACATCCCCCCACCCTGGGGAAATATAATCCAAAGGAGAGGGGAGTGGCAAAGAAGGCTCTCTTCCTGGAGCCCACCAACCAGAATTCTTTAAAAGAACGGTTGCTGGAATTGGGGATGTCTAGTTTAATGAAGAGAAGGACGAGGGGGGACATGATAGCAGCCTTCCAGTATCTCAGGGGCTGCCCTAAAGAAGAGGGAGTCAAGCTATTCTCCAAAGCGCCTGAAGGGAGGACAAGGAGCAAGGGATGGAAACCAATCAAGGAGAGAAGCAACCTAAAACTAAGGAGAAACTTCCTTACAGTCACAACAATTAACCTGTGGAACAATTTGCCTCCAGAAGTTGTGAATGTTCCAACACTGGAGGTTTTAAGAAATTGTATAGGGTTTCCTGCCTGAGCAGGGGGTTGGACTAGAAGATCTCCAAGGACCCTTCCAGATCTATTCTATTCCATTCCATTCCATTTTTTCTATTCTATTCTATAACATTCCGTTCCATTGCATATTTCCTATTTTATTCCGTTCCATTTCATTCCATTCCATTCCATATTTCCTATTCTATTTCATTCCATATTTCCTATTTTATTCCATTCTATTTCATTCCACTCCATATTTCCTATTTTATTCCATTCCATATTTCCTATTCCATTCCATATTTCATATTTTATTCCATTCCATTTCATTCCATTCCATATTTCCTATTCTATTCCATTCCATTCCATATCTCCTATTCCATTCCATTCTATATTTCCTATTCTATTCCATTCCATTCCATATTTCCTATTCTATTCCATTCCATTCCATATCTCCTATTCCATTCCATTCTATATTTCCTATCCTATTCCATTCCATATTTCCTATTCCATTCCATTCCATATTTCCTATTCCATTCCATTCCATATTTCCTATTCTATTCCATTCCATTCCATATTTCCTATTCTATTCCATTCCATTCCATATCTCCTATTCCATTCCATTCTATATTTCCTATCCTATTCCATTCCATATTTCCTATTCCATTCCATTCCATATTTCCTATTCCATTCCATTCCATATTTCCTATTCTATTCTATTCCATTCCATTCCATATTTCCTATTCTATTCCATTCCATTCCATATCTCCTATTCCATTCCATTCCATATTTCCTATTCTATTCCATTCCATTCCATATTTCCTATTCCATTCCATATTTCCTATTCCATTCCATTCTATATTTCCTATCCTATTCCATTCCATATTTCCTATTCCATTCCATTCCATATTTCCTATTCCATTCCATTTCTTATTTTCTATTCTATTCCATTCCATTCCATATTTCCTATTCCATTCCATTCCATATTTCCTATTCCATTCCATTCCATAGATGTTTAAGAGGCGAAACTGATGTTCATCAAACCTGGGGAACTACCTTTTTTCCCAGGCTACGTTCCCTTTCACTCCAAAAGGCCTGGCTTCCAACAACAGGAGAACAAGACGGCCACCAAAATGATACTGCTAGCGGCTCAGATAAGAAGTCGGAAAATCCCATTCTTGGGCGTCACCGTTTTACCAGTGTCGGAAATCACGACGAGGCTCTTCCCCGCTGGAAATCTCTGTGGGAAAGTCAGCCGGGAGAAAGAGCCGTGTACCTTGTGCTGCTGGTAGAGCAACTTCTGCAAGCAGTCCTCCTGGTTGAACTGGAACGCAGCTTGGCACAGGCCGTCCATCAGCTCCAGGACGGCTCTCTCCTTGTGCCACAGCGGCTGGCTGGTCAGGAGCTGGACCCAGAATTCGAACACGGCAGCCGGGCCGATCCCGCTGGGGTGGCTGCTCATAAAAATGTGGCCCTGTCGAAATAAAGCAGAGAGGGAGATTATTGGGCTGGTAGTAAAAAAAAAAAAATGGGAGGGGAGATCCAAGGCCTACACAATTCAGCAGCCACAATTCGGCCCGATGTTTCAGGGTTGGCAAGACTTTTTCTGCCTCCATTACCAGGTGAGAATGAATGTGGTGTAGCACTGAATATAGTTCTTTAGGGCAGGGGTCCCCAGTCTGTGAGCCACAGCCCACTAACCGGGCCGTGGCCTCCTGGCCACTGGGCCACAGGACAGGCTGGCCAGTGCTTGCAGTTGTCCCCGCTCGCACTAGCGTCGCAGCTGCATGGGCTAAACTGGACTCCACATGGCCTAAACGGGGCGCTGTGCGGCCTAAACGGGGTGCCATTCGGCAAAAATGGGGCTCTGTGTGGCCTAAATGGGGCTTCACGTGGCCTAAACGGGGTGCTCTGCGGCCTAAATGGGGTGCCATTCGGCCTAAATGAGGCGCTGTGTGGCCTAAACGGGGTGCTGTGCGGCCTAAACAGGGTGCCATTTGGCGAAAACGGGGCTCCGTGTGGCCTAAATGGGGCTTCACGTGGCCTAAACGGGGCTCCACACGACTTAAACGGGGCGCCGTGCAGCCTAAACAGGGCGCCATGCAGGAAAAACAGGGCGCCGCGCAGCCTAAACGGGACACGTGGCAAAAAACGGGCCAGCGCTGGTGCCCACAGGGTGAAAACGGGACAGGACTAGCGAGTGTCATGTGGGCACTAGCGCTGCCCCATTTGCATTGCGTGTGTGCTTGCCGCTGCCCCGCTTGCGCGTACATAAAATCCTTCCCCTTCCCTTTCCCTCCGGTCTGCCGACCGAGACAGGATGGGGGCCTCTGTTTGATGGGATCCCAGTCCTCTGTCTGATTGGAAGCAGAATAAGAGTCTTCAGGGATCTCCGTTGCGCATCTATTTCCTGACCTGAATCATGGAGTTCAACAGCTTAACGTTTTTGCCGTAGCTTGTCCAAGTCAAATGCTGAGTCACCCTGTGGGTCATCTGCTGAGTCATCCCTTGGGGAGCACCACTGTCCAGCTGAAGGAACTGGTGGAAGAAGGAGAGAAACCTAGGGAAGCCAGAAACAAGTGGGCCGTCTAGTTATCCGGTCAACGGCAGAAGCGTCTCGATTCGTACCCCAGCCAAAATCCTCCCTCCATCCTAGCGCGAGAAGAGCAACCGATTATCAAGTGGAGCAGCGATATAGAAGACATCTGCTGTATTTCTTTATTTTCTCTCTCTCTCTCTCTTCGCTTTGCTTTGGCACAGGTTTTTTTTTTTTAACCTCTCTCTCTCTCTTCGCTTTGCTTTGGCACAGTTTTTTTTTTTTGGCAGTAGGATAGGTTTGAGTTTTTCAAAAAAAGCCCCAAAAGATAAATAGGAAAGCAAACAAATCTCTCCTTCAAAAGTTTGTAAGACACCTTTTGGATGTTCATTAATATAAATGGGTTGGGAACGGCACCTTCGTAGGCTGCGGAGGAGATGGAGCAAAGCATTCCTTTGCATTCTCAAGTAGGTGCCAGAATCTTTGATTTTTCTTCGGGCTTCGCACACCTCCCGGTGTTTGTTTGCTTTCTATTCCCTTGAACGTGGCTTGAAGGTGGAACTCTGCGGTGTAGGTTTCCAGGAGATTGAAGGCTCCTGACTCACAAGGGCCTTGAACAGGTTGCAGAAACAGGCAGCTATCCCAAAGGTGTTTTTTTCAAGAGGCAACTGAACTTCCTTTGTTTTTCTTTGAAGACGTTTCGCTTCTCGTCCAAGAAGCTTCTTCAGCTCGGACTGGATGGTGGGGAACGGAAGGATTTATACTCCTTACAGACAGCCGGTCATTTGCCTTCTTTTAGAGAGTCGTTGAGGCCACCGGGAGGTTGACCTGTGTCCTCTGGGTCACCTGCATGGTGAAAATGGGTGTGGAGCCTTCTTGGGATTGCTGAAAGGACTCTGTTGTTGACTGGAGATAGATGATTTATATTTATATACCTTGCAGACAGCTGGTCGTTAGTACTCTTCCTGAGAATCGTTGAGGCCACCTGCAGGCTTATCTGTGCCCTCAGGGTCACCTGAGTGGTGCAAATGGGTGTGGAGCCTTCTTGGGACTGCTGAAAGGACTTTGTTCTTGCCTGGAGATAGATGATGTCAGATCCCTCCCCCTCTGCTCAGTTTTGACCTAGATGGCCTCTTGCACCCCTCTTTCAAACCATCTGTCCTCTCTGTCCAAAATGTGGACTTTGCTGTCTTCAAAAGAGTGGCCTTTGTCTTTTTAAATGCAGATGGTCTGCTGACTCTTGCCCTGATGGGTTTGTTCTTCACCCCCATTTGCACCACTCAGGTGACCCTGAGGACACAGTTCAACCTCCAGGTAGCTTTAATGACTCTCTAAAACAGTGGTTCTCAACTTGTGGGTCGGGACCCCATTTGGGGTCGAACGACCATTTCACGGGGGTCGCCAAACAACGCAGTCCGCCATTTTTTCCCCCTTTTGCTCAGCTGTGCTCCTCCCTTTTATTCTATTGGCTTTTGAAAGCCAATAGAATAGACTCTCTTGAATAGGGTCTAATTCTATGGGCTTTCAAAAGCCCATAGGAATTGTCCAGGCTGTCTCTGCCCTGCTGAGCCCGCCAAAAGTCCCAGTCTGCAAACGGTGTTGCACCAGTTGAGTAGTCCTCGACTTACGACCGGTTGGGGGTCGCAGCACTCTCTCCTCCTCCTGCTGCTCTTCTTCTTTTCTTCTTCTCCTCCTCCTCCCCTCTCCTCCTCTTCCTCTTCTCCTCCTCCTCCTCCTCCTCCTCCTTCTTCTCTAAAAGAAGGCAAATGACCAGCTGTCTGCAAGGAGTATAAATTCTTCCATTTCCCCACCATCCAGCCAGAGTTGAAGAAGCTTCTTGGGATGAGAAGCGAAACTTCTTCAAAGAAAAAAAAAAAAGAAGAAAGTCCAGTTGCCTCCTGAAAAAAAAAAGCACCTTTGGGATAAGCACGACCTGGATGACCTAAAACAGTAATGGCGAACTTTTTAGAGACCGAGTGCCCAAACTGCAACCCAAAACCCACTTATGCATCATCGAGTGCCGGGTGGGCGTGGCCCATTGGGTGGGCGTGGCCCATTGACAGAAACTCCTCACAGGTTCAAAAGAGGTTATGGATGATATTTTAGCAACTGGAAGATCGCTACAAAATTCTTAACTTTCTCCCGAATCTGATCCAGGAGGGCTGAGGTTTCAACAGAGAAAGAGACATGCCTTCAAGAAATATATATAAAAAAGGAGAGATTCCAGAGCACCAACAAAGATTGTTACTTCAACACAGGCACTTCTGGGAATAGAATAGAATAGAATAGAGTAGAGTAGAGTAGAGTAGAGCAGAACAGAACAGAACCTATACCATCTCAGATAAGTGACTGTCTAGTCCAGTGATGGCGAACCTTTTAGAGACTGAGTGCCAAAACTGCAACCCAAAACCCACTTATGCATCGTTGAGTGCCGGGTGGGCGTGGCTGCAGTGGTAACGGCAGACTGGGTGGGAGTAAAAAGTTCAATCAATCAATTCCAACTTTGCAAGATCTTTTTTTCCCCCGCGAGAAGTTGAAATTGACTGATTGATTGAACCTTTTTTTTTTGCACACGGCGGCAGAGGCCTAAAGCGAAAAGGTTTTATAAAACTCAGCTGAAGGCCTAGGACTGGGGCGATGGTGCACAAGCCCACAGAGAGGGCTCTGAGTGCCGCCTCTGGCACCCGCGCCATAGGTTCACCACCACTGATCTAAAATCTCCACAGACAAAATGCAGAAGAGATTGACAATGTTAAGATCCAAACCACAGGTGGGTTTTTCAGAGCAAGGTAGATCATCACCTGAAGGCTTAATCGTGGGGTTCGGGAATACAGGTTGTCCTTGACCAGTAGCCAAACAATGGAGACCAAAATTTCCTTTGCCAAGCAAGGTAACTGGGAAGTGAGCTTTGTCCCATTAAAGACCTTTTTGCCAGTCGTTAAGCGAATCACTGCACTTGTTAAGCGAATCTGGCTTCTATCCATTGGAAGCCAGCTGGGAAGGTCACAAACAGTCATCTATCACTGTGGGACACCGCATAATAATAATAATAATAATAATAATAATAATAATAATAATAATAATAATGATGATGATGATGATGATGATGATGATGATGATGGAAGGGCCTTGGAGGTCATCTAGTCCAACCCCCCGCTCAGGCAGGAAATCCTATACCAGGGATAGGCAACCTTGGCTCTTTTATGACTCATGGACTTCAACTCCCAGAATTCCTGAGCCAGCATGGCTCAGCTTGGAAACCTCTCCCTTTCCCCTCAGCATGACTGGCTCAGGAATTCTGGGAGTTGAAGTCCACGGGTCATAAAACAGCCAAAGTTGCCTACCCCTGGTCTAGACTCTAGGCCTAGGGTAGGGGGTCTTCAAACATGGCCCTTTTATGACTTGTGGACTTCAACTCCCAGCATTCCTGAGCCAGCATGGGGGAACTATGACCCCCTCATGATTCATGGACTTCAACTCCCAGAATTCCTGAGCCAGCATGGGGGAACTATGGGCCCTTCATGACTCGTGGACTTCAACTCCCAGCATTCCTGAGCCAGCATGGGGGAACTATGGCCTCCTCATCATGGACTTCAACTCCCAGAATTCCTGAGCCAGCATGGCTCAGCTTGGAAACTTCTCCCTTTCCCCTCAGCACGGCTGGCTCAGGAATTCTGGGGGTTGAAGTCCACCAGTCATAAAAGAGCCAAGGTTGCCTACCCCTGCCCTAGGGGTCGTCTGAACATCTGGCTGACTGTGCGATGATCCATAATAATAATAATAATAATAATAATAATAATAATAATAAAGTTGGAAGGGACCTTGGAGGTCATCTAGTCCAACCCACTGCTCAGGCAGGAAACCCTATACCATTTCGGACAAATGGCTGTCCAGTCTCTTCTTAAAAACTTCCAGTGTTGGAGCATTCACTGCTTCTGGAGGCAGGTTGTTCCACTGGTTAATTATTCTCACTCTCATGCATAAAATACATGTCAGTTGTCTGAATTTTGATCCCGTGACCTTGGGGATGCTGAAATGGTCATTAAGCATGAAAAACAGTCCTCGGTCATTTTTTTTTTTCAGTGCCATTGTAACTTGGGACAGTGACTAAGTGAACGGCTGTAAGTCAAGGACTACCTGTGATGGGACCTCAGCAAAACGTTTTGGATTTCCGGCATGGGATTCGTCTTCTGAGAAGGCTCAGCTGCCAAGGGGGTGAAAAGACGAGCCAAATCATGGTCAAATCTGAACTCACTTTTCGTTCTTGAGAAGATAATAATGGCACGGGTAGAACAGCAGTAACACTTTATCCAGGACGTGAACCACGGTCCTCAAATGCCGTGATTGTACCAGAATGCCCAGAAAAGAGATCCCTTCAGCACAGAAGCTGTCAATGCTGTCAACAGAAAGAAATATATTTCATTTTGCAGATTCGTCCATACTGAATCCAAGTTGGCCCTCGCAGATAAACGGACGGAAGAATAACGCTTAAAACGGAGCTCCCGTTTGGTTTTAAACCTGGTTAAGTTTCGAGGGGAGATGCTTTCGAATTCCTGGTATCCAAACACCCCTTTGGGGGATTTTCTACCCTAAGCTAGATTAAAAAAAAACCTAGATTCTCAGATGTTCTACCCATTTATCCGTATGTTTATAATCTGCTCTCCTCACCACCCTCTGCACCGCCTTCCTGTCTGAAGCAGGGAGGCTTCCAAACCAGACTGTGATGCCGTGGGACAGGATGCTCTCGATCGTCCCCCTGTAGTATCATGGAAAGAGTGGAAGGAGCAGTGGAAGCTTGGAACCAACTTCTAGCAGAGGTAGTGGGTCAGTCATTAGTGACTGAGTTTAAATATGCTTGGGATAAACACATGGCTAGCATATTTATTTATTTATTTATGAGACTTATATACCACTTTAAGTGCAAGCACTCTCTAAGCAGTGTACACCAGTAAGCAATGTATATATATATATATTTACATTGCCCCCAACAATCTGGGTCCTCATTTTACCTACCCCGGAAGGATTGAAGGCTGAGTCAACCTTGAGCCGGTGAGATTTGAACCGCTGACCTGCTGAACACAGTCAGCTAAAGTGGCCTGCAGTACTGCACTCTAACTGCTGCGCCACCTCGGCTCATGGTGGTACAAAATCGTGGTGGCGCAGTGATTAGAATGCAGAATTGTAGGCTAACTCTGCCGACTGCCAGGAGTTCGATTCGGACCAGCTCAAGATTGACTCAGCCTTCCATCTTTTTCTGAAGTCAGTAAAATGAGGACCCGGATTGATGGAGGCAATATACTGATTCTATAAACCAGGGATCCCCCAAACCCTGGTCCATGGGCCGCACCAGGCTGCAGCGCGCCAGAAACTGGGCCGCACAAACAAACGAAGCCCCATCCAAAAGATGCAGGCAGTACACTAAACCAGTGGTTCTTAACCTTTTTGAACGAATCGCCCCCTTGAGCCAATGAGGAAGTTGTCATCGCCCCCCCTCCCCCAACATAGCCTCTCAATCACAACACAGGAAATAATTCTTCCATTTATGCAAACCCTTTTTTTGTTTTCTTTAAAATTGTCATCAGGACATATCGATGCAAATCATTTATTTCCAGTCTTTTCCCCCTATCTCCCATATTCTGGCTAATGGCGCGCCACTGTATGGGTAGAGGCTGCTGCGCAACACGCATGAAGATAAGCGATGCGTCTTCACATATGTATGGTGTTCTGTACTGAAGCTAGCTGGAGGAACATTTCAAAACATAATTCAATCCACTAATAGCGAGCGATCTGATGTTTTTGTACAACAGATATACAGCCATTCACGGTACGAAAAAGTCTCAAAAGTGTCCCCAAAACTTCTCACTCCATCGCCCCCATACCATACCTTCTTTCTCCCCTCCCTTCCCCCTGCTCCATGCCGCCAATCCCCAAAGGTTGGGCAACTCTGGTTTAGGAAAAAAAAAAACACGTAGAAAACTGGTGGTAGAAGAAGACCTAGTAATCCACCGAGTCTGCTCTTTGAGTTCTTTCTTATTTATTTTTATTTTTAAAATTTTCATCAGATAGCCATAGCACTTAAGCTTACATACCACTTCAAAGTGCTTTGCGGTCCCCTCTAAGTGGTTTACAGCAGTGGCCCTCAACCTTTAGGGCACCAGGGACCCATTCAGTGGAGAAAGGTTTTTTTTTGTGGACTGGAGGGAGCATGTTTTAGTGCCGTGGTTCTTAACCTGGGCGATATCGCCCCCCAGGGGGCAATTTTGTTTTTCAGGGGGACGATGGAATGAAAAGGGGCGACAGGTGCGATATGGGGGCGATGGAGCGAGAAGTTTTGGGGACACTTTTGAGACTTTTTCATACAGTGAATCGCTGTATATCTGTCGTACAAAAACATCAGATCGCTCACTATTAGTGGATTGAATTGTTTTCAAAGGTTCCTCCAGCTAGCTTCAGTACAGAATGCCGTACACATGTGAAGACGCATCGCTTATCTTCATGCACGTTGCGCAGCAGCCTCTACCCTTTTTATATTTCTTTTTGCGTCTTAAATTTCACTTGTAATTCAATCATTAAATGTTACTGTTTTTCTTTTCGGGCATTTCACTTTCTTGCCATGGAATTTTGTTTTCAGTGGTCATTACATTTAAGTATCTTGAATAAATAAGATAATAATGAAATACATGCATCACGAAGTTTGGGAATAAAGTGACGGGTGGCATCAAAATTTTTCACACAACTGAGATAGGGGAAAAAGTCTGGAAATAAATGATTTGCATCGGTATGTCCTGATGAACAATTTTAAAGAAAACAAAACAAGGGTTTGCATAAATGGAAGAATTATTTCCTAGGTTGTGATTGAGAGGTTATGTTGGGGGAGAGGGGCAATGACAACTTCCTCATTGGCTCAAGGGGGCCATTGGTTCAAAAAGGTTAAGAAACACTATTCTAAAGGACAGAGGGTGTTGAACAAAAACATGAATTACAAGCAGAAGGAAAAGGAAATCCTTACCTGTGGCCAACAGCAGACATCGCCAAGGCAAGGTAGCAGCCAATGGGGAGACTAGATCTGACCGCCTTCAGCAGCGGATGAAAGCTGGGTGAATCCGTCAGGTCGGGGATGGGGGATGGAGGCCAGGGCCCCTGCACGCCGTAATCATTCCTGTGGAGCTTTAATCTCAAAATCATCCCCCAGGCCCACTGGTTGAAGGAGCTTTCGGGGGTCTCGCCGTAACGGACAATGCTGGCCAGATAGGAGACCTGGGAGAGAGACGCGAACAGAAGAGAATAACAGAGTTGGAAGGGACCTTGGAGATCATCTAGTCCGACCCCCAGCTCAGGCAGGAAACCCCCTACCGTTTCAGACAAAAGGGTGGCCCAACGTCCCTCGGTTCTTCCCGAGGGAACCCAAAACTTTTACTCTTCAAAGAACTGCCTGGTTGTGAACCCAAAAGACGGTTAACTACTAGCGCGTTTCCCCGAAAGTAAGGCCTACACCAGGGGTAGGCAACCTTGGCCTTTTTATGACCCGTGGACCAACTCCCAGAATTCCTGAGCCAACATGGCTCAGCTTGGAAACCTCTCCCTCTCCCCTCAGCATGGCTGGCTCAGGAATTCTGGGAGTTGAAGTCCACGAGTCATAAAAGAGCCCAGGTTGCCTATCCCTGGCCTACACCAACAATAAGCCCTACCTTGATTGGGGGGGGGCTAATATAAACCCTATACCCAAAATAAGCCCTAGTTTGGGGGCGAGGCACACAGCTAAAAATCAAGCTAGGGTGGGGTGGGAGTGTGGGGCTGCCCCACCTGCCCCGCACCCACTAAGCCAGGCCTCCCCTCATCGGCCCACTTCTTCTTCTGAGGCCTCTTCTGCAGCCAGGCCTCCATTTCTCAGTCACATAGCGTTCTGTAAGGCCTCTGCAGCCAAGAACCGCGCTAGGGGTTCAATCTATAGCTCCGTTCCGCAAGAGATCTGCAGCCGAGCCACCTAGCTATGCATTGAATCCATAGCTCGGTACACAGCTGCTGAGACCTTCTGGAAAGGCCGTGACTGCAAAATGCAGGCCCGAGTGCAGCTGCAGAACTTCGGCCCCAGAAGAAGTGGACCGGCTGGGTGGAGCTGTCAGTGCCGGAGTTGAGGTAAGGCCTATCCTGAAAATTACCGTTTCTCTGTGTGGATGTTGCTTCTGGAAGTCCATTCTGGGCCTGGGCAACAAAAAATTAGCTACCGGTCCTGCCGAAGTGGTGCAAATCGGCTGAATCCCACCCCTGGCAACAGCCCACAGGTTGCACTTTGTTTTAATTTAATTTAACCCATAAAACTGGTTGTTCGAGCAACCACGTTAAATACGGTTTATTCCTTCAACCAGCAACTAAGGGAGAGTCAGAAGCAATGAAAGGGAGGCACCTGTTTGAAGCTTTCGGAAAGGAGTCCGCTGTAGGGCTTCTGGGGCAGATACATCTGATAGGCTTCTAAGATCATCAGTGCTACTTCCGCGTGGACTGCTGGATCGATGTGGAGGTAGCCCTGGTCAAAAACATCTTGCTGATTTTCAAGACAAGGAGACATTTTTTTTTTGTTCTATGGGGCTCCCTAACCATTTGCTAGTAAGCTCTTTTTTAAATATTTCATTTGTTTATTGCAGCCACAAAGCCATTCCAAAAATAGGATGCGAAAAGGTTCTGCATGACGATTCGTACGCTGGGCAGGTTTAAACAAAACCCAAATTACAAGAAGAAGGGGGGAAAAAAACAGTTTATTAATCCTGGTGTGTTTAAAAGAACCGTCCTGGGGCTTATGCTTTTCAACTGAAAACAACCTGAGAATGTAAGATACTGTTGACTGATGGATCCCATAGGATAGCATTAGTCAAACTCAGCAACTTTTAAGATGCATGGATTTCATTTAGGGAGGGGGGAAGGGAGAGGGAGGGAGGGAGAGATTGGGAGAGGGAGAAGAGGAAGAAGGGGAGGGGGAGTGGAGTGGAAAGGGGAGAGAGAGAAGAGAGTGGAGGGAGAAGGGAGAGGAGAGGGAGAGGAGAGAGTGAACAGGAGGGAGAGGGGAGAGGAGAGAGTGAACAGGAGGGAGAGGTGAGTGAACAGGAGGGAGAGGGGAGAGAGTGAACAGGAGGGAGAGGGGAGAGGAGAGAGTGAACAGGAGGGAGAGGGGAGAGGAGAGGGAGAGGAGAGGAGAGAGTAAACAGGAGGGAGAGGGGAGAGGAGAGAGTGAACAGGAGGGAGAGGGGAGAGGGGAGAGGAGAGAGTGAACAGGAGGGAGAAGGGAGAGGAGAGGAGAGAGTGAACTGAAGGGAGAGGGTAGAGGAGAGGGAGAGGAGAGGACAGAGTAAACAGGAGGGAGAGGGGAGAGGAGAGAGTGAACAGGAGGGAGAGGGGAGAGAGTGAACAGGAGGGAGAGGGGAGAGGAGAGAGGAGAGAGTGAACAGGAGGGAGAGGAGAGAGTGAACAGGAGGGAGAGGGGAGAGGAGAGAGTGAACAGGAGGGAGAGGGGAGAGGGGAGAGAGTGAACAGGAGGACAGGAGGGAGAGAGGAACTGGAGAGGGGAGAGGAGTGAACAGGAGGGAGAGGGGAGAGTGAACAGGAGGGAGAAGGGAGAGGAGAGGAGAGAGTGAACTGAAGGGAGAGGGTAGAGGAGAGGAGAGAGGAGAGGAGTGAACAGGAGGGAGAGGGGAGAGAGAGAGTGAACAGGAGGAGGGGGAGAGGGGAGAGAAGTGAGGAGGGAGTAGGGGAGAGAGGATAGAGTGAACAGGAGGGAGAGGGGAGAGGAGAGAGGAGAGTGTGAACAGGAGGGAGAGGAGAGAGAGGGAGAGAGTGAACAGGAGGGAGAGGGGAGAGGAGAGAGGAGAGAGTGAACAGGAGGGAGAGGAGAGAGTGAACAGGAGGGAGAGGGGAGAGAGTGAACAGGAGGGAGAGGGGAGAGTGAACAGGAGGGAGAAGGGAGAGGAGAGGAGAGAGTGAACTGAAGGGAGAGGGTAGAGGAGAGGGAGAGGAGAGAGTGAACAGGAGGGAGAGGGGAGAGGGGAGAGAGTGAACAGGAGGGAGAGGAGAGAGTGAACAGGAGGGAGAGGGGAGAGAGTGAACAGGAGGGAGAGGGGAGAGTGAACAGGAGGGAGAAGGGAGAGGAGAGGAGAGAGTGAACTGAAGGGAGAGGGTAGAGGAGAGGGAGAGGAGAGAGTGAACAGGAGGGAGAGGGGAGAGGGGAGAGAGTGAACTGAAGGGAGAGGGTAGAGGAGAGGGAGAGGAGAGAGTGAACAGGAGGGAGAGGGGAGAGGGGAGAGAGTGAACAGGAGGGAGAAGGGAGAGGAGAGGAGAGAGTGAACTGAAGGGAGAGGGTAGAGGAGAGGGAGAGGAGTGAACAGGAGGGAGAGGGGAGAGGGGAGAGAGTGAACAGGAGGGAGAAGGGAGAGGAGAGGAGAGAGTGAACTGAAGGGAGAGGGTAGAGGAGAGGGAGAGGAGAGAGTGAACAGGAGGGAGAGGGGAGAGGGGAGAGAGTGAACAGGAGGGAGAAGGGAGAGGAGAGGAGAGAGTGAACTGAAGGGAGAGGGTAGAGGAGAGGGAGAGGAGAGGAGAGAGTAAACAGGAGGGAGAGGGGAGAGGGAGAGGAGGAAGGGGACAGAGGGGGAGGGGAGGAGAGAGGGAACAGAAGAGGAGAGGGAGAGGGAGGAGGTGGAGGGAGAGGGAGAGAAGGAGTGGGACAGAGAGGGGAAGGGGAGAGGGAGAGGAGGGAACAGAAGGGGAGAGGGAGAAGGAGGGAGAGGGAGAGGGAGAGGAGAGAAAAGGAGGAAGGGGACAGGGAGGGGAAGGGAGTGGGAAGGGGAGAGGGAACAGGAGGGGGGAGGGAGAGGAAGAAGGAGATGGAGGGAAGGGGAAAGGGGGGGAGGAGGAGGAGGAGGAGGAGGAGAGAGGAGAGGAATGCTGGGATTCTGGTGTTCACCCTGCTTGGTTTTCTTTTTCCAAACATTTCATTACCAAATTAGAGATAACTTTTGAAACGATTAAAAGCAACATTGGAAAGGTAACTAAGTGAATGCCAGGATCCTAACCCTGAACTACACAGATGCTCTGCTATTGATAAAACAAACTCATCGCCCATTTCGCTACCTGACGTTTTATACATACCTGCTGCTCACTAGGGCCCCAATTCATCTCTTCCAGGATAATGCAAGCAAGTTTATTCTCGACTTCGGTCAGACTGTAATTCAGAAGCCAGTCACGGAGCAAGGCGATCTCCGAAGCCGATGGCTTCCAGAGAAGCATCGGCAGTTCTTTAAACAAATAGAGAGTCACCTAACAAGAGAAGAAGAAGAAAAATAAATAAATAAGAAAAATGCGAGGACAGGAATTGCACAGAGTTAGGAAGGCCATCTTTAAAGGCCCCATCACAGAGAAAAAAAAATCTGGGTTGCTGGAAGTCAACAAGAACCTGATGGCACGCTATCAATTTATTGATTGAATAGACCAGGGTAGGCAACCATGGCTCTTTTATGACTCATGGACTTCAATACCCAGGCGGGCTGGCTCAGGAATTCTGGGAGTTGACATCCACAAGTATGAAGGGGCCAAGGTTTCCCTCATGCTGGCTCAGGAATTCTGGGAGATGCCGAAGTCCACAAATGATGAAGGGGCCATACTTCCCCCATGCTGGCTCAGGAATTCTGGGAGTTGAAGTCCACAAGTATGAAGGGGCCAAAGTTTCCCTCATGCTGGCTCAGGAATTCTGGGAGTTGAAGTCCACAAGTATGAAGGGGCCAAAGTTTCCCTCATGCTGGCTCAGGAATTCTGGGAGTTGAAGTCCACAAGTCGTGAAGGGGCCATAGTTCCCTCATGCTGGCTCAGGAATTCTGGGAGTCGAAGTCCACAAGTCGTGAAGGGGCCATAGTTCCCTCATGCTGGCTCAGGAATTCTGGGAGTTGAAGTCCACAAGTATGAAGGGGCCAAAGTTTCCCTCATGCTGGCTCAGGAATTCTGGGAGTCGAAGTCCACAAGTCGTGAAGGGGCCATAGTTCCCTCATGCTGGCTCAGGAATTCTGGGACTCGAAGTCCATGAGTCATAAAAGAGCCACGGCTGGAGTAGATCTTATTTTTAAGGCACCTCTTTGCTTAGTGATGCTTAGACGAAGACACCTACCGAATGTATCAGCCAGGAAGAAAAGCTTAAATCTACAAGCTGCTACATTTTCCAAATTACAGAAATGTTATCATCCTACATGGTATGGGGCCAGATTACGTGAATTACTGCTCACGTCCACTCACCCCACTGTAGTGGGGAGGCAGAGAATGTAAGGGGTCCTCTCGCTTAAGACCAGTGGTTCTCAACCTGTGGGTCGGGACCCCATTTGGGGTCGAACGACCATTTCACGGGGGTCGCCAAACAAGGCTGTCTGCCATTTTTCCCCCCTTTTCTTTGGCCACGCCCCTGGAACCCGGTGATGTATAAGTGGTTGGGGGTCACCACAACATCGGGAACTGTATTATGGGGTTGCGGCATTAGAAAGGTTGAGAACCACTGCTTAAGAAGGTCCATCGCGTGGGACCCAGAAGAAAGGCCTTCTCCAAGGTGGCTCCCTCTCTGGGGAACATCATCCCTGCGGAAATAGTACTGGGCCCACTTTGACCACTCTCTGAAAGGCCCCAAGACACAGTTTCTCCAGCCGGCCTGGGGACCACAGGGGGACTCAAAGGTGTCGATGTGATGGTTGCCACCCATGGGTTATGGTTTATTTGGTTTTGTAGTGGGCTTTTATTTCTGTAAACAGCCGGGAAGGAAGGAAGGAAGGAAGGAAGGAAGGAAGGAAGGAAGGAAGGAAGGAAGGAAGGAAGGAAGGAAGGGGGGAGGGAGGGAAGGAAGGAAGGGGGGAGGGAAGGAAGGAAGGAAGGAAGATGAGAGGGAGCGGGAAGGGAGGGAGGGAAGGAAGGAAAATGAGGGGAAGGAAGGAAGGAAGGAAGGAAGGAAGGAAGGAAGGAAGGAAGGAAGGAAGATTAGAGCGCGGGAGGGAGGGAGGGAGGAAAATGAGAGGAAGAAAGGAGGGAAGAAAGATTAGAGGGAGGGAGGGAGGGAGGGAGGAAGGGAGGGAGGGAGGAAGGAAGGAAGGAAGGAAGATTAGAGCGCGGGAGGGAGGGAGGAAAATGAGAGGAAGGAAGGAGGGAAGAAAGATTAGAGGGAGGGAGGGAGGGAGGGAGGGAGGGAGGGAGGGAGAAAGGAAGGAAGGAAGGAAGGAAGGAAGGAAGGAAGGAAGGAAGGAAGGAAGGAAGGAAGGAAGGAAGGAAGGAAGGAAGGAAGGAAGGAAGGAAGGAAAGGAAGGAAGGAAGGAAGATGAGAGGGAGCGGGAAGGGAGGGAGGGAAGGAAGGAAAATGAGGGGAAGGAAGGAAGGAAGGAAGGAAGGAAGGAAGGAAGGAAGGAAGGAAGGAAGATTAGAGCGCGGGAGGGAGGGAGGGAGGAAAATGAGAGGAAGAAAGGAGGGAAGAAAGATTAGAGGGAGGGAGGGAGGGAGGGAGGAAGGGAGGGAGGGAGGAAGGAAGGAAGGAAGGAAGATTAGAGCGCGGGAGGGAGGGAGGAAAATGAGAGGAAGGAAGGAGGGAAGAAAGATTAGAGGGAGGGAGGGAGGGAGGGAGGGAGGGAGGGAGGGAGAAAGGAAGGAAGGAAGGAAGGAAGGAAGGAAGGAAGGAAGGAAGGAAGGAAGGAAGGAAGGAAGGAAGGAAGGAAGGAAGGAAGGAAGGAAGGAAGATGGGAAGAATTATTGGTCTTGGCAAAGCATTTTCCTTCAGATAGAAAATTCGTGGCTTTGCTCAAAGGTTTGAGCAGTTCTTACCATGCCGACACTCTCAATGGTCTCCCTGACTCGGTCCAGCACGACAGAAATCATGGTTGGATGAACAGCAGTGATGGAGGCCAGGAGCTCTCGGCCAACTTTTGAAAAAGTTTCTCTTGTGGAAAGACAGACATAAGATATCTGAGGGGAGATTTAAAAAAAAAAAAGGAACATTTTAGAAACACTCTCCTCCAAACTTTAACCAGGACTTAGTGCCCTTCCCAACATCTTCTAGACATCCCCAATTCCAGCACCCGTTCCTTATATGCTTTAGCGTCTTCTTGCTCACCTCATAGATCTCCAGCACCACCACTTTCACGAAGTCCTCATCAACGTCCTCCCGTTTGGTCTGGGCCATCTGGGCAAAGGTGGTCAGCAAGCAGATCTCCTCAGAGCTGTTCATGGATTGTAGGTAGCGCTCAAAGGTCTCCAGATGGGCCGGATCTGTTGGGTGGCAACAAAGCCAGGCTGTTATTTCTTTCTCTTGAAATATGTCTAGCCTGTTTACTGTCCAGGGGAAATCCTATGGCTTCCAAATTTCTTTGGTAAGGTATAAATAATAAAATACATCTCACTCTTTACTCTAAACTTGACAATAGTCTATATTATTTCTGAAATCCTCTAGATGGTGTTATGGCACCAGGTTTGAAAGCGGGAGACTGTGAGTTCTAGTCCTGCCTTAGGCCTGAAAGCCAGCTGGGGGACTTTGAGCCAATCACCAGGGGAGGGTGAGTTCTAGTCCCGCCTTAGCCACGAAAGCCAGCTGGGGGACTTTGGGCCAATCACCAGGAGAGGGTGAATTCTAGTCCCGCCTTAGGTCTGAAAGCCAGCTGGGGGACTTTGGGCCAATCACCAGGGGAGGGTGAATTCTAGTCCCGCCTTAGCCACGAAAGCCAGCTGGGGGACTTTAGGCCAATCACCAGGGGAGGGTGAATTCTAGTCCCCCTTAGCCACGAAAGCTAGCTGGAGGACTTTAGGCCAATCACCAGGGGAGGGTGAATTCTAGTCCCGCCTTAGGTCTGAAAGCCAGCTGGGGGACTTTAGGCCAATCACCAGGGGAGGGTGAATTCTAGTCCCGCCTTAGCCACGAAAGCCAGCTGGGGGACTTTAGGCCAATCACCAGGGGAGGGTGAATTCTAGTCCCGCCTTAGCCACGAAAGCTAGCTGGGGGACTTTGGGCCAATCACCAGGAGGCTGTGAGTTCTAGTCCCACCTTAGCCATGAACATCAGCTGGGTGACCTTGGACCAATCACATCCGCTCTGCCCAGCCCAAGACACGTCACCCACGGGCTCAACACACACCCACACCCACACACACCCCAGAAGGATAAAGCAAGAGGGGAAACCTTTGAGTTTCTGCTTCAACTCAGCGAGCTGCAGGGTGGAGGTGAACTTCTCCAGATCTTCGCTTCCGTCACAGTGCATGATGGAGAAGAGCTTCCAAAGCATATCGCTGGAGAGGATCCCGTACGGCATCTCGGACATGAAAAGCCAGACTCCCAGTCTGTTGGGGATGGAAAGCCAGCCAGGAAGTATTTATTACAATAAACTCTTAAATCAGCGGTTCTCCACCTGTGGGTCGGGACCCCATTTGGGATCTAACGACCATTTCACGGGGGTCGCCAAACAACGCAGTCCGCCATTTTTCCCCCCCTTTTCCTTAGCTGTGCTACTCCCTTTTATTCTATTGGCTTCTGAAAGCCAATAGAATAGACTCTCTTGAACAGAGTCTAATTCTATTGGCTTTCAAAAGCCAATAGGAATTGTCCAGGCTGTCTCTGCCCTGCTGAGCCCACCAGAAGTCCCATTCTGCAAACGGTGCTGCACCAGTTGAGTAGTCCTCGACTTACGACCGGTTGAGTAGTCCTCAACTTACGACCGGTTGGGGGTCACGGCATTAAAAAGGTTGAGAACCACTGTCTTAAATGATTTGGAGTTTTTTTAAAAAAAATAAAAAACACAAGGTAACTGCTTGCCGAAAATTGCCCAACATAAATGGTTTCTTCCCACAGACATTATCATTATCATCATCATCATATCCAGATCTGCTAACCCAGATCCTTGGTAAGCACTCGATAGGTAGACAAAAATGTCAAAACCATTCTGAATATCTGGTTGACTGTGCAATCATCATCAATAATAATAATAATAATAATAACAACAATAATAATAATATCCACATCTGCCCATCCCAGGTCCTTGGTAAGGACTCGATAGGTAGGCAAAAATGTCAAATCCAGTCTGAACATCTGGCTGATTGTGTGATGATCAATAATAATAATAATAATAATGACAACAACAACAATAAAATTGGAAGGGATCTTGAAGGTCATCTAGTCCAACCCCCTGCTCAGGCAGGAAACCCTATACCTTTCCAGACAAATGGCTGTCCAGTCTCTTCTTAAAAACTTGTTGTTTCAGGTTGTTCCACTGGTTAATTGTTCTCACTGTCAGGAAATTTCTCCTTAGTATTCCAGGTTGCTTCCCTCCTTGATCAGTTTCTATCTGTTGGTTCTTGTCCTGCCTTCAGGTGCTTTGGAGAACAGCTTGACTCCCTCTTCTTTGGGGCAGCCCCTGAGACACTGGAAGACTGCTATCATGTCCCCCCTCGTCCTTCTCTTCCTTAAACTAGACATGCCCAATTCCAGCAACCCTTCCTTGTATGCTTTAGCCTCCAGTCCCCTGATCATCTTTGTTGCTCTTCTCTGCACTCTTTCTAGAGTCTCAGCATCTTTTTTACATCGTGGTGACCAAAACTGGATGCAGGATTCCAACTGTGGCCTTACCAAAGCCTTGCAAAGTGTTATTAACCCTTCATGTGATCCTGATTCTATCCCTCTGTTGTAACATGCTGCCTGCCCCAGACTGGAATTAGCACAGCGGATAAGATTTCATTTTCCCAACCTTTTTGCTTTCAGGACATGGAGTACCGCCCTCAGGAAAAACTCATCAAATTCCACTTGCAGCTTCTTCAAGGAATACGGCGCCATCGTGGGGCCGCTCTCTTTCGCACAGCTGACAAATTGGGCCCAGTGATCACTCACGTGGCACAGCGTCATCCTGGAGGATCAGTTGGGGGACAGAGAACAGAGAACAAGTGTTTTAATAAAAAAGAGCATTTGTAGCCCAGGGTTGAACTCTGGGGTCCTTGGGGCTCTCTGAGCTTGGATGGGGGGGGAGTTCCTTGCACACATTTCATGACCCAACTAGGTAACATCATCAGTGCTAGAAGGGAAGAGGAGGAGGAGGAGGAGGAGGAGGTGGAGGAATACTGGGGGGGTGCGTGGTGCTCTCTGAGCTTGGTGGCTTTTCTTGCAGACGTTTCATTACCCAGCTAGGTAACATCATCAGTGCTAGAAGGGAGTGAGATTTGTGGAGAGGAAGAGGAGGAGGAGGAGGAGGAGGAGGAGGAAGAGGAGGAGGAGGAGGACTGTGGGGTCCTTGGTGCTCTCTGAGCTTGGTGGTTTTTCTTGCAGACATTTCATGACCCAACTAGATAACGTCATCAGTGCTAGAAGGGAGTGAGATTTGTGGAGAAGAGGAGGAGGAGGAGGAGGAGGAGGAGGAGGAGGAGGAGGAGAAGAGGAGGACGACTGTGGGGTCCTTGGTGCTTTCTGAGCTTGGTGGTTTTTCTTGCAGACATTTCATGACCCAACTTGATAACGTCACCAGTGTGAGTCAGTGTGGGGTTTGTTTATATACAGTAGCTTCTCCTGCCTTTTTGGGTGGGAGTGTGCCTGTCTACCTGACATTAGACCCTAATCAAGGACCTAGAGAGCTCGTTCCATCTAATGGTTAAGGTGCCAGGCTGAAAAGCAGGAGACGGTGAGTTCTAGTCCCGCCTTAGGCATGCCTTCATGGGTGACTTTGAGCCAATCTGGGTGACTTTGAGCCAATCATCATGAAGGGTTGAGTTCTAGTCCCACCTTAGGCATGAAAGCTGACTGGGTGACTTTAAGCCAATCATCATGAGGCGTTGAGTTCTAGTCCCGCCTTAGGCATGAACGACAGCTGGGTGACATGGGCCAATCACCAGTCTTATTTTGGGGGAAACACAGTGGTCCTTCAAGTTGGTCTTATGTTTTCTCTTTTATGTATTCATTTATTAATAAATTATTATTAATAATTATAATAACATTATAGTCATTATAACCATATTATAATAATTAGAATAATAATAATTATTAATAATAAGAATAATAAATTCAGCTAATAATAATAAATTCAGCTGTCCTCATCGTGCTCCTTTGCCCAGCTCGGAGCAAAAGTGGACGTGAACGCCTTACCTGATGAGATGGCCAATCCGTTTCACAAACTGCCTGTAACGCGCTCGGTTGAAGGTTTCCAGCCCCACAGCAAGAAGATTCACGACCGAATTAGCGAAGGCAAGCATTTTCATCATTGTTTGGGAAGTTGTCTTCTCGGGGACATAGCTGCCTGCTCAAAGGAAAGCATTCCAGAATGGAAAGAGCAGTTAGGGCGGGGTTTCAGCCAAGACAGGGAGAAGAGAGGAAGGGGTGTGTGTGTGTGTGTGTGTGTGTGTGTGTGTGTGTGTGTGTGTGTATAGGAACGCGCATCGACGAAAGGGGTGCATTTAGAGCGCAATTCGATCACCTGGGGCCGGTGACGCGCTTCAGGAGTCGGAAACAGGCGTTTAGCAATCATATATAGGTTTTCTCTCAGCGTTTGCCTTTTAACCCTGACGATGTCGAGAGTTATCGACGAAAGCTAGGTTGATTAAATTCTATTTTCTTACTCATTCTCTTGGTGATCGTTATTTTAGCAACATATATATATATTGCTCCTAAAAGCACGAAGCCAAAAGCACCAGCCTGAAGATGACGAGACTTCGTCGAAATGTCGCCAAGACACTTCTAATTTTACATGGGAGAAAACCCGAATAACCAAAGACCTACATATATATATCACACTCACAAATACCAGCCTGAAGATGATGAATGAGACTTCGACGAAACGTCGTCAAGACACTTCCAATTTGACGCGGGAGAAAACCTGAATAACCAAAGACCTATACATATATATATATATATATATATATATATATATATATATATATATATATATATATGTTTTCACGGATATAGGTATATAGGTATGCAGGTCTTGGCCTATTCGGGTCTTTTCCCGTGTAAGATTGAGAGTGTCTTGGCGACGTTTCGACGAGGTCCCACTCATCATCTTCAGGCTGGGGTCTTCGGCTTCGTGCTTGTATGAGCAAAGTGTGATTGGAGCTGCCGTCTCTCTATATATATTGGTGGGGGTGTGTGGAATGCTGGCTTAGTTGCTGTAGGTGGGTTGGTTGGCTGTGTTGGAGTTATTGTTTGTGGATTGTTTGGTTGTTTCGTAACATCCTGAGTAGCTGAGGTGCTGGCTGTGTGCCCATTAGTCTTTTGTGTTGTAACGACCTGGGTAATGGGCTGTGTGGTGACATCCTGAGATCTAGTGTAGTGATATCCTGGGTTCTGTGTTGCAGAATATGCCAAGACCTGCATATATATATATATATATATATATATATACGTGTGTATGTATGTATCTAGAATGCTGTATGTTACACCCTGTTGCCCAAATATGGGAGAGAGAAATCTTTTGCCTTGTATCAGCTCAAACTAGAGCCATCCACAGGCAGCAGTCACAACTGTGACATCATATACATTTCTAAAATTTGGATTGCTAGCAAAGAATTAAGGGAGAACTGGAATAGCTATTTCGAACTCTTTAGTTCTTTTCAACCAGACATACCCATTTCTAGATAACTCCTCCCCTGTTTCTTCCCTCCCTAACACAGTTGGCAAAAGTGAGACAGAGCCTGTGGCCTAGAGGTTAACACAGCTGCCTAACATGCAGGCAGCCCAGGTTTGAATCTCAGAAGGGTATGCCTTGGCGTAGAGCAGAGGTGGGGAACAATGGCCCCTTTATGATGGGTGGACTTCAACTCCCAGAATTCCTGAGCCAGCATGGGGGAACTGTGGCCCCTTTATGACTTCAACTCCCAGAATTCCTGAGCCAGCATGGGGGAACCGTGCCCCCTTTATGACGGGTGGACTTCACCTCCCAGAATTCCTGAACCAGCACGCGTGTCTCAGAAATTCTGGAAGTTTAAGTCCATCATGGCTGGCTCAGGAATTCTGGGAGTTGAAGTCCACCCGTCATAAAGGGGCCATTGTTCCCCACCTCTACTCTACGCCAAGGCGCACCGAACGCTGTTATGTCAGGTGAATTCTACATTTTTTACCCCTTCTCCCTTTTATTTTTTAATATACTGTACTCCCCCCCCCACACACAGACCTCAACAAATAAACACACTCAACAAATACACACAGACCTCAACAAATAAACACACAAATAAACACACAACAAATAAACGCACCACTGTATTGCAAGCCCCAAAGAGCAAATGCTTTAAAATCAAGACAGAGAATCTTATGCTGGCCCTCCCGGGGGAGGGGTGGGGGGGTCTACATTCCCGAATGAGTTCTGCTGAAAAAGTCAGCTGCCTCTCCTTTTAATTTAATTTTTAAAACCCTGTGAATAGAGAGTTGGCTGTACGAAGTGGCTCACCTTTAGCATCAAAGCCAAGCATGTGCTGGAAGAGTTCGTGGAAGGGGAACTGAGTCAAAAGGGCCACCAGGTCATCTTCGAGAAGAAGGACCCAACTAGTTTCGGGATCTTCATCCTACGAAGAAAAAGACACCTGAGTCAAGAACCTGCGTTTTTTTGTACTGCTAAGGCTGAGTTCGTTTGAGGCGCCAGGCTAAAAATGGGAGGCCGGGAGATCTAGTCCTACCCAAGACACGACAGCAGCTGTGAGCCCCTGGGCCGATGTCCGCCCTGCCTCAGCTTGGACCTTTAAGTAAGAGCGATCCTTGACTCCATTGGATGAAAAAGGAGTATCGGTTACTATAAGTCAGACATGTCAAGCACAAGGCCTGGGGGCCGGATGCGGCCCGCGATGTGGTTTCATGTGGCCCGCGAAGCCATCCTGGAAACAGTGAGGGAACGCCCCCCCTGCCTTGGCCCAGGCCGGCCGGGAGCCAATGTACAATTTTGCGGTGGCCATCTATGCTGAAAGGCATTCAGTCTTAGCTCCACAAGGCCGTCTGGAAACAGCGAGGAACCGGCCCCTGTTGCGTCAGCCCCGACCCCTAGGTGCATGCTGGGGAGGTGTCACCCTTTGTGAGGAATGGAGAAATGGACCATACCTTGGCGCTTGCCCCGGTCCCACCCCCTTCTGCCAGAGACCCTTAGATCTGTTCCAATCCTGCCCAGGCCCCCACAGGCACCCTTGACGTGATGTAGAGCTAGCCATGCCCACCTAATAGGCCATACCCACTCCATCCATGCCCACCCAGTAGGCCGCACCCACCCTGGCCAAACCCACCCAGCCCCCCCCCCAAGGGCAACCGCAATGCTGATGCGGCCCTCAATGAAATTGAGTTTGACACCCCTGCTATAAGTCGAGCAGAATACAGGAAAGCAAAGCCAGATCTGAGGTTCCCGCGCCAAATTCCCCAGTCACCAGAAGGCAGGACGAGAAACAATGGTTGGAAACTGATCAAGGAGAGGAGCAACCTGGAGCTAAGGAGAAACTTCCTGACAGTGAGGACAATCAACCAGTGGAACAGCTGACCACCAGAAATCGTGGGTGCTCCATCACTGGAGGTTTTTAAGAAGAGACTAGACAGTCACCTGTCTGAGACGGTATAGGTTCTCCTGCTTGAGCAGGGGGCTGGACTAGAAGACCTCCAAGGTCCCTTCCAGCTCCTATTCTTTATTCTATTCTATTCTATTTCCTAGTTTCTATTCTATTCTATTCTGTTCTATTCTATTTCATAGTTTCTATTCTATTCTATTCCATTCCATTCTATATTTTCTATTCTGTTCTATTCTATTCTATTCCATATTTCCTATTCTATTCTATTCCATTCCATTTCATTCCATATTTTCTATTCTATTCTATTCTATTCTATTCTATTCTATTCCATTCCATTCCATTCCATTCCATATATTCTATTCTGTTCTGTTCTATTCTATTTCACAGTTAACAACCATGTTATTCATTTAAAAACTGCAGTGATTCACTTAACAGATGTGGCAAGAAAAGTCGTAAAAGGAGGCAAACTTCGCTGAATAAATGTCTCAGCATCATAAATTTTGGGCTCAATTGTGGTTGTTGAGGACTGCCTGCATTTCACCCGAGAATAATAATAATAACAACAACAACTTCACTGTTTTTCCTGCTACAGTGTTCATACTAGTCGCTAATTTTTTTAGAAATGCAGCCTATAGCTATAGCAAGCTGCTCTCTCCATCTAGCTGGAAAACTAAACCCAAAACTAGCCAAAAAGCTTGAGAGTTTGCGTTCAATGGACCTTAAAATCCTCTTTTCAAGAATACCTCTTCTCCGCCTTCGTCGACTAAAGTCCAGTTTCCAGATCCCGGCTCGGATGAGGAAAGACTTCGTTCGCTCGGCTTCATATGGCACATAAATTCCGCTCGATTTCTGCAAGGATATAAAATACGGCAGGCTTTGGAAATGAGGAAGACACATCAATGGCTGAGGAATTCTGGGAATTGAAGTCCACCAGTCAGAAAAGGGCCAAGTTTGAAGACCCCTGTCTTAAAGGGACAGGGCATCCGCAGCCCAAGAGCTGCCCATTTTAGCTAAGCTCTATTAACAGAGGGGTAGAATCAAGATTATGTGAAGTTTTAGTACCACTTTATAAGGCCTTGGCCAGACCACGCTTACTAGATACTGCGTCCAGTTTTGGTCATCATATTATAAAAAAGATGGTGGACTTTGGAAAGGCTGCAGAGAAGAGCAACAAACAGGATCAGGGGACTGGAGGCTAAAACACATAAGGAACGGTTGCTGGAATTGGGTATGTCTAGTTTAATGAAGAGAAGGACGAGGGGGGACAGGATAGCAGTCTTCCAATATCTCAGGGGCTGCCCCAAAGAAGAGGGAGTCAAGCTATTCTCCAAAGCACCTGAAGGCAGGACAAGAAGCAACAGACGGAAACTCATCAAGGAGAGAAGCAACCCGGAACAATAAGGAGAAACTTCCTGACAGTGAGAACAATTAACCAGTGGAACCACCTGCCTCCAGAAGCGGTGAATGCTCCAACACTGGAAGTTTTCAGAAGAGACTGGACAGCCATCTGTCCGAAATGGTATGGGGTTTCCTGACTGAGCAGGGGGTTGGACTAGATGACCTCCAAGGTCCCTTCCAACTCTGTTGTTCTGTTATTTCTTCTCCCCCACCCCCCAAAGAAACACATTTTGCACTTGGAACCTACTTGGCAGGAGACATGAGCAAAGCGAGGGCCTGCATGAAGTGAAAGACACCAGATGGGTTATCTAGAATCTGGATCTGAAAGAAAAGGGGGACAAGAGTGAAATTAGGTTTTTAAAATAAAAAATAAAATAAAATAATAAAATAAAATAATAAAATAAAAAATAAAATAGTAAAATAAAACAAAATAAAATAAAATATAAAATAAAATAAAGTAAAATAATAAAATATAAAATAAAATAATAAATAAATAAAATAAAATAATAAAATGAAATAATAAAATAAAGTAAAATAATAAAATATAAAATTAAATTAAATTAAAAAATAAAATAAGTAAAATAAAGTTAAAATATAAAATAAAATAATAAAATAATAAATAAAATAAAATAATAAAATATAAAATATAAAATATAAAATAAAATAATAAAATAAAATAAAATAAAATAATAAAATAAAAATTAAATAAAATAAAATAGCACAAACTTGAAGCCGAATGTCACAGATGCTGAATTTTCCGAATTCTGAAATTTGTAATTATACAACTGTATCGAGTACTATGCAAAACATTTATCTTGACCAAAACACTTTTTTTTTCCCTTTCAAATTAAAAAGATTACTTTTCTATCTATGTCCAGGTAGATTTCATGAGTATCTGAAAAATCAAATGGCTTATTATTATTTACTCAATAATCTAATAAAATGTTACAAATCAAATAATAATAATAATAATAATAATAATTAAAAAGTATATATTTGGACTCCCAAGCAACCACAAAGGTTTTCTCCATCATAAAAAAAAACAAAAGAACCCACAACCGAGGCCCTTACAGAGTAAATCAAACATCTGCACCTGGATAAATGGAGCGGCCCACTTGCTCACGCCGGCTGGACACCGGAGGATGTGGTTTAAGAGGAAAAGATGGTCTCCTGGAGAAGCCACCCTTTGCAAGAGGGCGACCTGGAATGGAGTAAAATCACGTTCAATACCAGCACCGTTGCTATCCATTTATTAAAAGTCTGCAGCAGCATTGGGCAACCTCATCTGAGCTTGGAAGCTAAGCAAAGTAACAGCCTGGTTTATACCGGAGGCCAACAGACATTCTTAGAGCTATAGACTCGACTAAGTCTACACCCCAAAAATGACAGTGGGAACTGAAACTGTCTATAGGTCTGTGGAGCTTCTCGATCAGACAGCTTGTGGTGATCCCAAAAATGCTCCCCCCCTCCCCAAAAGGCAAGTGAACTTTCTTGGTTTTTTTTTTTTCTTTGCAAGAACTGAAGAAGCTTCTTGGATGAGAAGCAAAATGTTCTCCAAGAGGAGGAAAAAAAAAACACACCCCAGAAAGTCCACTTGCGTTTTTGGAAAAAGCACCTTTAGGACCCCTTTGCATAACTGCTGAGAAAACCAGGTGAACAGGTCCCCGTGAAGTCAGCGGAAGTCAAATATAACGCACAGCCTTTGATTTTCTCCGGCGCTCAAACGAAGCCCGGCTCTCCCTAAAAGGACTACAATGCCAGAAATTCATCAGAGGTTGCTCTTTTTAAAAAAAAAAAAAAAAAAGCCTTATTTAATACTCAGGGTTTCTATTGTCATCTAAACAGTGCCTATGGGTCTGTGTCCCTGACACGCAAAATTATGGTTTAAAAAAACAAAACAAAAAAAACACAAACACTCCTGCTAAAGTTTGCTCCCCCTTTCAGCCAGAGCAGTGTTTACCGGGTGCAGCGACTTGAAGATTTGTGGACTTCATTTCCCAGAATTCCCTGGCTGGGGACTTTTGGGGAATTGGACTGCACATATCTTCAAGTCACTGAGGTTGGGAAACATTGATTAGAACAGAGGTCACCAACTTTTGTCGTTTGGTGGACCGGAGGAAAAGGGAGGGGGAAGCATTATACATGCGTGCGTGCGCGTATGCACGGGACCGCCCGCGTGATACTCGCTAGCCCTGTCCTGTTCTTGTGCGGTGCAGCACCTCGTTCCTGCGCCTTGTGGCGCCGCGACGTCTGTTTTTGCACGTTGCAGCGTCGCGGCGGTATTTTTTTTTTGTGTGCCTACTGGCACGGCGGGGCCCCGTTTTTCCGCCCAGTGGCACAGCGGTGGCCCGTTTCCGCACCCTGTGGTGCACTGGCGTCCATTTTTGCACCTTGAAGTGTGGCGGCGGTCTGTTTTCACCCCCCAAGGTGCCCATTTTTGCACCCTGCGGTGCAACAGCGGCCCATTTTTGCACCCTGCAGCACTAGCACAAATGAGGGTGTGCGGGCACACTGGCCAGCCTGTCCCACGGCCCAGTAGGCCATGGTCCACTATCGGGCTACGGCCCACAGGTTGGGGACCCCTGATCTAGAGCAAGGGTCTCCAGCCTTGACCACTTTAAGACTTGTGGACTTCAACTCCCAGAATTCCCCAGCTGGCTGGGGAATTCTGGGAGTTGAAGTCCACAAGTCTTAAAGTGGCCAGGGTTGGAGACCACTGATCTAGTGGATGCATAGTCCAAACTAATCCAGATTGAGGACAGGCCCCTCGTAAGCCAGGCCTCAGGACTCCCTGAAGTTTCACCCTTCTACTCCGGCTTCGAATTGGGAGCTGGATGGCGATAAAACGAGGTTGCTCACCAGCTTCCGAAGCCACGAGAGGACATCGCTCTGGAACTGTGGGTCCTCAGTCGCCCGACGGGTGAAGCTGAAGAGAACGCTGATGCAGTCTTTCAAGGGCCCCAAGTCCGAAGATGGGGAAGACGCTGTTTTCAGAGCTGTCGAAAGAGGGGGGGAAATGGTTTTGAGAGACCCCCAAGGAGATGGGAAAGAGCGTCACTGATGGCGATGCTGGCGTTCGGGATTCTTGGTGCACAAGCGGGATCCCACTGCATCCTGGACCTCCTATACGCTTTCCCACAGGGAGACTGAGAAAGGAGGGAGGTGCTCTGGATGGAGATGAGCAGGGTTTATTGCCTAGGAAAAAGGGGCGAATGCGTTTTTAATTGAACAACGTCCTCTGATTGCATTGGAGGAGGAGGAGGAGGAGGAGGAGGAGGAGGAGGAGGAGAAGGAGAAGGAGAAGGAGAAGAAGAAGAAGAAGAAGAAGAAGAAGAAGAAGAAGAAGAAGAAGAAGAAGAAGAAGAAGAAGAAGAAGAAGAAGAAGAAGAAGAAGAAGAAGAAGAAGAAGAAGAAGAAGAAGAAGAAGAAGAAGAAGAAGAAGAAGAAGAAGAAGAAGAAGAAGAAGAAGAAGAAGTAGTAGTTGTTTAACGAAGAGAAGGACAAGGGGGGGACATGATAGCAGTATTCCAATATCTCAGGGGCTGCCATAAAGAAGAGGGAATCAAGCTATTTTCCAAAGCACCTGAAGGCAGGACAAGGTGGAAACTAATCAAGGGGAGAAGCAACCTAGAACTACGGAGAAACTTCCTGAAAGTGAGAACAATTAATCAGTGGAACAACCTGCCTCCAGAAGCAGTAAATGCTCCAAAACTGGAAGAAAAGGACTGTGAGATCCTTGGTGTTCTCTGAACTTGGTGGTTTTCTTGCAGATGTTTCATGACCCAAAATAAGTAACATCTTCAGTACTAGAAGGGAATGAAGATTGTGGGAGGAGGAGGAGGAGGTGAAGAGGAACTGTGGGGTCCTTGGTGCTCTCTGAGCTTGGTGGTTTTCTTGCAGACATTTCATGACCCTAAGTAGGGAACATCATCAGTGCTAGAAGGGAGGGAAGGGGTTGCAGAGAGGAGGAGGAGGAGGAGGAGGAGGAGGAGGAGGAGGAGGAGGAAAGGACTGTAAGGTCTTTGGTGCTCTCTGGGTTTCGTTATTTTCGTGCAGACATTTCATTACCTAACTAGAGAACATGTTCAGTACTAGAAGGAAATGAAGATTGCGGGAGGAGGAGGAGGAGGAGGGGGGGGGAGGAGGAGGAGGAGGACAATGACCTTGGGATGCTAGCTGCTCTCTGAGCTTGGTGCTTTTCTTCCAGACCTTTCATGACCCAGATACGTAACATCATCAGTGCCAGAAAGGAGTGGGATTTGTGGAGAGGAGGAGATACAGCATAATAATAAAAAAAAACCACAATTGCAACATTCTCAGTACAGGCAGCCCTCGAGTTACGGCAACGCAGCCCCACATTTCCTGCCGCTCAGAGAGCCGTAAAGCTGCTTCTGCCCCACTGTACAGCCTTTCCTACCTCGGTGGCTTAAGTGAATCGCTGCAGTTCAGTCAGTAACAACGGTCGCTAAGTGGATCTGACTCCCCCCCCCTTAACTTGGCTCGTCAGAAAGTCGCAAAAGGGGATCCTGTGACCCCAGGAAAACTGCCACCGTCGTAAATGTGAACCAGTGGCCCGGCGTCTGATCACCGGAGGAATTTACCTGCTCATTAAGGGTGAAAAACGGCTTTTTCCAGTGCCCTTCTAAGTGTTGGCCACTAAACAAATCGCTGTAAGTCGGGGACTGCCCACAGAAGCAGTGTCAGCCTTTGGGGAAGTGGGGGGCTTGATTTCACGGTCTGGTCAGCCACCCACCTGTTGATTCCGGCGGCTGAAGGCCCAGCGACCTTAACAAGGGGGAGGCCCTGAGCACGTTGTGGAGGTAAGACTCCACTTGCAAACGGGACAACACCGAGGTGTACAAGTGCAGGGCGAGGATCTGGTGCAGGTGTTCCGTCTGGAGGTCGAGGAGCTTCTTCAGCTCTTCCAAGGCTCCTTCGTTCACCTCGACCGTCTGGTAGCGGTGAAAGCCGGAGACTTTGCATTGATCGGCGCAGACGCCCTGCGAGGAGGACAGAGAGAAAAGGAAAAAATAAATAAACAAAACAACGTTCAACACAAGGGCTAGGCAGTCGAGGGAGATTCTCAAGTCATCCAGGTCGTGGTTAATCCCAAAGGTGCTTTTCCGCGAGACGACAAAACAAGCACTTCGCAGCCGCCTGCCACAACATTAGGAGAGCAAACCCATCGGGACAAAATTCAGCCGTCCATCTGCATTTAAAGGACAAAAAGGCCGCTCTTTCGAAGGCAGCAAAGTCCACGGTTTGGGCAGAGAGGACCGCTGGTTTGAAAGAGGGATCTAAGAGGCCATCTATATAATATGGAATAGAATAGAATATGGAATAGAATAGAATATGGAATAAAATATGGAGTGGAGTGGAGTGGAATAGAGTAGAATATGGAATGGAATGGAATACAATACAATACAATAGAACAGGAGAAAGAATAGAATAGGAGAAAATAGAATAGAATAGGAGAAAATATGGAATAGAATATAGAATGGAATGGAATGGAATGGAATGGAATAGAATAGAATAGAATAGAATAGAACAGGAGAAAGAATAGAATAGGAAAAAATAGAATAGAATAGAGTAGAGTAGAGTAGATAGAGTAGAGTAGAGTAGAATAGAATAGAATAAAACAGAATAGAATAGAAAATATGGAATAGAAATTATGGAATAGAAAATAGAATAGAATAGAATAGAATAGAATAGAATAGAATAGAATAGAATAGAATAGAATAAGGAATAGAATAGAATAAAATAAAATAGAATAGAAAATATGGAATGGAATGGAATAGAAACAATAGAATAGAATAGAATAGAATAGAATAGAATAGAATACAATAGAATACAATACAATACAATACAATACAATACAATACAATACAATACAACAGGAGAAAGAATAGAGAAAGAATAGAATAGGAGAAAGAACAGAATAGAATAGAGGCTGGAAGGGACCTTAGAGGTCTTCTAGTCCAGCCCCCTGCTCAAGCAGGAGAACCTATACCATTTCAGACAAAACTGAACAGCCCTCCCTCAACAGAGGGAGAGGGATATGACATTATCTATCTCCAGTGTTAAAACAGAGTCCTTTCAGCAGTCCCAAGAAGGCTCCACACCCATGATTCAGAGATCTGAATCATGGGATTTAAATGATAATGAAATTGTCATAGTATTTTCTGCTTGAGTGGGGTGGAGGGAGTGGACTGGAAGATCTCCAAGGTCCCTTCCAACTCTTGTTATTCTGTTGTTCTGCCCCAAACCAGCTTCCCTTAACCCCCCCTCCCCCCCCCCACACACACACACAAACACACCTGGGCACTCTGCTGCTGATCCCGGAAAGTCCACAGGCGGTCTTTGACGCTTTCACCATCCAAGGAAAGGCTTTGCAATTTGGTCTCGGCGAGCAGCAGCTGCTTCCGACAGCGGCCGTAGTTGAGCACCAGCTCGTAAAACGCGTGGCGGTCCTGGTGGGCCACGCTGCCAAATTCCTCCGCGTAGGCCTCTACGTTCTCCAGCCAGGAGCAGGGCTCAAAAATCTTTAGCTGCTCTTTGGTAAAAGGAGCGAGTTCGGGATGGGCTGGAAGTGCCGGATACAAAGCCTCCGGCCGATGCCGCCATTGGAACGTGAACTCCGGCAGTCCTTCCGATAACAACGCCGAGAGATCGGGGTACAGGTTTTTAAAGAGGGGGGTCTCCGGGTGTGCTTTCACTCCCGTTTCGGGAAGAGAGGCCGGGGCACGGACCTTTTCGGAGAAAGGGGCAGCTGGATCTTCCGCAAGGCTACTCCGGGGTGCAGTTTCGGCGGGAGGAGTGTGTTTTCCCAACAAGTCACCGATCGTCTTGACGTTAACGGCGCCTTCCTTGAGACCCTGCCTCTCTGCCATTTTTGCATCTTTCTCCTCCTGCAAAATGTTTGCACCCGGTTCTGCGCCCAGCAGAGGTTCGGTCTGAGGGGCTGCTGGGGGTCCTTCATTTTCAGGGGTTAGCAGGCTTGGTGGCACTTTGGGGTCCCGGTTCCCAGTTTCCTTCTGGGGGGCTGCAGGGCAGGGTCTGGATGATGAAACGAGTCCTTCGGGCGTGCTTTTCTCCTGCAAAGCCTCTTCATCAATCTTTTTGTCCAAAGAAAGCTGAGCTATCGTGCTCTCCTTCTCTTCATCCTTCTTCTTCTTTTCCTAGTGTGAATGAAAACAAATTAAAAAAAACAAAACACCCTAATCACCAAGGCAAGAAAAAACAAAGGCACAGGTATAGTATAGGTCAGGGGTAGGCAACCTTGGCTCTTTTATGACTCGTGGACTTCAACTCCCAGAATTCCTGAGCCAGCCGTGCTGAGGGGAAAGGGAGAGGTTTCCAAGCTGAGCCAGGCTGGCAGAGGGAATTCTGGGAGTTGAAGTCCACCAGTCATAAAAGGGCCAAGTTTCAACAGCCCTGGTTTGAATATTTAAATATTTTTTCCTCACGGTCACATGATTAAAATTCAGGCATTTGGGCAGGGATAGGCAACCTTGGCTCTTTTAGGACTCGTGGACTTCAACTCCCAGAATTCCTGAGCCAGCATGAGAGAAACTTTGGCCCCTTCATGACTCGTGGACTTCAACTCCCAGAATTCCTGAGCCAGCATGAGAGAAACTTTGGCCCCTTCATGACTCGCAGACTTCAACTCCCAGAATTCCTGAGCCAGCCATGCTGAGGGGAAAGGGAGAGGCTTCCAAGCTGAGCCATGCTGGCTCAGGAATTCTGGGAGTTGAAGTCCACCAGTCACAAAAGAGCCAAGGTTGCCTACCCCTGGCCAACTGAATGTATTAATAATAATTATTATTATAACATTATTATAATAATTATGCTATTATAATTATTAATAATAATTTATTAATCATAAATAGATTAAAAAGGAAACATAAGATAAACTTGAAGGACATTTTGATGAAACTGCAGGCTTGGATCCAGACCAGGGGTCTTCAAACTTGGCCCTTTTATGACTGGTGGACTTCAACTCCCAGAATTCCTGAGCCAGCCATGCTGAGGGGAAAGGGAGAGGTTTCCAAGCTGAGCCATGCTGGCAGAGGGAATTCTGGGAGTTGAAGTCCACCAGTCACAAAAGAGCCAAGATTGCCTACCCCTGGTATAGGTGGTACCTGGCTCCATACTAGTAACTGTGACAGGGATCTCGGAGTCCTAGTGAACAATCCCTTAGATAGGAGCCAGCCGTGTGCTGCAGTGGCCAAAAAAGCCAACACAATGCTGGGCTGCATCAAGAGAGGGATAAAATCAAGATCACGTGAAGGGTTAATACCGCTTTACAAGGCCTTGGTAAGGCCACACTTGGAATACAGCGTCCAGTTTTGGTCGCCACGATGTAAAAAAAAGATGCTGAAACTCTAGAAAGAGTACAGAGAAGAGCAACAGGGATGATCAGGGGACTGGAGGCTATAACATAAGGAACGGTTGTTGGAATTGGGGGTGTCTAGTTTAATGAAGAGAAGGACGAGGGGGGACAGGATAGCAGCGTTCCAGTATCTCAGGGGATGCCCCAAAGAAGAGGGAGTCAAGCTGTTCTCCAAAGCACCTGAAGGGAGGACAAGAAGCAACGGATGGAAACTCATCAAGGAGAGAAGCAACCTGGAACTAAAGAGAAACTTCCTGACAGTGAGAACAATTAACCAGTGGAACAACCTGCCTCCAGAAGCGGTGAACGCTCTGGAAGTTTTTAAGAAGAGACTGGACAGCCATTGGTCTGAAATGGTGTAGAGTTTCCTGCCTGAGCAGGGGGTTAGACTGGGTGACCTCCAAGGTCCCTTCTAACTCTATAATTATAGTTATAATTATAATGATTATAATTATCATCATCACCATCATCAGGAATAAGACACAACAGAAAAGCCTATTCAATACAATGAAGTGACCGCCACACTGGTTTTACCCAAATAACAAGGATCGTTTAACACTTTAGGCCGGAAGTCTCCAACTTTTAAGACTTGTGGACTTCAACTCCCAGAATTGGCTGGCTGAGGAATTCTGGGAGTTGAAGTCCACAAGCCTCAAAGTTGCCACAGTTGGAGACCCCTGCTTTAGACCCCAAGTAGCAACATCCATCTTATGTCAGGTCCCCAAAGCCTTATTGTTTTCCTTGCATATCTACTTTTGTGCTTTTGCTTTGGGGCCTGCCATTCTGCTGGGGGGAGGGGGGAACATTTGCTTTCCCTTGGAATAACTTTCGCTTTCTGCTTTCCTCTATCTTTTCTTCCACCTCTATCCACTAGAGAAAGGGATGTGTCTCCCTTATCAGGGGGACTGTTACGGAGAAACGAAAGCTGGAGAAGATCTTGAGAGGCCTGCCAGCTGTGCCGGTGACTTGCACATCGTGCCACCTGTGGATTGGCTAGATTTCAAATGGACATTATGACTGTGGTGGGAGGAGAACTATTACTGGTTTAACTATACCAGGGGTAGGCAATCTTGGCTCTTTTATACTCGTGGACTTCAACTCCCAGAATTCCTGAGCCAGCATGGGGGAACTATGGCCCCCCCTTCATGACTCGTGGACTTCAACTCCCAGAATTCCTGAGCCAGCACGGCTCAGCTTGGAAACCTCTCCCTTTCCCCACAGCATGGCTGGCTCAGGAATTCTGGGAGTTGGTCCTCGAGTCATAAAAGAGCCAAGGTTGCCTACCTCTGGTCTAGATCTAGTCCACACGCTGACAACTGAGTCCAAAATTCCCATTCCTAAGCAAAGCAGTTGCTAAGTTCCCCCATGCTGGCTCAGGAATTCTGGGAGTTGAAGTCCACGAGTCATAAAGGAACCAAGGTTGCCCACCCCTGGCTTAACCACTGTGGCAAGACAGGTCGTAAAAGGGGGGGGGACTCATTTAGCCACAGAAAGTTTGGGCTCAGTTGTGGCTCAGTCGTAATTTGTGACATCAAATTATTTTTAGGGTTTTTTTTTTCTTGTTGCATTGTTTGCATTCTGCCACCTATCTGAGCCTTTCAGAGAATGGGGGGGGGAGTTTTATATCTGAAGGGGAGGTACTTACAGTTTAGAATGTCTTTTTAATTTTTAGAATCAATTACCTTGTTATGCTATGTTATAGCTGTGCAGTTTGGTTCAATGGTTCTGACAAAATTTCAAGGAGGACATTTGCATCCAGAGAAGGAAGAAGGAAGAAGGAAGAAGAGGAGGAGGAGGAGGAGGAGGAGGAGGAGGAGGAGGAGGAGGAGGAGGAGGAGGAGGAAGGAGAAGGAGAAGGAGAAGGAGAAGGAGAAGAAGAAGAAGAAGAAGAAGAAGAAGAAGAAGAAGAAGAAGAAGAAGAAGAAGAAGAAGAAGAAGAAGAAGAGGAGGAAGAATCCAGTATAACAGAAGAAGAGCATCAAAGACTATTAGGGGACTAGAGGCTAAAGCATATAAGGAACGGCTGCTGGAATTGGGTATGTCTAGTTCACAGGTCGGCAACCTGCAGCTCTGGAGCCGCATGCGTCTCTTTGAGCCTTCCCCTGTGGCTCCCAGCCTCTGCCATTTGCAGAGAGAGACAGAGACAGAGAGAGGCAATTGCGCTTCTCTCTCTCTCTCTCTCTCTGTGTGTGTGTAAAAGAGAGCGCACTCACAGTGTTCTTTGAGGAGCTGAAAAGCTTATTGGGCGGAGCTCCTCCCTTTGCTGCGTCTCTGCAGGAAACAGGAAGGGCAGGAGAGAGCTAGCTAGCCCAGCTATGCTGGCTCAGGAATTCTGGGAGTTGAAGTCCATGAGTCATAAAAGAGACGAGGTTGCTTACCCCTGAGGTTGTTGGACAACAACCTGAAGCTTGCCAGGTGAGCAGCAGATAGGAGGGGGGGGGAGAAAGAGAGAGAGAGAAAGGGAGGGGGAGAGAGAGAGAGGAAAGAGAGAGAGAGAGAAAGAAAGAGAGTGGGGGAAGAGGAGTGGCAGACCAAGGGCAGATAGAGAGGGAGGGAGAGAGAGAGAGAGACCCTTTTGACATCTAAAATGAAGATAACACTGCATATATCCTTTTTTTACCTGTGTGTATGTGTGTATGTATGTATGTATGTATGTATGTATATATACACATACACACACAGGTATGTATATATATATATACACATACACACACAGGTAAAAAAAGGATATATGCAGTGTTATCTTCATTTTAGATATCAAAAGGGTTTTGTGGCTCCCGGTGTTTTGTTTTTGGTGGGAAACGGGTCCAAGTGGCTCTTTGAGTGTTTTGGGTTGCCCACCCCTGGTCTAGTTTAATGAAGAGAAGGACGAGGGGGGACAGGATAGCAGTATTGCAATATCTCAGGGTCTGCCCCAAAGATGAGGGAGTCAAGCTATTCTCCAAAGCGCCTGAAGGCAGGACAAGAAGCAACGGATGGAAACTCATCAAGGAGAGAAGCAACTTAGAACTAAGGAGAAACTTCCTGACAGTTAGAACAATTAACCAGTGGAACGACCTGCCTCCAGAAGTTGTGGATGCTCCAACACTGGAAGTTTTTAAGAAGAGACTGGACAGCCATTTGTCTAAAATGGTATAGGGCTTCCTGCCTGAGCGGGGGGTTGGACTAGAAGACCTCCAAGGTCCCTTCCAACTCTGTTATTCTTGACTCTCCCAATGCTGAAGGTTCCAGTGATGAACATAGATGATATGGGGACTGGAGGCTAAAGAACAGTTGCTGGAATTGGGTTATGTCCTATTTAATGAAGAGACGGATGAGGCATGACATAATAGCACTCTTGCAGTATCTCAGGGGCTGCCCCAAAGAAGAGGGAGTCAAGCTATTCTCCAAAGCACCAGAAGGCAGGACAAGAAGCAACGGATGGAAACTGATCAAGGAGAGAAGCAACCTACAAGTAAAGAGGAATTTCCTAACAGTGAGGACAATTAACCAGTGGAACAGCTTGCCACCAGAAGCTGTGGGGGCTTCATCACTGGAAGTTTTTAAGAAGAGACTGGACAGCCGTTTGTCTGAAATGGTATAGGCTTTCCTGCCTGAGCAGAGGGTTGGACTAGACGACCTCCAAGGTCCCTTCCAACTCTATTCTGATGAAACCATAATTCTTACACACGAGTGGCTGCGTGTTTAAAAACAGCTGAAACAGTAGACAAGACACAAACACCCCTCAAAAACCTGAACACAACAAGATCGCCATTGAAACTATTGCAATAAACAATGGGGGGGGGGAATCCCTCTTTAGCAACTTCTTAAGTTTTGAAAGACCTTCCTTATCTCACAAGACTTTCCTAGTTAATAAATAAAAAAAAGCTTTCTATCACAAGACACACAAAGCACCCGGTAAGTGTCAAGGAAGAATCACATGAGCATGGTCATGTTACACAATCAGCCTTGGTTTTAACTCCAGATTAAACCTGATCCAGAAAGGGTTTCACAAACCACCATTGCATTTCAACACCAAAAGAGTTGCCAGTTCTCCACAGGTAATCCCAGGTAATCCTGAATTTGCAACACTTCATTTAGTGCGACGTCAGCGCTGGAAAAAGCAAATCACGACTGTTTTCCACCCTTACAATCACTGCAGCATTCCTCCGTGGTTATATGATCAGAATTCAGACATTATTGGAAAGAGAGAGGAAATATTTTTGATCTTCTAATATTAGACTTAAACTAAAAACTTACGTATATTACTGAATTACTGTTTAACCCAGACAACATGTATTAATGGCTTTGATTTATTAGAGAGGATACTGTATTATTAATTAGATGGCTGAATATGGTGGAAAATAGATAACTTTTAGAAAACAGAGCAATATTATAATCAAATAGATAAGATGTATACCCGGAATATTAGACTTTGGTATGAAAAGAGAAAAAGGGAGAAGTTGAGATAAGGGGAATTTTTGGTCACCTAAAAAGTACTTGAAAATCAGAAATAATAGTGTTACTTTGAATATTGACAGGAAATTAAAGCCTGGAAGAAAAAAAAAAAAGCAACAACAGGACATTGATTGTATACAAGGATTAAGTGCAAACGCAATTAAGATATGCATAAGCTAAAAATTATCAATAATGGCAACAAAGATGTTTTTATTTAGTTGGTAACAATAAGAATTGTACTAACCCAATATGAGATAACAGATATTAATGGAAAAGGAGAGGAACTATTTGATGTTGTAACGTAAGATTTATACCAAAGATTTATGTATGCGATTGAACTATTGATTAACCCAGTCATCATGTTGCTTTTTAAATATTCAATTGTAAAATGAGAAAATCAATAAAATATTATATATGAAAAACGCTTGGCAACTGGCATGTACCTGTGACGGTTGCTGTGTCCCGAGATCCAGGGATCAACTCTTGCGACTGTCTGACAAGCAGAGTCAACGGGGGAAGCCCGGATCAACTTTAACGACCGTGTTGCTAAACTGCAGTGATCCGCTTAAAGACTATGGCCAGAAAGGTCGCAAAATGGGGCAAAACTCACTTAGTGAACGTTTCACTTAGCAACCGATATTTTGGGCTGTGAAGTCGAGGATTACCTGGATTTCCAGGCCTTCCAAATCAGTTTCCAGCGATTAAAATTGCAGATTAGTGCACAAGCAAATCCTACACAGGGGGTGGGGAACCTTGGCTCTTTTATGACTCGTGGACTTCAACTCCCAGAATTCCTGAGCCAGCCGTGCTGGGGGAAAGGGAGAGATTTCCAAGCTGAGCCATTCTGGCTCAGGAATTCTGGGAGTTGAAGTCCACCAGTCATAAAAGAGCCAAGGTTGCCTACCCCTGAACTAGACTCTAGGCCTAGGGTAGGGGTCTTCAAACTTGGCCCTTTTATGACTCGTGGACTTCAACTCCCAGAATTCCTGAGCCAGCCATGCTGAGGGAAAAGGGAGAGGTTTCCAAGCTGAGCCATGCTGGCTGAGGGATTCTGGGAGTTGAAGTCCACGAGTCATAAAGCGACCTAGGTCAGAGGTAGGCAACCTTGGCTCTTTTATGAGAGACAGCTGTGTTGATTTGGCTCTAACGGGGGCAGCAGCAGCTTTTCAAGGCCAAATGAGCCCCAGGTGTGATCCAGGGAGGCCTTTTCTGGATGAGGGGGAGCCCACCTGACCCCCCCCCAGCCACTTGGGAGGGGAAGAGAAACAGGCAGTGTAGAACCAAATAAAGGAAGGGGGGGGTTATAAAATAAATCTCAACTCCTCATTAAGAGGAGCCAATAGACCCTCCAGGGCCAGGAGCAGCATATCTTACTGGGCCCTTCTAATGGTATTTCCAGGCTTCGTTCACCTCCTCTAGCAAAGAGTGGGACTACATCTCCAGGCATCCACAGCCGGCCTACCTTTTGGGGAGGGGGAAATGAAGCCTCCTCTCTTTCCCCTCTCTCCCTTCTCTCTCCCTCTCCTCCCCCTCCCTCCATCTCTCTCCCTCCCCCCTCCCCCTCCCTCCCTCTCTTTCTCTGTTCGTTCCCTTCCCTCCGTCTCTTCCTCCCCTCCTTCTCAACCTCCCTCCTCCGTCTCCCTCCCTCCCTCTTTGTCCCCTTCCCTCCATCTCTCTCTCCCTCCTTCTCTTTCTCCCCTCCTTCTTCCCCTCCCTCCCTCTCTCTCCCCCCATTCCCTTCCCTTCCTGTCTCTCCCTCCCTCCTTCTCCCCCTCTCCATCCCCTTCCCTCCCTGTCCCTCCCCCTCCCCGTCCCCTTCCCTCCCTATCTCTCCCTCCCCCCTCCCCCTCCCTCCCTGTTCCTTCCCTTCCCTGTCTCTCCCCCCTTCCGCCCCTCCTTCTCAACCTCCCTCCCCCCTCTCTCCCTCCCTCCCTTTGTCCCCTTCCCTCAATCTCTCCTTCTCTCCCTCCCCTCCTTCTTCCCCTCCCTCCCTCTCTCTCTCCCCCATTCCCTTCCCTTCCTGTCTCTCCCTCTCCCTCTCTCCTTCTCCCCCTCTCTCCGTCCCCTTTCCTCCCTGTCCCTCTCCCTCCCCCTCCCCTCCCTGTCTCTCCCTCCTTCTCTCCCTCTCCCTCCCCTCCTTCTCTCCCTCCCTCCCTCCCTCCCCTCTTTTTCTCTCTCTCCCTCCCCGCCTCACTCCCACCGCCTGGCTGGAAAGCAGAGCGCTTTTAAGCCCCCGCCGAGAGCGACGGGGAGTTGTAGTCCACCCCGTCGACGTCCGCTGGGAACCATGGGCTGCGTGGTGCGACCCCTGGCGCGGGGCGGACGGGCGAGCGAAAGGGCTTCCCCGGGGGAGACGATGGGCATGGGAGTCCCGCGGCCCTCCCGGGTTACCTTGGCTCTGACCCGGCCGGCCTTGCTCCGGCTGCGGGGCTTGACCACCTCCGCCATCCGCCCGGCCGCCGCTGCCCTCCGCCGTCCGCCGGCTTGTTGTTCCAGCGGCGCCCGGAGGGGCGGAGGAGGCGTGGTCAGGGTCACGTGAGCAAAGGGGCGGCGCCCCGCGACGCCGCGAAGGGAAGAGGCGCCAACCGCGTCCAATCAGAGGAGAGGGCATAGCCCCGCCCACCCGTAAGTTTTCTCCCGCGCAAGAGCCTGGAAGTGGACTTCAACTCCCAGAATCCTCCAGCCAGAAGAGGCGAAAGTCTGAACGCCGAATTCAGAGCAGAGCATCCTGGGAGTTGAAGTCAAAATCTCTTCCGGGCTTCTGAGCTGCAGAAACACGGCTTAAAGCAGCCCCTAGAAGAGAATGGCGTAGGAGGCTGGAGATGCGCCCCTGTTTTAAGCGCACCCTCGGGGGGGGGGGAGGGGGAACAGAGGAAGGTGGCAGCACCTCCAAGGCTTCTGCTTATTGGAACAGCACAGCAAATGGGAAGGGCTGCTTGGATGGGAGACCACCAGGAAATCCCACCAGGCCAGGCTAGTTCATCTGTCAACATACCAGGGGAAGATGTGGGAAACTGCTTGCGTTCTCTTTCTGGGGGGAAGACACCCTAGATCAGTGGTTCTCAACCTGTGGGTCGGGACCCCATTTGGGGTCGAACGACCATTTCACGGGGGTCGCCAAACAACGCAGTCTGCCATTTTCCCCCCCTTTTCCTTAGCTGGGCTCCTCCCTTTTATTCTATTGGCTTTTGAAAGCCAATAGAATAGACTCTCTTGAGTAGAGTCTAATTCTATTGGCTTTCCAAAGCCAATAGGAATGGTCCAGGCTGTCTCTGCCCTGCTGAGCCCGCCAAAAGCCCCATTCTGCAAACGGGGCTGCACCAGTTGAGTAGTCCTCGACTTACCACAGGTTGAGTAGTCCTCGACTTATGACCAGTTGTGGGTCGCAGCATTAAAAAGGTTGAGAACCACTGCCCTAGATTGTCCCTAAAGTTCCCAGAAGTAGACTGGAGTTGAAGACAAATCGGCTTCTTTCGTCTTTGGCCCCACTCTTGGCTTTTTGAGCATGGACAGAGCAGAATCACAGAGCTGGAAAGGCGCCTTGGAGGTCTTCTAGTCCAACCTGCTACTCAGGCAGGAGACTCTAGGCCAGGGGTCTCCAAACTTGACCACTTTCGATTCGTGCACTTCAACTCCCAGAATTCCTCAGCCAATCATGCTGGCTAGGGAATTCTGGGAATTGAAGTCCACGAGTCTTACAAGTCGTTAAGATTGGAGATCCCTGCCCTATGGCTATTCCAGAAGATGGAGGCAGTGCAAGGACTGTCCCTTTCGTGGATGCACGCAAATGCGAGGAAAGCAACAAAAAAAAACCCTGATGTTTGAAATGTGATTGTTGTTTAGTTGCGACGATGGATGAGAGCTGCTTCTCTTTCGGGGGTTTTGCACTCGCAAACTGGCACCGAGTTGCCCCTCTGCACTTTTTAAAAAGTCTACCGGCTTTCTCCTCCACCAGTCAACCATCGAGGAAGTGAGTCTGGCGAAGTCGTAAACATTGCAACGTGGAAGAGCGACCCCTGGCGGCTATAGGGCGGGAAGGCAAAGCCGTTCCTTTTCCTGCTCCTAAAGCGAGCGTGTTTCTAATTGCCTTTGCCAATCCTTAATGTGCAATTTTCTAGTCCTCATCGAGCTCGCCTGTTTTCTTGAGCTATATAAATTCCCAGCCAAATCCTCAGCCAATAACACATCTGGAGGGAACTAGTTTAGGGAAAACACACCATCGAACCCACTGCCTGGATAACGAGGTTTTTAAAAAGAGACTAGACAGTCACTTGACTGAGATGGTATCTAGATTGCTTCTCTCTTTGTTCAGTTTCCGACCATTGTTTCTTGTCGTGGTTTGGAGGATGATTTGGTGCCCTCCTTTCTGTGACAGCCACTTAAATATTGGAATATTGCTATCATGGCACCCCTGTTTCTTCTTTTCTTTAGACTAGCCAAACCCAATGCATGTTTGATTTTTTTTTTTTCAGCCTTCACCAGTAAACTACCATATCCCTAAAGACCATCCTATATTTCCTTCTGTGGGAAGTTGGCCCCCACCCCCAGAGAAAAATATTTTTAGAAATATTTAAAATACAGAATATATTTCCCTAAAGCAGTGGTTCTCAACCTGTGGGTCGGGACCCCATTTGGGGTCGAACGACCATTTCACGGGGGTCGCCAAACAACGCAGTCCGCCATTTTTTCCCCCTTTTCCTTAGCTGTGCTACTCCCTTTTATTCTATTGGCTTTTGAAAGCCAATAGAATAGACTCTCTTGAATAGAGTCTAATTCTATTGGCTTTCCAAAGCCAATAGGAATTGTCCAGGCTGTCTCTGCCCTGCTGAACCCGCCAAAAGTCCCATTCTGCAAATGGTGCTGCACCAGTTGAGTAGTCCTCGACTTACGACTGGTTGAGTAGTCCTCGACTTATGACTGGTTGGGGGTCGCGGCATTAAAAAGGTTGAGAACCACTGTCTTAAATGATTTAAAGGTAGAAACCAACCACCAAGTCTCTCTGTCCCAAACAGGAACCAAGTCTGTAGAATTACAGGTGTGATAATCTTGTCAAAAAGACTGGAATCAGAAAACTGGGATTAGGAAGAAAGATCCCTAGAATCAACACCAAAAATCTAAGAGTCATCAGCCCCAGCCCCAGGGAAGCAGGATATGACCCTTGGGACATAATAGGTTTAACCCACCACCATCAGAATACCAGAAATGCAGACTCACACCCAGGTCAAAGTTCACACCACAGGAACAACTCCAAACAAAAGGCTCCAGAGGGTATAAAAACACACTCCCTACATGTGCTCGCTCTCTCTTTTCTTCCAGAGCCATCTTTCTGTCTGGCTCTCCTCTTCAATAAATTACAACCTTCTTTCTAAAGCAGTCGCCATGTTGTTTTTTTCCCGGCTTGGACTGAACCACAATAAAGACTCTTCCTTCAACATGACCATTGTTTCTTGTCCTTCCCTCTCATGCTTTGGAGAATAATTTGGTGCCCTCCTTTCTGTGACAGCCCCTTAAATATTGGAATATTGCTATCATGGCACCCGTTTCTTCTTTTCTTTAGACTAGTCACTAGCCAAACCCAATGCAAGTTTGATTTTTTTTTCAGCCTTCTCCAGTAAATTACCATATCCCTAAAGAGCATCCTATATTTCCTTCCAGGCAAAGTTCAAAATCAATAACTGGGGGGGGGAAACCTTATACAATTGGAAAAAGCTTCCTAAATTAACAGAGCCCAGTCTGTGCCCAATAAGGCAGTTGTCACATCAAGGACACGGGTTTATATTAATTGCTTATTTTTTTACCTCCTATGATAACTCTCAGAATTCTTCTTCCCAGAATAGAATAAATAGTACAATAGAAATAAGGTAGAATTAAAAATATTGATGACAGGAAAAGAAAAAAAAAAAAAAAGACAGAAATCCCACCACAGTCTGCTCTGGATTCCAGAAGCTTCCAGGAACGAGTACTACAGCTACCACACATTTTCTGTCCCTTTGAATCAGGAGGACTAGAGCCTTGCTTTTCACTAAAAGGGGAGCTGCTCAGGCAACATCACAATTCGAAAGTCCAGGAGAAGAATTAGCCTGAATGTTACAGCTGTTCCCACACATTGATTCCCGAGTCATTTGCAGACAAATAAGTGTTTAATTCTTAGTGCTTAACAAATCAGGAAGAGTCCATTTGCTCTAGATTTCACCGGATTTGGGGCAAACTAAAAAATAAAAAAGGGGGGGGAGGCAATCAGAACTCTAGAAGCTTTCCCACTACTCTCTAACTAACATAATTAAGTAAGATCCAAGAATTAAGGCTAATATCATGGGATTGTCTTGATCCATCCTCACAACCACCCTGTGAGGTAGGTCAGGTAGAAGCTACAATGTCTCCCGAGAAATCCACTTTCAAGGTCATTCACACATAGGTGTAATTCTTTAGATGTCACACACCCCTCTCCTTCTACGAATAAAAAAGGCAGCGGTCCAAAGATGTGGTCCCAAAAAAGGTAAACTTGTGGATCTAAGAATACAGTGGATGCTACAGCTGTCATCTTGACTTTTTCAACTACATCCTGCGAACACCCTTCTTTCAAAGGAATAAAACAACAGAAATAATGGTGTTATCTGCCAGAAAAATTAGCGTCGTCTCAGTACTTTTCTGCTGTGGAAGCATCCTCCACCTTTCCAAAATGTTCTCTTTGGCTTGTTTTAAAGAATAATTAATGCGCCCCCCAAAATCAGCAAAACTCCATTTGAGGAAGGGGATTGAGACAGCTTTTAAAATGGCTGCTATTCCATTTTCCTCATAGAGGCATCGTCGAAGGAAAGATTCCGAGATCTGGAGGGAAGAAAAAGATCAAAGAATGAGGGGGAAAAAATGCAGACTGGATCCGTCTACGGATAATCCCCGGCTTATGACCACGAGTGAACCCAACATTTCTGTTGCTAAGTGAGACATTTGTTAAAGTGTGTTTTGTCCCAGTCTACGACTTTCCTTGCCACATTTGTGAAGTTGTTAAGTTAGTAACACAGTTGTTACTAAGGGATCTGGCTTCCCCCCTTGACTTTGCTTATCAGACGGTCATCACGTGACCCCGGGATGCTGTGACCGTCATAAATATGAGTCAGTTGCCAAGCATTTGAATTTTGATCACGTGACCACAGGGAGGCTGCAACGGTCGTAAGTGTGAAAAACGGTCATAAGTCATCTTTTTTCAGTGCCATTGTAACCTGGAACGGTCACCATATCAACTGTTACAAGTCAAGGACTATCCTTAAGCCACGATCTGCTTAACTGTGATTGGCTGACTAAAACACAACTTACAACTTTCTGGTATGCCAAGATTCCTGCTTCCAAATTGCAAGAGTTGCAATGAGGTAAGCCCAGATCGAGCAAACCTTGATCTGGGGAGATACACACAATATGTTAGTTTATGACTGACCTTCTTGCATTCATCTAGCACAGTGGTTCTCCACCTGTGGGTCGGGACCCCATTTGGGGTCGAACGGCCATTTCACGGGGGTCGCCAAACAACGCAGTCCGCCATTTCCCCCCCCCTTTTCCTTAGCTGTGCTACTCCCTTTTATTCTACTGGCTTTTGAAAGCCAATAGGATAGACTCTCTTGAATAGAGTCTAATTCTATTGGCTTTCCAAAGCCAATAGGAATTGTCCAGACTGTCTCTGCCCTGCTGAGCCCGCCAAAAGTCCCATTCTGCAAACGGTGCTGCACCAGTTGAATAGTCCTCAACTTACAACCGGCTGAGTAGTCCTCATCTTACGACCGGTTGGGGGTCGCGACATTAAAAAGGTTGAGAACCACTGATCTAGCAAGACTCTTGGTAGCTTATGGTTTATGACTGAGGGACTAGTGTACAATCAGCCAATCTTTGTTTATTCGCACTTAAGAATACCCAAAATATAACTTATGTCAGCTAAACCATGACTTAACACATTTCAATCTTGGCAACTTTTAAGACGCGTGGACTTCAGCTCCCAGAATTCCTCAGCCAGCATGAAAAACTTTGGAGGGTTTTAAGAAGAGATTTGTCTGAACTGGTGTAGACTTTCCTGTGTAAGCAGGGGGTTGGACTAGAAGACCTCAAAGATCCCTTCTGATTCTGTAATTCTTCTTTGGATGGCTGGAGAATTCTGGGAATTGAAGTCCACCCATCTTAAAAGTTGCCAAGATTGGAAGACACTGCCTTAAGATGTTATATAAATACAGAGATATTCTGTATTATTCTATTCCAATAATATGCTTAATTAGACAGGCATTTTTAAAGTTCCTTTTCTAAATGACAAAACTTACCATCTCTGGGCTAGTGAGGATGAATTAAGCTATACCCATCCACAGAAGCGTAGTTAGCTTCCCCTATAAAAACAAAGGTTACAGTTATTAATCCATAGAGTAAAACAGGGGTCTTCAAACTTGGCCCTTTTGTGACTTGTGGACTTCAACTCCCAGAATTCCTCAGCCAGGCACGCGTCCCTGGCTGAGGAATTCTGGGAGTTGAAATCCACAAGTCATAAAAGGGCCAAGTTTGAAGACCCCCTGGAGTAAAATGTCTGAGCCCAAATTTAAAATGGCAAAAAAATCTGCTTGATTAACCACCAAGAACAAAAGGCATCATTTAGGAAATGTCAGACAGGTGTAAAGTCCGCTGATTAAGATAAGGAGATTCACAAACAGTTTATTGCAAGCACCTGGAGACAATTCAAATCAGGATCAGAAACTACCCATTATCATTTAAGCATCCAAAATTAACCCTTCCCTTCATTTAAGGGGCTCATTGTCCACAATGCATGTAGTCCTCAATTTTTGACAGCTTTAAATAACAACAATAAGAAGAATAAAGAAGAATAAAGTTGGAAGGGACCTTGGAAGTCATCTAGTCCAGCCAGCTGCTCAGGCAGGAAACCCTATACCATTTCAAACAAATGGCTGTCCAGTCTCTTCTTAGAAACCTCCAGTGTTAGAGCATTCACAGCTTCTGGAGGCAGGTTGTTCCACTGGTTAATTGTTCTAACTATCAGGAAGTTTCTCCTTAGTTCCAGGTTGCTTCTCTCCTTGGTTAGTTTCCACCTGTTGCTTCTTGTCCTGCCTTCAGGCGCTTTGGAGAATAGCTTGACTCCCTCTTCTTTGGGGCAGCCCCTGAGATACCGGAAGACTGCTATCAAGTCCCCCCTGGTCCTTCTCTTCATTAAACTAGACATCCCCAATTCCAGCAACCATTCCTTATATATTTTAGCCTCCAGACCTCTAATCATCTTTGTTGCTCTTCTCTGTACTCTTTCTAGAGTCTCCACATCTTTTTTAGCCTTGTGATGATCAAAACTGGATGGAGGATTCCAAGTGTGACCTTACCATTTACCATTGTAAAGCAGTATTAACACTTCATGTGATTTCTATTCTATTCTATTCTATTCTAGTCCAGTCCAGTCCAGTCCAGTCCATATATTCTTCTATTCTATTCTATTCTATTCTATTCTATTCTATTCTATTCTATTCTATTCTATTCTATTCTATTCTATTCTATTCCATCCCATCCCATCCCATCCCATCCCATCCCATCCCATCCCATCCCTGTTAATGTAGAGATGTAGAATCGTGCAAAAAGATGGGGACACACCAGGGGTGCAAGGTTTACTCACCTGGTTCACTGGAAGGGATGGGCATCTGGGGTCTCCTGCAGGGGAGAAGAGGTGCAGGTAAATCAGTCCAACCTAACTTCAGAGACCTTCAGGCAACTTGGTTTAGGCCAGGGGTGGGCAACTTTGGCTCTTTTATCATTCGTGGACATCAACTCCCAGAATTCCTGAGCCAGCATGGGGGGAACTAAGGCCCCCTTCATGACTCGTGGACTTCAACTCCCAGAATTCCTGAGCCAGCCATGCTGAGGGGAAAGAGAGAGGTTTCCAAGCTGAGCCATGCCTGCTCAGGAATTCTGGGAGTTGAAGTCCACGAGTCATGAAGGGGCCAAGGTTGCCTAGCCCTGCCCTAGCTGAATGTAACCCCTAGCCTCTATTAATAATATTTATTATTATAACATTATAATAATTATAATACTATAATAATTATTAATAATAAAAAATAGATTAAAAAGGAAACATAAGACAAACTTGAAGGACATTTTGATGAAACTGTGGGCTTGGTTCCAGACCAGGGGTCTTCAAACTTGGCCCTTTTATGACTCGTGGACTTCAACTCCCAGAATTCCTGAGCCAGCCATGCTGAGGGGAAAGGGAGAGGTTTCCAAGCTGAGCCATGCTGGCTCAGGAATTCTGGGAGTTGAAGACCACAAGTCATAAAAGAGCCAAGGTTGCCTTCCCCTGGTCTAGGCCTAGGCCACTTCATGACTCGTGGACTTCAACTCCCAGAATTCCTGAGCCAGCCGTGCTGAGGGGAAAGGGAGAGGTTTCCAAGCTTAGCCGTGATGGCTCAGGAATTCTGGGAGTTGAAGTCCACAAGTCATGAAGGGGCCATAGTTCCCCCATGTTGGCTCAGGAATTCTGGGAGTTGAAGTCCACAAGTCATGAAGGGGCCATAGTTCCCCCATGCTGGCTCAGGAATTCTGGGAGTTGAAGTCCACCAGTCATGAAGGGGCCATAGTTTCCCTCATGCTGGCTCAAGAAGTCCACGAGTCATAAAAGAGCCAAATTGCCTACCCCTAGATTAGTCCAAGCACAGCACAAGTAACTCTCAGCAAGCCTCAATAGAGGACGTGGCCACTAAATACAGGCAGTCCTCAAATTATGACCCCAAATTTCCGTTGCAAAGCAAGACAGCTGTTCAGTGAATTTTGCCCCGTTCTATGACCTTTCCTGCTGCAGCCGTTCAATGAATGCCTGCCACTCTTCAGTCAATAAGGCGGTTGTTAAATGAATGTGACTTCCCCTATTGACTTTGCTTGTCACAAGTTCACCGGAGCCGATCACATGACTCCAAGGCACGGCGACCGTCATTATTACGAGCCAATGGCCAAGGGTCTGAATTTTGATCATGTGACCAGTCGTAAGTCTGAAAAAAACGACTAAATTGATGGTTGCAACTTGAGGATTACCTAGAGGTAACAGAATGCAGAATTTTGACTCCTGTTCTTTTGTTTTCTCCAAGCAAGAAATTCATAAGTCCTCGCTGTACAGTGTACCGTATATGCCGGCGTATTAGGCGACCCGGCGTATAAGACGACCCCCGAGTTCGACGCCGGGTCGCAAGACGATCGACGCCGAGTCGCATATAAGACGACTTTCTAGGCATGCGACTCGGTGTCAATCATCTTATACGCCGGAAATAACGTCATTTCCGGCGTATAAGATGATCGACACCGAGTCGCATGCCTAGAACGTCATCTTATACGCCGGAAATAATAAATAAATAAATAAACGTTATGACTCGGCATATAAGACGACCCCCGAGTTCGGAGGCTGTTTCATCGCTCTCAAAAGTCGTCTTATACGCCGGAATATACGGTATTTTTTTTTATTACTCCAAAGTAATATAATTATTCTTGGCAGAAAACCATGACGTTAGCATAATGCAGCTAAGTAAATAGCTGAAAAGAATAACATTCACATTTAATATATATGTGTGTGTGTGCTTTTTCATTCTTACGTGCCAGGCACTGGAGGCTGACTTCTTCTAGGCCCTGTGTTCTGCTGTGTGTTGTAATAATTTTCGTAGACTACAGGAGCTGCAAAAAGCAAAAAAAAAAATGTCAAAAAACCCACAAGACAACTTGTTTCTCAACTAACACTGGATGGGATGTGTTACTTTCGACTGCTGAGATTACAATTCTTAGAATTCTGAGCCAGTGGAGAGAAGCATTCTGGGATTTTAGTAGCCCCTTCTGAATTTATATATATATTTTTTTCTAGCAAAACATGGTTCTGAAAACACGTTTGTTGGTTGGTAACCCTCCTTTATTATTCGTATAAGTAATTCAAGGGGGCAAGCATACCTAATACTTCTTCCCCCTCCTGTTTTCTCCAAAATAACAATCACCCTGTGAGGTAGGTTGAGCGGACTGAAAGTGATGGGGCAAAAGTCAACCGGCTGGCTTTCATGCCTAGGGTAGGATTAGAACTCACCGTCTGCTGGTAATTGGCCCAAAGTGACCTAGTCAGCTTTCAGGCCTAATGCAGGACTAGAACTCATAGTCGCCTGGTGAGCAGCCGAAAGTCACCAAGTCAGCTTCCATGCTTAAGGCAGAACTAGAACTCACCGTCTCCTGGTGAGCTGTCCAAAGTCACCCAGCCGGCTTTTATGCCTAATGCAGGACTAGAACTCACAGTCTCCTGTTGATTGGCCCAAAGTCACCCAGTCGGCTTCCATGCTTAAGGCAGAACTAGAACTCACAGTCTCCTTGGTTCTAGCTTAGTGCTTTAACCCTGGCTATGAATTTTGCTGTATAATTTGCTGTATAGCCAGAAAAAATAAAATGGAGTGGAGTAAGAGGACGTAGTGAGACACAAACTTTTAGAGTTGATATCAATCCGTTGAGTTCAGCTAGATCAGTGGTTCTCAACCTTTTTAATGCCGTGACCCCCAACCGGTCGTAAGTCAACCGGTCGTAAGTCGAGGACTACTCAACTGGTGCAGCACCGTTTGCAGAATGGGACTTTTGGCGGGCTCAGCAGGGCAGAGACAGCCTGGACAATTCCTACTGGCTTTGGAAAGCCAATAGAATTAGACTCTATTCAAGAGAGTCTATTCTATTGGCTTTCAAAAGCCAATAGAATAAAAGGGAGTAGCACAGCCAAGGAAAAGGGGAAAAAAAATGGCGGACTGCGTCGTTTGGCGACCCCCGTGAAATGGTCGTTCGACCCCAAATGGGTCCCGAACCACTGAGCTAGATCAAAAAAGAGGCACAGAAGGATTTCTGGGCAATTTGCAGTCAGGTATAATAAGAGAAACATGAAACCCCATCCAGATTTCTCCCCATCTCCACTTATGCTAAGGAAAATCAAGATGGGATTACTTTGACTTTCTTTCTCACCAGTCTTTCTAGCTCTGGACGGCCGTCTGTTTTTCCTTTTCCACAAGTCCCTTATACCCTCCCCCCAAATTATCTCTAAACTCCTTTACACCACCGTGTTTTATAGACACGAACGGAGCACCGTTTGAACTTGAGACCTCGGGCATCCACCTCTTTTACCTGGCGGGATGTTGCCGGTCTTGCGAATATGTACGAAACACTCTATGTCGTTCCCGATGCTGCACTGCTCCAGGGCTTTGCGGATCTCTTCGTAGTTCTGTCGCAGGGAAGAGAAAGTCGATTTTAGCGGCAGGAAAATGACGCGCCCTGAATTACTGCTATGTTTTCCGAATCCAAATTCCAACACTGGAGGAAACGTAAGGGGCAAAAAGACTGGGGGGTAGGGGGGTGGCCACATTTTGTGCTTACTACACAACAATCAATTCCTTTTCTGAATTAAAAAAAAATTGTGTTTGTGTGTGTGGTTTCTCTTTTCCTATGGATGAATGAATCCATTCCGTTGTGGCAAAAATCCAACTTGGATCATCGACTTCGTGACTCGGTTCAGAAAACTGATCATTTTGGAGGCCCTAACCCGATTCACAGGGAAAACAATGTTTGTGCAAATGTATCTTCAGGGGCTGCCCCAAAGAAGAGGCAGTCAAGCTATTCTCCAAAGCGCCTGAAGGCAGGACGAGAAGCAACGGATGGAAACTGATGAAGGAGAGAAGCAACCTGGAACTAAGGAGAAACTTCCTGACAGTTAGAACAATTAACCAGTGGAACCACCTGCCTCCAGAAGCAGTGAATGCTCCAACACTGGAAGTTTTCAAGAAGAGACTGGACAGCCATTTGTCCGAAATGGTATAGGGCAATGATGGCGAACCTTTTAGAGACTGAGTGCTCAAACTGCAACCCAAAATCACTTATGCATCGTTGAGTGCCGGGTGGGCGTGGCCCATTGCGTGGGCATGGCTGCGGTGGTAAAGGCAGACTGGGTGGGACTAAAAAGTTCAATCAATCAATTCCAACTTTGCAAGATCTCTTTTTTCCCCGCGAGAAGCTGAAATTGACTGATTGATTGGACCTTTTTTTTTTTTTTTGCACACGGTGGCGGAGGCCTAAAGCGAAAAGGTTTTATAAAACCCAGCTGAAGGCCTAGGACTGGGGCGACGGCGCGTGTGCCCACAGAGAGGGCTCAGAGTGCCGCCTCTGGCACCCGTGCCATAGGTTCGCCACCACTGGTATAGGGTTTCCTGTCTGAGCAGGGGGTTGGACTAGATGACCTCCAAGGTTCCTTCCAACTATTCTATTCTATTCTGTTCTATTCTATTCTATTCTATTCTATTCTATTCTATTCCAGATATTCTGTTCTGTTCCTTTGAAAATGCCCAACCCGAAAATTTGCCAATGCCCAATCTGCAAACGAAAGGGACTGACGCTCCTTTCTTACATCATCATTCCTGACGCAAGCTTCAGACAGCTGATTGACATGGAACCACAAAGCATTCCGGAAATAGTTGATCCGCTCACATTCTTGGCTCTCAAAGAACTGCAGGAGACACAGAAGAAGATCAGCTGCCAAACTGGGCAAAGAAGCAGCATTTGATCAGAGTAGATTTTTATTTAATATATTTACCAACTGGCCCTCTTAGAGAAAGTTTGAGAAGGCAATACGTACGAAGCCACCATAAAACCGCCGGTGGACATTCTCCATCATCCAGGTCAGGGCTAGGCAACCTTGGCTCTTTTATGACTCGTGGACTTCAACTCCCAGAATTCCTGAACCAGCATGGGGGAACTATGGCCGCCTCATGATTCGTGGACTTCAACTCCCAGAATTCCTGAGCCAGCCTGGCTCAGCTTGGAAACCTCTCCCTTTCCCCTCAGCATGGCTGGCTCAGGAATTCTGGGAGTTGAAGTCCACGAGTCATAAAAGAGCCAAGGTTGCCTACCCCTGATCCAGGTCATGGTGGCCTGCAAAGGTGCTTTTTCAAGAAGCAACTGGACGTTCTTGGTTTTTCCTTGAAGATGTTTCGCTTCTCGTCCAAGCAGATTCTTCGGTTCCGATGGAAAGAAAGTCCTGTTGCCTCTTGAAAAAAAAACACCTTTGGGACCACCATAAAACCATTAAAACTTGACCCCTTCCAGTTAGGTTTTAGGGCTGGGCATGGGATGGAGACCACGGAGGTAGCTTTTAGGGATGATCTGTGGTGGGACTTTGACTGGGCAGACCTACTTGTCTAGAAACATTTGACATCACGTACCATGATACCCCTATGGCTTGTCTATGAAAACTAGGATTGAAGCCTCTGAAGAAGCTTCTTGGATGAGAAACGAAACGTCTTCAAAGAAAAACAAAGGAAGTCCAGTTGCCTCCTGAAAAAACATCTTTGGGACAATCATGATCTGGATGGTGGAGAACCTCCATAGGCACTTTCCCAATAGGGTGTTTTTTGCCGGAAACAGGTGGTTTTCAAATTTGATAGATAAATAAATTAATTTTATGGGACAATGCTATTCCAGAGAGAAGCAATAACCCTAAAAAGCACATTTTGATGGTCCTCACATATGTGAAGAAGGGGTGTAGACATAAGCTGCAGAAATGGAGTTAATTTTTGGATTGCCAACAAAGAGTTAAAGGGAGACTAGTACAGCTATTTCGAGCTATTTAGCTATTTAGCTTTCATCAGCTAGCCATACCCTTCTGAGATTCGAACCTGGGCTGCTTGCACATTAGGCAGCTGTATTAATCTCTAGGCCAGGGCTTTTCAACCAGTGCCATTGCTCCTAGAAGCACAAAGCCGAAAACACCAGCCTGAAGATGATGAATGGGACTTCATCAAAACGTCGCCAAGACACTTCCAATTTTACGCGGGAGAAAACCCGAATAACCAATATATTCATATTATTGAATATATTCATATTCAAGACTCTTATTTGGGATGGGGAAGGGAGAAATCCTTTTTTCTTAAACTTGTTTGGCTTTCTGCCTCGCTGGCCTCTCCTTCGCTGAGTAAGGGAATCTTCTCCCTTTGGATTTTCCAAAATAAACTATAGCCTTATGTGGAAGTATTTCACACACCGCTGTTAAATAACAGGCTCCATGCACAAAGGTTTCTACCAAACACTCAGCCGAAGTAGCTGAATCAGCAATTAATCTGTTGGTTCAGCTGAATATCTTACTTTTGGCAACAACAGCAACAACACAGAGGAGGAGAGAAAACGGAACCGAGAAACAGGGGAGAATCCAACCGAACATGAACGCAACTATCTGGGGACCTTGTGTACTCCCTCCAGGTTAAAAAACATCCTCCTTCGAAAAACACAATTTCTGCTTTAGTTTTGTTGTGCTGTGGTTGGCTTACCTCGCAAGCCTTGACATGCTCGTTCTGCCACTCTTCCCTAATCTTCTCGAGAGCGTTGACGTTATTCTGATACAGCCTGTCTGCAAATGGGAAACCACCACAAAGTTATCCAAAGTTGCGTTAAATTGCAAACTTGAAGCTCAAAACCCAAAGCCACAGGGATGAAGAGAGCCCCCACAATGACAGCACATTCACTTGGGCAACTGACCGGTATGGGACACCAGTCACTCCCTTTTTATAACCCTGTAATTCAGGGGTCCCCAACCTCCGGTCTGTGGCCTAGTACTGGTCAGGGCATGCCAGCAACCGGTCCACAGAAACAAGCGAAGCCCCATCCGCGGGATGCAGGCAACACACTCTTTGATCCACGGAAAAATCTCTCTCCGTGGAACCGGTCCATGGTGCCCAAAAGGTTGGGGACCCCTGCTGTAATCCTTTAATTCAGGATAGAGTAGGGGCAACTAGTGCACGATTGATTATCACACAGGAAGTACTCGACTGACAACAATTAGGGCCAGAATTTCCAGCGCTGAGTTATTGCGGTCGTAAGTCAAGTCAGACCCAAACTTGTTGACCATTTTTACAGTGGCCATTCAGCAAATCGTTAAGCAAATTACATTACAGTGGCCATTAAAGCAAATCCAGCTACCCCAGTGGTAAGGGTCTTTTTTGCTGGACATTGGGCAAATAAGTCACAAATCACAACTGTAGGATGCTACAACTGGTTGTAATTGTGAGCCGATTGCCAAATACCCTAATTACAATCACGACGGATGGGATGGTGCCACGGATGTAAGGGCGAGTACAGATCATAAGTTGCTTTCAATCCCAGATGTTAAATAAATCAGAGTCGCTAGCAGAATCTGGCTTTGGCTGGGAAGGCTGCAAATGGTGATCACAGGAGCCCATGACTCTGCAATTGTCATAGTACATGTCACTTGCCAGGCAACTGAATTTTGATCACATGACCATGTGGGGATGCCGTGATAAATCTGAGGACCGGTCATAAGTGTGAAGATAGTCCCTTTTTTTCAGAGTTGTTATAACTTCAAACAGTAACTAAACAAATTATTGTAAGGCACGGACCACCTGTACTATCACTTCACTTGTTTTTTGTTGTTGTTGTTGTTCTTTTATACTTTTTTTTAAAAAAAATTCTTATTGATAACAGGAAAGGAACACTATCAGTCCCCATAGCTGGAATTAATTGCTGAAACGCCTATAAAAATATAGCACGCCACATAATTTTCTTGGCCATTTCAAGTTCTGAAAGCAGCATTTTGCTGTTAAAATATGCAAAGAGCATCATTATGAGCAGATTTTGGGAGGTTTTTTTTTTTTGGTGCCTTTGAGGAAATATTGACCTCCAACTTAAAAAAAAATAAGCAAGAAAAATTAAAAGTCTTACTAAAAGTTCTGCTGATCAAGGATAAAGGTTTCCTACTGGATTTTTTTCCCTGGAGAATTTGGAAATTCTTATCTGATCAATGTTATGGGTATAGAAAACATAGATTTATAGGGCTGGAAGGGACCTTGGGGGTCTTCTAGACCAACCCCCCCTTCTCAAGGAAGGAGAGTTTTTAAGCATCTCGGAAAAATCATTCATAGGAAGAATTAGGAAAAATCTAATGGAGTTTCTGTTTGATTTACCTTTTCCACCCATGTTTAAACAAGATTAATGTTTCTCCCCTAACTCATAGTGCCTGGCTGAGGAATTCTGGGAGTTGAAGTCCACCCGTCATCAAAGGCCAATTTTGAAGACCCTGATCTGGATCCAAGCCCAGTTTCCTCAAAATGGCCGACTGAGGAATTCTGGGAGTTGAAGTCCACCAGTCATAAAAAGGCCAAGTTTGAAGACCTCTTTTCTGGATCCAAGCCCGCAGTTTCATCAAAATGGCTGACTGAGGAATTCTGGGAGTTGAAGTCCACCAGTCATCAAAGGGCCAAGTTTGAAGGCCCCTGGTCTGGATCCGAGCCCGCAGTTTCATCAAAATGGCCGACTGAGGAATTCTGGGAGTTGAAGTCCACCAGTCATCAAAGGGCCAAGTTGGAAGATCCCTGCTTTATTTGCTCAAGTGCAGTTGACTGAATTGGTTGGATTCTTCCAGCATGCTACACCCCCAGTCTACAGCACAGTCCTTTCAGCAGTCCCAAGGCTCCACACCCATTTGCACCATTCAGGTGACCCTGAGGACACAATTTAAACCTCCCAGTGGCCTCAAGGACTCTCTAAAAGAAGGCAAATGACCAGCGGTCTGCAAGGAGTATAAATCCTTCTGTTCCCCACCATTCCAGTCAGAGCTGAAGAAGCTTCTGGGATGAGAAGCGAAACGTCTTCAAAGGAAAAACGAGAAAGTCCAGGTGCCTCCTGAAAAAAGCACTTTTGGGATATCAGGTTGGGTAATGTTAGTTTAACAAGTGATGTGATCCTCGTGTCTCTGTTGTCGGCCCATCTAACCTTTTCCTTTCCACGCCTTAAACGGCTCTTCCTTTAAGGCTGAGAAGCAGAAATCAGTCTGAAAGTTGGCCATTCTCTTCAGAGGCAGAAAAAACTCACCCGAGTCTTCCAGGGCTGTCTTCGCCTGGGCAAGCTTCACAAACAGCTGAAAAGGGAGAGAGAATAAATGGGGAAGGTAAATAACAGGAGTCAGGAAACATGTTAATTCTGAGAAGGGGAGGGAGAAGAAAAGGAGAGAAGAAAGAGAAAAGGGAAAAGGAAAGAAAAAAGGAAAAAGGAGAAAAGGGAAAAGAAATGGAAAAGGAAAGAGAAAAGGGAAAAAGGGAAAAGGAAAGAGAAAAGGGAAAAAGGGAAAAAGGTGAAGGAAAGGGAAAAGGGAAAAGGAAAGAAAAAAGGAAAAAGGGAAAAGGGAAAAGGGAAACGGAAGGGAAAAGGAAAGAAAAAAGGGAAAAAGGAAAAGGAAAGAAAAGGGAAAAGGGAAAAGGGAAAAGGAAAGAAAAAAGGGGAAAGGGAAAAGGGAAAAGGGAAAAGGAAAGGGAAAGGGAAAAGGAAAGAAAAAAGGGAAAAAGGAAAATGAAAGAAAAGGAAAAAGGGAAAAGGGAAAAGGAAAGAAAAAAGGGAAAAGGGAAAGGGAAAAGGGAAAAGGAAAGAAAAAAGGGAAAAAGGAAAAGGAAAGAAAAGGGAAAAGGAAAGAAAAAGGGGAAAAGGAAAGGGAAAGAAAAAAGGAAAAAGGAAAGGGAAAAGGAAAGGGAAAAGGAAAGAAAAAAGGGAAAAGGGAAAGGAAAGAGAAAAGGAAAAGGAAAGGGAAAAGGGAAGGGAAAAGGAAAGAAAAAAGGGAAAAGGGAAAGGAAAGAGAAAAGGAAAAGGAAAGGGAAAAGGGAAGGGAAAAGGAAAGAAAAAAGGGAAAGGGAAAGGGAAAAGGAAAAAGAGGAAAGGAAAGGGAAAAGGGAAAAAAAACAGAAAAGGGAAAAAAAGGGAAAAGGGAAATGGAAAGAGAAAAGGAAAAGAGGGAGAAGAAAAAAATTTTTCATAGGAAATTTTTTTCATAGGAAAAGTAAAGATTCCCTTATAACTGGACTGAGTGGGATGGACGTTAATACAGGTGCAGTAGTCCTCAACCTACGACTAAAACTGACCCCAAAATTTCCACTGTCAAGCGGAGACATTTGCTAACTGAATTTGGGCCCCATTTGACGACCTTTCTTTTCTTCCCACAGCTGTAAAGTTAACAGCACGGTTGTTAAGCGAAGCCGTCTTCCCCCATTGACTTTGCTTGCCAGACGGTCGCAAAAGGGGATCACGTGACCTGGGACATTGCAACCGTCATAGGTACATGCCAGTTGCCAAGCCTCTGAATTTGGATCCCCTGATTATGGGGATGCTGCAATGGCCGTGTGAAAAACAGCGATAAGTCACTTTTTTTTCAGCGCCATTGTAACTTCAAAAGGTCACTAAGAGAACAGAGGTAAGTCGAGGGCTGCCTGTAATGGAAGCGGGAGCCATGTTTTCAGCGGTTCATCCGTTCCGCTTGGCCTGCCTGGACCCCCACGCCCCCCCCCCACCTTTTCCTGCTGCTTCAGTGTAACCAGGTTGCTGCTCCGATGAACGGCTTGTTCTGCTTCGTCTTTGTCTCTGCATCGCTGTTCATAGAGCCTCTTGGCCTAGGAGAGGGCAGAAGAGAGCAAGCTGATGGGGGCAGAAAATGATCACCTATTTTTAATCAGCAGAATTCTTAAATGTCTACAGCAGGGGTCTTCCAACTTGGCCCTTTGATGACTGGTGGACTTCAACTCCCAGAATTCCTCAGTCGGCCATTTTGATGAAACTGCAGGCTTGGATCCAGACTCTCAGGGGTCTTCCAACTTGGCTCTTTTATGACTGGTGGACTTCAACTCCCAGAATTCCTCAGTCGGCCATTTTGAGGAAACTGCAGGCTTGGATCCAGACCAGGGGTCTTCAAACCTGGCCCTTTGATGACTGGTGGACTTCAACTCCCAGAATTCCTTAGCCAGGCCCGCTGGGAGTTGAAGTCCACAAGTCATCAAAGGGCCAAGTTTGAAGACTCGTGACATAACATGAAGGGGAAATAAAGTTAACTCAGAAAGAGCTAAACCAGTGTTTCTCAACCTCGGCCATTTTAAGAGGTGTGGACTTCAACTCCCAGAATTCTCCAGCCAGCTATGCTTTTGTCCCCAACCTGCTCTTCTACCTTGTGGCATCACATAATGCAGGGGCCTTCCAACTTGGCCCTTTTATAACTGGTGGACTTCAACTCCCAGAATTCTTCAGCCAGCGTGCCTATCTGAGGAATTCTGGGAGTTGAAGTCCACCAGTCATCAAAGGGCCAAGTTGGAAGCCCCCTGACATAATGTGAGGGGGAAATAATGCTAACTCAGAAAGAGCTAAACCGGTGTTTCTCAACCTCGGCCATTTTAAGAGGTGTGGACTTCAACTCCGAGAATTCCCCAGCCAGCTATGCTTTGTCCCCAACCTGGCTCTTCTACCTTGTGGCATCACATAATGCAGGGGTCCTCAAACGTGGCCCTTTTATGACTGGTGGACTGCAACTCCCAGAATTCCTCAGTCGGCCATTTTGATGAAACTGCGGGCTTGGATCCAGACTCTCAGGGGCCTTCAAACTTGGCCCTTTGATGACTGGTGGACTTCAACTCCCAGAATTCTTCAGCCAGGGTGCCTGGCTGAGGAATTCTGGGCATTGAAGTCCACCAGTCATCAAAGGGCCAAGCATGAAGACCACTGGTCTACGGAGATTCTCCGCCATTCGGGTCACAGTTATCCCCAAAAGTGCTTTTTTCAAGAGGCAACTTGGGCTTCCTTTGTTTTTCCTGGAAGACATTTCGCTTCTCCTCCAAGAAGTTTCTTCGGTTCCGACTGGATGGTGGAGAACGGAAGGAAGCATAAATCCTTCCATTTCCCCACCATCCAGTCAGAGCTGGAGAAGCTTCTGGGATGAGAAGTGAAACGTCTTCAAAGAAAAACAAGAAAGTCCAGTTGCGTCCTGGAAAAAGCACCTTTGGGACAGAATTATTCAAGGGATAATTCCTTTTCTAAAAAAAGAGGAATCACTCACTTCTAAGGTTTTCTTGTACTGCAGGTTCCGGTTTTTATGAATGGCATCCATTATTAGTTCAATCTGTGAAAAGAAAAGAAAAAGAAAAAACACCGTTTGTTTCCAGGCAAAACATTTTCCCCTTCTAAAAATAGAAGATTGCACACCAAGAATCAAGAATGGAAAAATCTCTTTTATTTTTAACCTTGCAAAGCGCAATTCTTTGTTCACCCTAGAGCAGGGGTAGGCAACCTTGGCTCTCTCTCTTTTTATTTTTTTTGTATAGATTTTATTAGTTTTTATAGGTTTAGGGATAAGGTTGGGATTTGGGTTAGGATTAGGGTTGGGGCTTGTCCAAACAACATTTTCAATATTTAGCAAACAGCATAATGTCTGGGTGCATGTATTTAACTAACAATAATAGATATAGTTAATTATCATAAACAATATGTTAATTCATCACTCAATAGCCTTCTTCTTGCTAATATATGTTCAAAATTACGTATCACCTTTCTTTCTCGCTGACTCGTTTTTCTAGCCATTGATAGAAATTATCCCATGTTCTAAAGTACACTGAGTCTTCTTTCTGTTTTATCTTTAAAGTCAATCTATCCATTTCTGCACATTCTAGGATTTTCTTAATTAGTACCTCATCAGCTGGTACATTTTCATCTTTCCAATGTTGGGCAAATACAATTCTTGCTGCCCTTAATATGTCTAGTATTAGATATCCGCAATCTTTTTCACAATTAGCTCCTATTATTCCTAACAAAAATAATCCTGGTTTAAAGTCTATTTGTTTTTTAGTGCAACCTTGGCGCTTTTATGACTGGTGGACTTCAACTCCCAGAATTCCTGAGCCAGCCATGCTGAGGGGAAAGGGAGAGGTTTCCAAGCTGAGCCAGGCTAGCTCAGGAATTCTGGGAGTTGAAGTCCACCAGTCATAAAAGAGCCAAGGTTCCCCATCCCTGCGCCTAGATCAGGGGCCTTCAAACTTGGCAACTTTAAGACTTGTGGACTTCAACTCCCAGAATTCCTGAGCCGGCATGAGGGAAACTTTGGCCCCTTCATGACTTGTGGACTTCAACTCCCAGAATTCCTGAGCCAGCCTGGCTCATCTTGGAAACCTCTCCCTTTTCCCTCAGCATGGCTGGCTCAGGAATTCTGGGAGTTGAAGTCCACGAGTCATGAAGGAGCCATAGTTCCCCCCCATGCTGGCTCAGGAATTCTGGGAGTTGAAGTCCACCAGTCATAAAAGAGCCAAGGTTGCCTACCCCTGCCCTAGAGAGTTTCAACTTACAATTAATCCTTGACTTATAACCACAATTCAGCCCAAAAGTTCACTGCCAAGCGAGACAGTTGCTAAGAGAATTTTGCCCCAGTTTATGATATTTTTTGCCACAGTTACTAAGTGAATCACTGGCTTTGTTAGTAACACGGTTGTTAAGTGAATCTGGCTTTGCCAATTGATTTTGCTCGTCAGAAGATCGCAAAAGGGGATCGCGTGACTCCCCCCAGGACGTCATAAATACGAGCTGGTTGCCAAGTGTCAAAATTTGGATCACGTGTCCAGGGGGATGCTGCAGTGGCCGTAAGTGTGAAAAACGGTCGTAAGTCACTTTTCTCAGTGTCGTCGTAACTTTGAACAGTCACTAAACAAATGGCTGTAAATCAAGGACTACCTATATTTATAAACTGAGGCAGTCGATGGTGCAGGAAGCAATGGTTCCATGTGGACTAGAAACCCGATTTCATTTAACGGTGTCAGCCTCTTTGAGGCCGGCAAATTCAGGAAACAAAAATCAGTAGGATTTCTAAAACAATCTTTTTCAAGTAGTCCTTTACCTTATGACCACAACTGAGCCCAAAATTTACGTGGCTAAGTGAGACATTGGTGAAATGAGTTTTATGGCTTTCCTTGTCACACTTGTAAAGTGAATCACTGCAGATGTTAAGAAGGGACCTTGGAGGTCATCTAGTCCAACCCCCTGCTCAGGCAGGAAGCCCTATACCAGTAATAGTAGTAAAGTTGGAAGGGACCTTGGAGGTCATCTAGTCCAACCCCCTGCTCAGGCAGGAAACCCTACACCATTTCGGACAAATGGCCATCCAGTCTCTTCTTAAAAACTTCCAGTGTTGGAGCATTTACTGCTTTTGGAGGCAGGATATTCCACTGATTAATTGTTCTCACTGTCAGGAAGTTTCTCCTTAGTTCTAGGTTGCTTCTCTCCTTGATTAGTTTCCGCCCGTTGCTCCTTGTCCTGCCTTCAGGTGCTTTGGAAAATAGCTTAATTCTCTCTTCTTTATGGCAGCCCCTGAGATATTGGAATACTGCTATCATGTCCCCCCTCGTCCTTCTCTTCATTAAACTAGACATCCCCAATTCCAGCAACCGTTCCTTATATGTTTTAGCCTCCAGTCCCCTAATTATCTTTGTTGCTCTTCTCTGCACTATTTCTAGAGTCTCAACATCTTTTTTACATCATGGTGACCAAAACTGGATGCAGTATTCCAAGTATGGCCTTACCAAGGCCTTGTAAAGTGGTATTAACACTTCACGTGATCTTGATTCTATCCCTCTGTTCATGCAGCCTAGCACTGTGTTGGACTTTTTGGCAGCTGCAGCACACGGCTGGCTGCTATTTAAGGGATTGTCCACTAGGACTCCGAGGTCCCTCTCACAGTTACTACTATTGAGCATGGTGCCACCAGTGATGGCGAACCTTTTAGAGACCGAGTGCCCAAACCGCAACTCAAAACCCACTCATTTATCACCAAGTGCCAGGGCCACATCAGCATTGTGGTGCCTTCTGGGGGGGGGGGCAGGGAGGCGCCTCTGAGTGCCGCCTCTGGCATGCAAAAACTGGGGGCGTAAAAATGGGCCACCATGCTGCAAGATGCAAAAATGGCCGCCGGCGCGCCACAAGGTGAAGATACAAGGCACTGCACCACGCAAGAACGGGACAGGGCTAGTATCATGCAGGCACTAGCCCCGCCCCATTTGCAGCGTGTGCATGCTCGCGGCCTGGTGCACGCATGCACGCATGGAAAATGCTTCCCCCTCCCTTTTCTTCCAGTCCACCAATCGACAGTGGTTGGTGACCTCTGCTCTACCACCTCTACTCGAGCTTGCTGGGCGGGGCTCCTGCTCCAGGGGTGACCTGATGGACCCGCTGCTGGCGGCAATGGCGCGTGTGCCAACAGAGAGGGCTCTGAGTGCCACCTCTGGCACATGTGCCATAGGTTCGCCACCACTGCCCCATACCATTTCAAACAAATGGCTGTCCAATCTCTTCTTAAAAGCCTCCAGTGATGGAGCAGCCACAACTTCTGGAGGCAGGTGGTTCCACTGGTTAATTGTTCTCACTGTCAGGAAGTTTCTCCTTAGTTCGAGGTTGCTTCTCTCCTTGATCGGTTTCCATCCGTTGCTTCCTGTCCTGCCTTCAGGCGCTTTGGAGGTTGATTTACTCTAAGTTTCTTTTTCGTGTTTCCCCTTCCCGTAAACCACAGTTTCTCAACCTCGGCAATTTTTAAGATCTGTTGACTTCGAGAATTCCCCAGCCAGCCGTGGGAATTCACCCATGGGAACCTGCCCATTTTTGCTGGGGAACTCCGGGACTTCCACACCTCTTAAAGTTGTTAACACCACCGTACACTAAGAAACATTCCCTATAATTGTCCTGTTTCTTCCAAAGGTGCTTTTTTTCCCCACAAGGCAACTGGACTTCCTGTGTTTTTCTTTGAAGACATTTCGCTTCTCATGCAAGAGGCTTCTTCAGTTCGGACTGGATGGTGGAGGATGGAAGGATTTATACTCCTTGTACAGACGGTCACTTCAATGCTGCTTTTTCAAAAGGCAATGCAATTGACTGCAAATGACCGGCAATCTGCAAGGAGTATAAATCCTTCCATTTCCCCACCATCCAGTCAGAGCTGAAGAAGCTTCTTGGATGAGAAGCAAAACATCTTCAACGAAAAACAAAGGAAGTCCAGTTGCCTCCTGAAAAAAGCACCTTTGGGACATCCATGACCTGGATGACGGAGAAGCTCCATAGACACCCCGTTGTTAAGAAAAGCAGTCATTCAGCAAATTGACAATATTGCTGATGAGGTGGTAAAGTGAAATTGAAGTCCAAGTTGCCTTGAAAAAAAAAAAGCATCTTTGGGGTAACTATGGCCTGGATGACTGAGAATCTCCGTGGACAGTCGTGTTTCTTCCTCTATATTCCTAAATGTCTCTTAGACATGCTATGTGGAAACTCAACCCTTGTGTAATAGAGGGGGGAAAAACCCCATTGTGATGTCCTTGATACTAAAAATTAAAAATTGGCAGCTGTTAATCCTGAACTTTGAAATATCACATAAGCTTAAACGAGGAAATTGCACACAGGAGGTCTTTGACTTGCAAAAGATCAAATAATAATAATAATAAGTGGAGAAGATAACAAAATACAAAGACCTACAAACAGAAATAGAAAGACTGTGGCAAAAGCAAGCAAGGGTAGTACCAATAGTCATAGGCTCCTTGGGTGCAATCCCAAAACAACTGGAGCACCACTTGAACACCATCATCGGCATTGACAAATTTGCTATTAGTCAATTGCAAAAGGCGGCCTTACTAGGAACTGCTTCCATCCTGCGACGATATCTGTAATACCATCAAACATCCACATCTGCCTATCCCAGGTCCTGGGTAAGGACTCGAAAGGTAGACAAAATGCCAAATCCAATCTGAACATCTGGCTGACTGTGCGATGATCGATAATAATAATAAAGTTGGAAGGGACCTTGGAGGTCATCTAGCCCAACCCCCTGCTCAGGCAGGAAACCCTATACCATTTCAGACAAATGGCTGTCCAGTCTCTTCCTAAAATCTTCCAGTGTTGGAGCATTCACTGCTTCTGGGGGCAAGTTGTTCCACTGGTTAATTGTCCTCACTGTCAGGAAATTTCAGCTTAGTGTTCCAGGTTGTTTCTCTCCTTGATTAGTTTCCATCTGTTGCTTCTTGAATGGTCTAGTCAAAGTGGCCATTCAAGGTTACAACGGCCCTGGAAAAAGTGACTTGTGACCATTTTTCACACTTACCACAATTGCAGCATCCCCGTGAGTCACGTGACCCTATAAAACTAATATTACCTCCCATGGGTTTTAAAAGTTTGGTTTCCATTAGGGATTGTTCAGATTTAATAATAATAATAATAAAGTTGGAAGGGACCTTGGAGGTCATCTAGTCCAGTCCCCTGCTCAGGCAGGAAACCCTAGACCATTTCAGACAAATGGCTGTCCAGTCTCTTCTTAAAAACTTCCAGTGTTGGAGCATTCACCACTTCTGGAGGCAGGTAGTTCCACTGGTTAATTGTTCTCACTGTCAGGAAGTTTCTCCTTAGTTCCAGGTTGCTTTTCTCCTTGATCAGTTTCCATCCGTTGCTTCTTCTCCTGCCTTCAGGCGCTTTGGAGAATGGCTTGACTCCCTCTTCTTTGGGGCAACCCCTGAGATATTGGAACACTGCTATCATGTCCCCCTTCATCCTTCTCCTCGTTAAACTAGACATACCCAATTCCAGCAACCGTTCCTTATGTTTTTCTTACTCTCTGAAGACCCACAGATTAACAGAGATTGGAAAGTCAAAAAGTTGCCATTCTGCCACAACTAGTCTGTCAAGGTAATGATTTAAAAGCTAACCAACTGATGTAATGTAAGATGTGATGATGGGAATGACTCAGCAGGGTCTGTGTCTTTTTAAGAGCAAGCAGAGAGTTGAAGTCCACGAGTCATAAGTTGCCAAGGATGGAGACCCCTGCTAAGGGTGGGCTGGGAAGTTGTCCAGCATCCCTAGTTATCACTCCCACATTCAGTCAAGGAGGACTTGCCATCAATAATCTACAAAGTCAAGGTATTGATTTAACAGCTAACCAGCTTATGTAATGTAAAATGTAATGATGGGAATGACTCAGCAGGGTCTATGTCCCTTTAAGAGCCAGCTGGGTCTGTGTCTCTTTAAGAGCCTGAGTATAAAAGGGAAGACTCTGCTGCTGTGTTCTCTCTCTTCCGTTTTTCCTGCTGTGTGTTGGAGTTTGCTGTATTAGCCCATGTATGTGTATTGTTGCTGGTCTATGATATTGTAGATAGTGTAAGATAAACCACCATTTAATACAAGCCACTGTTTTCTGTGTTTATTCCTGGGTTATCTCACGCATTAAGACTGTGCACACTCTGACATGCAATTTCAATTCATATTTATCGATGATACTCTGAGATATTCCTTACCTTTTTACGGTGGAATTTTTGCTTTTCTCTGAAATCCTCCATTTTCTTGGCCTCTTCCCTGAGGTTCTGGGCTAGCTGCATATGGATCTGGCCGACCGTCTCCACTCCTTAGGAACAAGAAGTCCAAACGGTCATCAATTCTGGCAGGAAAGCCATTTTTATTGTCATTTTATAGGTGAGAAACCAGCGCAGAAACTCAGCTGGATTTCTACCTTGTGCAAAGCTTAAGGTTTCTACCTTGTGCAAAGCTTAATTTGCTTAAGCATAGTCCTCTCCTTAGGCTACAATTATTTCACATTTCCCAGTTCAGCAGAAATGTGGCCTACAAACCACAGTGGCTGGATTCACACCTTTTACATCAAAGCCAAACTCATCCAAACAAAACCCTGATTCACCCCTCGCTGTGATTCTCACCGGGTGCTCAAGGTTGACTCAGCTTTTCATCCTTCCGAGGTCAGTGAAAAAAAATGAGTTTTGCCTCATTTTATAACCTTTCCCACCACAGTTGCTAAGTGAATCACCGTTAGTAACACGGTTGTTAAATGGATCTGGATTCCCCCGTTGACTTGGCTTGTCGGAATGTTGCAAAAGGGGATCCCGGGACACAGGGCAACCGTCATAAACGCACACCAGTTGCCAAGCGTGCAAAATTGGATCACGTGACCATTGGATGTTCGTTAAGTGGTTGTAAGTGTGAAAGACGGTCGTAAGTCACTTTATTCAGTGCCCGTTGTAACTTTGAACAGTCGTTAAGATGAAGGCTTGTGAGTCTGGAACTGCCTGTGCTCTGCTCTAAACCAACATGTCATTTGGGTCCAACATTGCGTTCGGTCTGAACCCAGCTATGGTGACTTATACTCCAAACCACGGTTAAAACTAATGATGCTCGGTTAAAGCCACTGTTGTGATCTCTTGGCTAGCCTAAGAGTTAGCTCAAAAAGTTAGCATCTCGTGTTAGTATCATTGGACCCTACGCTCGTTCCAACACACCTCCTTGGACTGAATCTGATGAAGTAAATGAGCTGGAACAGGACCCTATGGAGGCTGAGGGAGAGGTGTCTGTGGCTTCAGAGGGATGTGGGGCTGAGGCAGGGCAGGGCCCTTCAGGAGTGGGACAGGATGAACAGGAGAGAAAGAGTTCAGGCGATAAGCAAGGGCCACCCCCTCCTGATCCTAGAGAACGGAGAGTGGAGAGAAGGAGGCAATAACGCAGGCAGGCTCAACTACTCGGGAGGAGAGCGTCCCGCCCCTCTCTACAAAGCACACCTGGAGACTGAGACTTAAGGAGACACTGTGGGGAGAGGAATTTGTCAGGAACAAACGCTGATTCCTTGGAGTTTTGTGTGTTGTTGCTGATCTTGGAAACAGGTCTCTGATCTCTTGTTCGGTGTTGTGATTTCTCCTTGGAAACCCGGAAACTCTGACCGTTGGACTGACTGACAAACTTGATTTGGTGTTCAAAGACCCCGGATTGTATTTTGGCTTCTCTTCTGAAACTGCTCAAGCAAACTTGTATTTCCACAGACTCGTTAGATTTTGGATGTATGTGTCATTCCTTGTTATCTAATTCCTCTCCTAATCAGACTGCGTGTGAAACTACCTGCAGCCGGAGGCTGCTGAAGGTGTGTGTGTGTTCCTTTGTTCTGGGGCTTGCCAGAAACATGGGAGCATTTGGGGGAAACTTGGAGCAACTGCATTGCCTCTGTGCCATGCCTTGGGTCATCACAACTACCAAAACATCTACAGTTACTAAAGTAGCAGGAAAAAGCTGGGCTGTTTCTATGACAGAAGGGAGAGCTCCATATTCTGGGGTCAAGGAGAGTTCTAGGGCTTCCCAACTTGGGCATGACCCTAATAACTAACTCTAAGATGAACAAGATGTATCTCAGAAGTTCCTGCCTGCTGACAATAACAGTACTACAATCCAGCAATGTGGGAAACTCTCAGGCTGTATGTCGTAAGGGAGCCCCAAACGTTGGCTGACTGACAAGTAGGGTTCCTCAAACTCTACAGCAGGGATGTCCAACCTTGGCAACTTTTAAGACCCGTGGACTTCAACTCCCAGAAGTCCTCAGCCAGCCATCACCAGGAGACAGAGAGTTCTAGTCCAGCCAGCTGGGTGACTTTGGGCCACTGGTTTTATCCTCAACCAGCATGTATGATGACCACCTTATCTGGGTATTATGGGAATTGTAGTTGCCCGACAGGGAGAATCCACAGGCAGAGCTGATTTATTTCCCCCACAAACCAAGTTCAACTTGAGTAACCGTGACATGCCGCAGATAACTTACGTTGCTTGAAAACCTCCAGTGCTCTTCTCAGGGTGCTAAAATGAAAGGAAAACAGACAATGCACACTCTGGGGTTGAGCAACCGCGAAATTGTGTTGATGTCACCGAAACACACACACACACAAAACAAGACTTTGTTATGGGCTTCCAGAAATTACTCCAATTTCAACACCGGATTAGGCAAGTTCTGAAACTCAAAACGCAGCTCTACAGTCAGATAAATTTCTGCACTTCTCTTTCCTCCTTTGCTAGTGAACGTCTCTGGCGGGCTGAGTAAAACATTTCTCAATCGTTCAGTGGACACTCGAAATGCAAAATGCAAAATGCAGAAGACCCGTTTAGTTCAAGCAATTCGGAAAAACAATGCCCCAAGGTCAAGTTTGCACAATGCACTAAGCCAGGGCACATGAGTTGCATGCACCTTATTAGTTGGGTTCCTCCCCCGATCCGCTAAAACCTGAAGAAGCAAACCACATCCTAGTTTTATGCCTTGGGTGAAGCCAGCAAATGGCTCGTGAAACAAAGCCAGTCTGCGTTTGAAGAGTGGAAGGCAGAGCAAGTTGCTCCTTAAGACAACGGAAAATCCGAGGGGTTGCCCTTCCCCAAGTCCACCATGACTGCTTTGAGATCAAACCAGTTTGGCCTAGGGCAAGGGCAGGCAACCATGGCTCTTCTGTGACTCGTGGACTTCAACTCCCAGAATTCCTGAGCCAGCCACGCTGAGGGGAAAGGGAGAGGTTTCCAAGCTGAGCCATGCTGGCTGAGGAATTCTGAGAGTTGAAGTCCACGAATCAATAAAAGAGCCAAGGTTCCCCACCCCTGCGCCTACATCAGGGGTCTTCAAACTTGGCAACTTTAAGACTTGTGGACTTCAACTCCCAGAATTCCTGAGGGAGCATGAGGGAACTATGGCCCCCTCATGACTCGTGGACCTCAACTCCCAGAATTCCTGAGTCAGCCGTGCTGAGGAGAAAGGGAGAGGTTTCCAAGCTGAGCCATGCCGGCTCAGGAATTCTGGGAGTTGAAGTCCACAAGTCATAAAAGAGCTAAGGGTGCCTACCCCTGGCCTAGGGGTTAAGGCATCAGGCTGGAAACCAGATAATGATGATGGTGAGTTCTAGTCCCGCCTTAGGCCTGAAAGCCAGCTGGGTCACTTTGGGCCAATCACCAGGAGACTGTGAGTTCTAGTCCTGCCTTAGGCATGAAAGCCAGATATAGATAGATAGATAGATAGATAGATAGATAGATAGATAGATAGATAGATAGATAGATAGATAGATAGATAGATAGATAGAGGCCTAGACCTAGACCTAGACCTAGAGATAGAGATAGATATAAAAAAACATTCCAGGGAATGAAAACAAGTGTTAAATTAGATGTCCTTGACAATGGCAGAGAGAGATGCACCAAGAAGCACTTTCTTTTGCCCAATGCTAGCCCAAGGCATCTGTCTCCATAAGTAACCCCGCCCCAAGACAAAGAGAAACTGTCTTTCCATGACTGTATTTTCCTTCCAAATTAGGAACTAAAGCCCTTGGAGATAAGGTCAGCCTGAACAAATGGCAAAAAAACTGCAAATTCCTCAGACTTCAGACAGCAATTCCTATCAATTCATTCCTGCATAGATGCAAGCATTGATTTGTGCGTCCTTATTCAAAAAAAATAAAATAAAATAAACCATCCATCGGATAGGATTTCCTTCTATTTTCAGAAGATCATCTGGACTTTTTTAAACTAGGGATAAATGGCCAGGCTGAAGTCTCTAGGTGAAGAATGGGGCATTTGACCGAGAATGATAGCTTAAAAGATTTCTCCAAAGTTCCTTTTCCCCAAAAGTGGGCTGGCTTACTTTAGCTCTGTCTGTCCACACGGCTTCTTCCGTGACAGGTTCATCAGCTCCTTCCCATATCTTTCTTCTATAGAAGCCCTGAAACAGACAAAGATTGGTGTAAACATCAGGTTCTAGGCAAGCACAGAGTGCCGATCCATGATTTCATCAGAGCCGTGGTGGCGTGGTGGCTAGAATGCAGTATTGCAGGTTGACTCTGCCCACTGCTAGAAGTTCGATTTTGACAGGGTTCAAGCTTGACTCAGCCTTCCACCCTTCCGAGGTCAGTAAAATGAGGACTCAGATTGTTGAGGGGCAATAGGCTGACTCTGTAAATCACTTAGAGAGGGGCTTTAAAGCACTGTGAAGCGGTATATAAGCGCTAGTGCTATTGCTACTGCCAATAATAATAATAATAATAATAATAATAATAATAATAGTAGTAGTAGTAGTAGTAGTAGTAGTAAAGTTGGAAGGGACCTTGGAGGTCATCTAGTCCAACCCCCTGCTCAGGCAGGAAACCCTATACCTCCCATTTCCCTCAGCATGGCCGGCTCAGGAATTCTGGGAGTTGAAGTTCACAAGTCACAAAAGAGTCAAGGTTGCCTACTCCTATCCTATTTCAAACTTTTAGGGATTCGGACAACCCTCAACTTACAACCATAATTTTATCCTGGAATTACAGTCATAAGTCACGGTGGTTGTTAAGGAGGTCACCATGTGACTGCCCCAATTGTACGACCTGTTTTGCGTTAAATGATTGCCACGGTCATTAAGCCATTATACCCCAATAGTGTTTTTATTGGGAACCAGAAATAAAAGTTGCAAATTGCTGACTTGTGATTGTGGGACACTGCAAACGGCCGTAAAATACAACTGTATGATTGTATGACTGCAGGAGCAGAGGTGTGTGGCCAGCCATCAGATGTTTGAAACCAGATCCCTAAGCAGCTTTGGGGAGGTCCACCATAATTTCAAATGGTCACTAAGCGAGGTAGTTAAGAACTACTGTACAGGAGCTAGAAAGTTCACCACAATGTAAAAAAGATGCTGAGACTCTAGAAAGAGTCCAGAGAAGAGCAACAAAGATGATCAGGGGACTGGAGGCTAAAACATATGAGGAACAGTTGCTGGAATTGGGTATGTCTAGTTTAACAAAGAGAAGGACGAGGGGGGACATGATAGCAGTCTTCCAATATCTCAGGGGCTGCCCCAAAGAAGAGGGAGTCAAGCTATTCTCCAAAGCGCCTGAAGGCAGGACAAGAAGCAATGGATGGAAACTAACCAAGGAGAGAAGCAACCTAGAACTAAGGAGAAACTTCCTGAAAGTTAGAACAACTAACCAGTGGAACAACCTGCCTCCAGAAGCGGTGAATGCTCCAACACTGGAAGTTTTTAAGAAGAGATTGGACACCCATTTGTCTGAAATAGTATAGAGTTTCCTGCCTGATCAGGGGGTTGGACTAGATGACCTCCAAAGTCCTTTCCATCATCATCATCATCATCATCATCATCATCATCATCATCATCATTATTATTATTATTATTATTATTATTATTATTATTATTATTATTATTAACTTTTCGCCGTCCCAGAAAATCAGTCATACACACCTTTCTCGCAAAAAGTCCTCAAATTCCTTGCAGTTCTTCCGGCCGTCATTCAAGTGCTGGACAATGTTGTCGTATCCAGCTGTGCTGATCAAGTCTGTTGTCTGAAAAGAATGTGTGAAGCTTGGTTAGGCAAATAACATGCACAACGTTCTCCACAACAGTCGGCAAAGAGAAGCAAGCCAGGATGGTATATTGGTTACAAAGGCGCAGTCACCTTCTTGTACCAAAATGAAAAGTTTTTTTCTGGATCCAGTCACCAATGTCCAGAGCTGCTAGAATAAATTCTTTCTGATAAAGCTGGAGGCATTTATGATTTATCCTACAGAATCAACTGTCGCGAATTCAACCGATTCTACGTGGGGCAAACATCACGTCAATTAAAAACCAGGATCCAGGAACACCGGCTGGCAGTCAAACGCCAAAATCCCAAATCCTTAATTGCTACCCACTCCGACATCAAACAAGACCAGATAACAACAACAACAACAACAACAACAACAACTGTACTACTTGGAACATCTTATATTTTAAGGAGGTACCTGGCTGACACCTAGGATGCTGGTAGCAACCTGTGTCAACCATCAGCGCCAGCCAATCTGAATATTCAGTTGACTGAGATTCATGTCTAATGAATAAAAGAAAAAAATAATGAGGAGGAGGAGGAGGAGGAAGAGGAGAAGAAGAAGAAGAAGAAGAAGAAGAGGAAGAGGAAGAGGAAGAGGAAGAGGAAGAGGAAGAGGAAGAGGAAGAGGAAGAAGAAGAAGAAGAAGAAGAAGAAGAAGAAGAAGAAGAAGAAGAAGAAGAAGAAGAAGAAGAAGAAGAAGAAGAAGAAGAAGAAGAAGAAGAACTCTTCGGACTCGCGGTATGACTGTATTATTTTATTGTTTTATGATTGTTTTAACTCTGTACCCGCCCTGAATCCTTTGGGATTGGGCGGCATATAAATAAAATTAAATACAAATACAAAAATACAAAGTAGTAGTAGTAGTAGTAGTAGTAGTAGTAGTAGTAGTTGGAAGTGACCTTGGAGGTAATCTAGTCAGGCAGGAAACCCTATACCAGTGGTTCTCAACCTGTGGGTGGGGACCCCATTTGGGGTCGAACGACCATTTCACGGGGGTCGCCAAACAACGCAGTCCGCCATTTTCTTCCCCTTTTCCTTAGCTGTGCTACTCCCTTTTATTCTATTGGCTTTTGAAAGCCAATAGAAGAGACTCTCTTGAATAGAGTCTAATTCTATTGGCTTTCCAAAGCCAATAGGAATTGTCCAGGCTGTCTCTGCCCTGCTGAGCCCGCTAAAAGTCCCATTCTGCAAACGGGGCTGCACCAGTTGAGTAGTCCTCGACTTACGACCGGTTGAGTAGTCCTCGACTTACGACCGGTTGGGGGTCGCGGCATTAAAAAGGTTGAGAACCACTGCCCTATACCATTTCAGACAAATGGCTGTCCAGTCTCTTCTTAAAAACTCACAATGTTGGAGCATTCACAGCTTCTGGAGGCAGGTTGTTCCACTGGTTAATTGTTCTCACTGTCAAGAAATTTCTCCTTAGTTCTAGGTTGCTTCTCCCTTTGATTAGTTCGATTGGAGTAACACAAAAATCGTGGGCCACCCTACCACCCGCCACGCCCGTGAGTTCATCGGAGCCTGGCACCCCACAAGCAATTCCATCCACAGAGACATCGATCTACAACCAGCCTACGAACCCCTCAGGATCCAAATCAACCACACAGCCAAGCAGAGACAGCAACGACCCTCAACCATCCCGCGCAATCCCCCACTCCAGCAGCAGTTCCCTCCCAATGGCCCTGAACTGATATAACCTCCCCATCACAAGACCCATCACAGGATTCTCACTGATGACTTTCACCAGCTTATAAAACAGTATTTTTTTCAAATTTGGTATCCGGTCCCTGAATCCTTATTGTTTTCCCTGCATATGTGCTCTTGTCTGGGGCCTGCCATAAGAAAGGCCGAGCGCCAAAGAATGGAGGCCTTTGAACTATGGTGCTGGAGAAGACTCCTGCGAGTCCCCTGGACTGCAAGGTGATCCAACCAGTCAGTCCTAGAGGAGATCAACCCTGACTGCTCTTTAGAAGGCCAGATCCTGAAGTTGAAATTCAAGTACTTTGGCCACCTAATGAGAAGGAAGGACTTACTGGAGAAGAGCCTGATGCTAGGAAAGATGGAGGGCAAGAGAAGAAGGGGATGACGGAGAAGGAGGTGGCTGGTGGAGTCCCTGAAGCAGTAGGCGAGAACTTAAATGGACTCCAGAAGATGGTAGAGGACAGGAAGGCCTGGAGGAACGTCGTCCATGGGGTCGCGATGGGTCGGACACGACTTTGCAACTAACAACAACAAATTCTTCTGGGGGGGGCAATTAGCTTTCACTTGGGATAACTTTCACTTTCTATCTTTCCTCTCCCACCTCTCTCCACTTGAGAAAAGTATGTGTCTCCCTTATTAGGAGACAGTTACGGAGAAGCAAAACTGGAGAAGATCTTGAGATGTTTGCCAACTGTCCCAATTATTCAAACATCATGCCACCTGTGGACTGGCTGGATTTCAAATGGACACTATGACTTTGGTGGGAGGAGGAAGATTGCTAGTTTAACTATACCAGGGGTAGGCCACCTTGGCTCTTTTCTGACTCGTGGACTTCAACTCCCAGAATTCCTGAGCCAGCATGAGGGAACTATGGCCCCTTCATGACTTGTGGACTTCAACTCCCAGAATTCCTGAGCCAGCATGGGGGAACTATGCCCTCTTCATGACTTGTGGACGTCAACTCCCAGAATTCCTGAGCCAGAATGAGGGAAACTTTGGCCCCTTCATGACTCGTGGACTTCAACTCCCAGAATTCCTGAGTCAGCATGGGAGAACTATGGCCCCTTCATGACTTGTGGACTTCAACTCCCAGAATTCCTGAGCCAGCGTCGGGGAACTATGGCCCCTTCATGACTTGTGGACTTCAACTCCCAGAATTCCTGAGCCAGCATGAGGGAAACTTTGGCCCCTTCATGACTTGTGGACTTCAACTCCCAGAATTCCTGAGCCAGCATGGAGGAACTATGGCCCTCCTTTATGACTCATGAACTTCAACTCCCAGAATTCCTGAGCCAGCATGGGGGAACTTTGGCCCCCTCATGACTCGTGGACTTCAACTCCCAGAATTCCTGAGCCAGCATGGCTCAGCTTGGAAACCTCTCCCTTTCCCCTCAGCATGGCTGGCTCAGGAATTCTGGGAGTTGAAGTCCACCAGTCATAAAAGAGCCCTGAACTATACCATTTAAGCGGGATTTTCCCCAGATCTCACCATGACTTCCCGGTTGTCAGTAACCCCTAATCAAAGTTTCCTTTTGAGACAATGCCTGTTTCAAGAGTTCTGCTTAATTGGGTGGTCAGCTGAGGTGGGCCCTGACACTGGGCCACTTTAAAATGTGGGGGAATTCTGGGAGTTGAAGTCCACACAGGTTAAAATGGCCATATTTGAGGAACACCATGCTAGAGTAGAGAACATAATAAAGTCAGTGAAGTAAATTTGGCTACGTTTCTCCACTGACATCCTGAACTTCTCGTTGGGACTTTTTCCTAATGGGTCATCCTCCAGAAAACGTCAGACTGCCACTTCCATCATTCTCAGTCGACATGGAATTGTAGTCCAACACATCTGGAAGGACAAACTGGGATAAACTGATAAGGAAATGAAAGATAAGGAAATGAAAGCTGGTTCTTCTAGGACAGGGGTCCCCAATCCCTGATCTGTGGACCGGTATTGGGCCACGGCATGCCAGCAACCGGTCCGCACAAACAAGCAAAGCCCATCTGTGGGATGCAGGCAGCACACAAAACCACACACTCTCTGGTCCATGGAAAAACTATTCCCCACTGAACACGGTCCCTGGTGCCCAAAAGGTTAGGGACCTCTGTTCTCTTGGAGAAAGACCTGACCTTAGAGAAAACAGGCAGAAATGGTTAGAAAAAATAAAAGTATGGCTTTAACTCCAGGAAACAGAGAAAAGTGTGGGAAACAAACACAGACACAGACATAATTCATTAGGGAAGTTTCTCGACAACTTTTAAGATGTGTTGACTTCCTTTTTCTAATAGTAGTTTTGTTGAAAAGTACAAACAAACACAAAGGATTAAAAGCTAATCCTTGACTTACAATGGAGCCAATATTTCTGAGGTTAAGTGAGACATTTGCTAAAGTCAGTTTTGTTCCCCATTTTACGAACTTCCTTCCCTCAGCTGTTAGGTGAATTATTGCAGTCGTTAACTTAGTCACCCAGTTGCTAGGTGACTCTGTCTTCCCCAGTGACTTTGCTTGTGAAGAGGTCGCAAAAGGGGATTGCAGGATCAAAGGGGCAAAGCTCACTTAACGACTGTCTCACTTAGCAACGGGAACTTTGGGCTCGGTTGTGCTCGTAAGTTAAGGACTCCCTATAAATGAATGAAAGGATGAGCAAGCCAGATGTTTTTGGCACCAAAAATGCATTCTCTTAGGACAGGGGTAAGCAACCTTGGCTCTTTTATGACTCGTGGACTTCAACTCCCAGAATTCCTGAGCCAGCCACGCTGAGGGGAAAGGGAGAGGTTTCCAAGCTGAGCCATGCTGGCTGAGGAATTCTGGGAGCTGAAGTCCACGAGTCATAAAGCGGCCTAGGGCAGGGATAGGCCACCTTGGCTCTTTTATGACTCGTGGACTTCAACTCCCAGAATTCCTGAGCCAGCCATGCTGAGGGGAAAGGGAGAGGTTTCCAAGCTGAGCCAGTCTGGCTCAGGAATTCTGGGAGTTGAAGTCCACGAGTCATAAAAGAGCCAAGGTTGTCTACCCCTGTCTTAGAAACAAAGATTAAAGCAGTGCTTGTCAACTTGGGCAGCTAGATGTGTGGACTTCGACTCCCAGCATTCCCAGCCCACATAGCCCCAACTGGGAATTTTAGGAGGTGGAGTCCCCATGCCTGGAAACTTCTAGGTTGAGAAACATTACGTCAAACAGAGGTCCCCAATCTTTTGGGCACCAGGGACCAGTTCCATGGAGAGAGGTTTCCCTGCGTACTGCAGAGTGCGTGGTTTTGTGTGCATCCCATGGATGGGGCT